CCCGAACGGGAGACAACGAAAGCGGTAACTCAGACGCCCCACAACAAAACCGAGCCAGTCCCTGAACCGCGGATGAATCGAGACATGCCAATAAGCGTCCCGGAGGTCCAGGGACACCATCCAACCTCCCGGCTCCAAGAGGAGCCGAACCTGAGACAGCGTAGTCATCCGAAAGGAGGGGCAATGAACCCAGGGGTTCAGACGGGACAAGTCCAGAATGAACCGCAGGTCTGCGCAGTCCCGTTTCGGAACCGGAAACAGACGGGAAACCCATCTGAGGGACGACGTCGTTTCGACGACGCCCAAGCGTACCCACTCCAAGACGACTCGACAGAGCGCAGGGGAAGAAACCTGCCCTGCCAGCCCCGACCCCCCAAAGGGGGGAGGGGCCACCCAACGCCACCGCAGGCCGCGAGCCACGACCCGAAAGGCCCACGAATCGTGGGACCAGGCGCGGGCGAACAGCGCAAGCCGCCCCCCCATCGCCCCGTCAAGGGGGCAAACCGTGAAAGGGCCGGCGAACCCTTACGAGACCCAGAACCCTGCACAGCGCGAACACCGCGCCGACCAGACGAGGGAGGGTCCGCAGGAGGAGCCAACCCCAAACCTGACACCAGAGGCCTACCACGACGAGAGGAACCCCGAGCCCTGGCACGACCTTTCCAGGAAGACCCACCCCGGGACCCCCGGAAAACCAACAAGTCCAACATCGGACGACAAGCCGCCGACGCAGCCTGAATAAACTGCGCCACGGCTGACTCCCCAAACAGGAGAGGACAAAAAGGTGAAGAACGCCTAAGAGCCAGAGCCCAAGCAGATTCCACGGAGGAACCCAGCACCGCCTGCCGACACGCGAGACGGGAAGCATAAAACAGGGAAACCACATCCCGCAAAATCGGCGTGAACAGCTTCAACAAGGCAGCCGACGAACGCGCAGCCGAGGACAAGGTGCCGGACCCCGGGACGGACCCAAGCGTCCCCACATCCTCCACGAGCCAATCCGAAGACATCTCCAGGAGGGAAAAGAACCGCAAGGCCGAACACAAAAGGCCCCGGGCGCGCAAGTCCTCCGCAACGAGCGCCGCCGAAAGGGAGGGAACCTGCACATGGAGCTGAATAACGCCCACATCGCGGGGAAGGACAGGGGTAAACAAGCACTCATTCAGGTAATCAAGTTCGCCCCCCAGGAAAACCTGAAGCACCGTGGAAGCTTCCCGCCACTCCAGCGTGCGGGAACGACAGAAGGAATGCCAGTAATCCAGACCAAACAAGGGGCAGTCTGCTAGCCAGGACGACTCCGGAACCTCGTAACGGAGCCAGAAAGGGAACGAAGTCCCGAACCTGAACGTGGACGGATCCATTTCCGAGGCATAATCCGGGTCACGCAGGAGGTAAGCTGCAAAGGCCGCTCGCACCACACCAGGTTGGATGCGATAAGCCGAAAACCTCCGGAAGGACGGAACCGACGTACCCGGGGGAACACGGAACCGAACCCGGGGAGGGGCCGACACCAAATCCAACTCGTACGCAGAGGGGGGAAAAGAAAACCCCACTCCTTGTAACAATAAGCCCCGCTCAGTGGGAAGAAAAACCCAGGCGGGGTCCAGCGTGGCCCAAGACCCCCAAGTCAGCCCCTCCCGAGCCTCGAGGTCCGTCACCACAGGACCCGAGGCCGAGTCCTCTCCCCAAGCCCCGACCCCACAAGACAAGGACGGAGCAGCCGGAAAAGCTGGAGGAAGGGGGGCCCACTGGTCAGACCCTGAAGCTTCGGCCGGAAGACAAGACTCGAATGCCTCTGCCGCCCCCCCGGAAGGGGCAACCCCTGAAGCTGCCCGAGTCTCGAGATAAAGTAACCACTGCTCCGACCCCGAAACCCTCAAACGCTTCGGGGCCGGAAGCAGGGGCGGGGGACCAGAACGAACAGAAGGGGAAAGACGAGGAGGTGCGGACTGAACCAGGATCGAAGCGACCCCCACCCCCAAGTCCGGGTCTCGAAAAGCAAAGCGGGGCAGCCCCGGGGCATCCGGGGAAGCAACCAACCGAGCGCGTTGCAACAGACGAAACCTAGACTGCAACGCACACGCCGCCTGTACCCGAATAGAATCATCAGAGGATTGGGTAAATTGAGTCACAAGCAAGCAGCAACACTCACAGGACTCAGGGTCGAAAGTATCACCGACCCAACAGGCAGCGTGGCAGAGGCAAAAACAATGAGGGTCACCCTGAGACAAGGGGACCGAGCAACCCTCAAACTCGCACACAGTGAGTGGGGACTCCGGGGTCACATCCATCGGACCCATGCGCCCCCTAGGGGATTCCCAGGGTCCTGAGCATTTACTTTAAGAGGACTCGCGCTCAGGTAGTCCCAGGCAGGGTGCTGCAAACCGGCGCCCAAAACTACCAAGCAAACTTCTAAAGCTAAACCCCAGGGACGTGTACACTCACGGGGACCTAGCAGGGGGCGCCACCGAGGAGAACAGTGGAAGGGCAAAAACAAACTGAATAAAATGACAGAACCCCCCACCAGGCAAAAACAAAAAGAAAAACAAAACCCCGCAAGAGGACAGCGAACCCCAAGGAACAGAGCCGGCCGCGATGTCGGGAAATACAAGCTGAGCAGCACCCTGCGCCCCTACCAGTGCAAACTGCCTCTTACCTGCCGGTAACAAGGGAGAACAGAACACCCAAGAGCCCAACAGGCGGCCGAAAAACCGAAAGGTAAAACGGACCAGCAGAGGCAGACCCCGAGGAGCCTGTGGAAGGTGGCCCCAAGCCCCAAGGGCAGTACTTACAGGGCACCTAGGGAAGGCAGCCCTAGGCACATGCAGCCCGAGTACTGAAGATAACTCCTGGCTCTCGCACCCACAAAACCAACACCACACGCCAAGCAGTGCAGTAGCGACACCGGAGCCAGAGCACACGACCATCGCCTATAGCATCAGCCTCAAGAACTGAGGTGTGGGTAGCCGGCGCGGGGGGTCTGGGGCTCCCCCTTCCCCCTCCCGGGGACGGGGGAGCTGCGCAGACAGCGGCGCGGCGGTGTGTGACATCACACTAGTTTGCTTGTTTTCGGTTGGGGAGTTCTATCCACTAGTTCGGTTTTTGGTAGCAATTTTAACCAGAATAGGGGTTTGTTTTGGGGCGCTTACCTTTCTGGGTGCCTGTTCCGGTCGATGGCAGACATAGAATGCTTCCAACTACACGGGGGCTTCTATAGGCCATTGCTCCCCTTGCCTCTCTGAGGGGGCCCGGTTCTGGCCGTGGTCCCCGGTAGGCCTAAGAACTCCATACACATGACTGATGCCAAAGTCTGACATTAGCATATCAGCCTGGGATAGCTCCGGGGAGCCGACGGGGCTCCCCCCAGAAAATACATATAATTGTTATTATTATTACTACTAGTAAATATAAATTTCCTTGTTTATTTACTTCTTGTTTAAATACTGTATGTGCACAGATGTTTTCTAACATTTTGCGATGTTAAAAAAAAAAGGAAAAATACTGCAAAACCCTGACTATTCACAAACCCAAATGAAGTCCAGAACAGTTTAGTCTGGATTTTGGAGATTACACTCTCTATACCATGAATTTAACAAAAGCCTTAGATACATTATGGAAGAATCATTAGAAAAGTAGTCATTTGGTATTAGAGGGGTTATCTTAAGGTAGATACAGTAATGTCCTGGTTATTTCAAAGCCAACACAGGGTTAGCATAAATGGAATAAAGTCCAAGAGTGAATCATTATAAATGGAGTACACCCAAGGGCTCTGTCCTGATACCTCTGTTATTTAACAATTATATAAACAATTTGGAGAGGATTAAACAGCAACATTAGCAAATTTACTGATGACATGTATAAAAGGCAGGAGATATATTCAAGACTAATTTAGTTTAGTATAAGACAACTTAAGACTTTAAAAATGAGCAGAGGGTTGGTAACACAAGATGCAATTTAATGCTAAGAAATGTGGGGGTTCTAAGCATAGAAAATTATAAAAGCATTACCAGACATCAGACTACAGTATTTTATGCTTTGTGTTGCATGTAACAATTATAAATGTAAAATGCTTGTACAGAACATGTATGAACAAGTAGTAATCAATCAGTAGGGATCTCAAGCCAAGAAATCAAAGCATAAATGTATCAAATATTGTAATGTAAATAGAATACTGTACTATGATTCATAACAAAAAGCTATATCATAAATTGACTAATGTTAATCTTTAGTTTTATATTCCTTTTGGTAGGCCTCATTTACATTATAGGACACTGACACTATACACTGACACTATAGGACACTGACACTATAGGACACTATAGAATTGATAAATTTTCTAGAAAGTATATAGAGAATAATGACAAATTTGATCCTGAGCATTATATATCTCCCATATAAACGATTAATATTGTGATATATATCTACTTTTTTCTAGCCAAAGAATAAGTGGGCTACATGACTGAAATATACAAATGGATGAAAGGGTACAACAAAGGATATATTAATAGAGAAATATATAAATACTAAAAACAAATCATGAAACAATGGATACAAACTGAACAAGTTTAAATTCAGAAAAGACCTGGGTAAATACTGGTTGGGAAATTAAGTTTATTGATTTATGGGACACTTTGCCTGGCAATCACAAATGTGGGGTCGCTGGATAATTTCCAGCATAGGCTAGACAACTGTAAGTGACTTGATATAAATAGGAATTGCCTTACATGAGTTAATAGGCTTACTACAGTTATCCCTATTCTTATGTGCTTATGACAATTATACATACACAAACTCCAATATAAAACAACTGATATACTGTAGTTCTATTATGCAAAATAACAATTGCATAACCAGTGTCAGTAGCATGCTAACAACAACAAAAACAATATCCATTGTCAAAATAATAATGCACCATTTTCATAGCTCTAATTGAGAATGACCTGTGTACTGCATGCTGTTAATTTGCTCGGTGACAACACACTTATTGTGTGAATACTTGCCTGTCTTTCACACGTAGGATCTGGGTATAAAAGTGGGGTATGTTTTCATAGCTCTGCTTGTCCGTTACAGAATACACCAGCATAAAGCCGTCGCCCTTCCGCATGTACTGCTCCCGCATAGCACTGAATTCCTCTTGCCCTGCAGTGTCCAAGACTGAAAATTTCACAAAATATAGTGATAATAAAATAAATAGTGATAATAACAAAATATAGTGATAATAAAGTAATCATGCCGATATATACGTTTTATCATTTACCTTTTCAACCCTCAACTTGCGGTCATCATCATTAGCTAATCTCCTAGGTCTTTGCAGGTATTGTCATTTAAATGATTTTAGTCATTACTGCCTAGTTTGTATACCAATTATGCTAATATGGTTCTTATAGCTCTACAGTATACGGAAGTATAAAGAGTTAACCAACACCAAGAACAAAATTGTCATTTTGTAATTATTGTTAATTGTAAATACCAAATAAATTATAAAATTATTTTTTTGGATAAGTATACTTACCATCAAGAATACACCATTGGGCATCTACCTCAGTGTGCTGGATATATGAATCTTCTATTGTTGGGTCGTAGTCAGTCACAAACAGCCGTTGGAAGAACTGTATCGTAAGTGCAGACTTGCCTACACCACCATCCCCAACAACTACCAGTTTAAATGTTGGCAGTTTGTCTGATGGTGGTTTCGACATTCTGCTGCTGTTCGTGCTGCCCGACCCAGAGGAGGGCTGGCGTCCCCGTCCCAGTGTTGCTATTTAATTTTCTCCCTTCTCCTATTAATCCCTGCCCCTTCTTCCACCCACGCTGCTAATCACACCTGAAGCATAAACACTGATTGTAAGATACATAAATACCACTAGTTTAAAGTAGAGAACTTAAACAATAACTGTGATTGGTTTGAAGTTTATATTCACAAAGCCCAGCCTCAGTCCTGGCTCTCCTAGAAGTTCCTTTCTTCTCCTGCCCCTCTCATTAATTTCCACATTGCTCTTCTAGCATAAAACTATGCAATAATTATACAATATTTGTGTTTTACTGCAACCCACCACCATTACATTCCTATAACAAATCACTATTCATTCAGCTCTACACTAACCCATTACCAATCTATTTGGCTTTCTAAATATTAATTTTAATATGAATAAAAATATTCTAAAATAATAAATCCTACAAAGAAAAATGGTTGTACAATAACCGTACCACGTATGCAAGATGGTAGTGGCTGTTATCACTTCTACGACGAGCCATGATTATATTTAAAGGCCACATCACACACACTAGAGATCACAAATCTCCCCACATCCAATAGTTTCAGCAATCACAGAGACTATCTTTACAGCTGTACCTTATGTAGCCAAAAGTGGAGGTAGTGGAGGTAGCAGTTGGTGGGGTCGCAGTAATGCATATACTGGAACTCCGCGACTTAACACTTTAGTGCGCGCGGCACTCGTGAAAAGAAAAGCGCCTTGTGCGCGCGGCGTTCTGTGCGCTCAAGCGTAAACACAAAAAAGTTTATAATCTTTTCACACTCCTAACATCAATTCTCGAGCTACGTTTTTAATTTTGGTATCAATGTGTTGGCAATAAAATTCTCTACAAGATCATATGCATAAAATGTCACCCAAGCATTTGCTATCCCACCACGAAGTAAATAAACACGAAGATGACTCGCCGTGACACCCAAACAGGAAGTAAATGTTCATACTCTTTCGTTTGTTGCCAGCCTCACAGTCATCCTACAGCGCTTATTTTGATATCACTGAACTTGCAATAAAATTCCCCACCCAGACATATGCCTATCAATGTCTAATTATGTTCCGCACGAGTGTGGGAACTGGGTGAAGCGTTAGCCGTGATTTCAGCAGTGACGACACTGTTGTGATGCAGCGCTTTGAATGTTTATACTTATTTCGCTGTCATGACATTATTTCTCAAGCTACGTATTTCATTTTTATAGCAATGTGTTCGCAATAGAAAGTTCTATAAGAACATGGGTAGAATTGGCCAACAGAGCGTCAAATAAATTTGCGGCGAATAAAATCTTACGCGTGTTTGTACCCGTGAGCGTAAAAAGTTTTTACTTTGCTCATGTTTTTTCAAGTTTATACTTGATTCACTCCGTTTTTTTTGTTTGTATAGTGTTCGGAATAAAATTCTCTACACAGACATATGCATATAAATGTAGAATCATGATCGCGGCCAACACAAGAGTGTGTGGAGTGGGCGATTACCCTCGTTGTGTCACCAACTCAATAGTCTCTCCTCTAAGTTACAATACATTGCCGTTTTCTCAAATAGGCACAGTGCCTATTAGAGAAAACAAAAATTTAATGGCAAACATATTCATACAAACCCCAAGTCGATCGAGTAGTAAATACCCAATATAACACGGTCCGTAAATTTACGTCGTGATCCGACAAGCGGTTAAGCAAAACGCCCGTAATTCAAAGTGGAAAATCCAGGATAGTGTTAACTCATGAATGTTCGGGAGGGACGTAGCTGACGTGCAAATTACTGTACATTAAAATTACCTTTTTTATCCGGTCATTTTGGGACATGTTTTAAACTTTTGCCAATGCCTTCCCATTATCTGTTATGGGCCATGTAACAGTGAGTTTGTTGAAACTGAAACAGCAGGTGAGGATTTGACTGAAAGTGAGGGGGGGAGTGATGATTTTGCTGCTCATACTGCCACAGGCTCCTGTGGCCGTACCTCACCTAGGAAACGGCAACGATGTGGTCAAGCCTGGTTAACTGACAACGCTCCTCCATTTGTGGAAAGTTTTATTGGAATACCAGGCTTGCTTGACTGTACCATTACCAATCATTCCTCTTGGACTTTTTACAGTTATTTATTACACGAGATTTGTTGCAATATTTTGCAAACGAAACAAACTTATATGCATCACAAAGCAACTGCAATGCTTCTAGCACCCCAAGCAATAAGTGGGATGAATTGAGTGTAAGAGAGCTTGCCAGATATTTGGGACTGACAATGTCGATGGGCATTACGAAGTTGCCAGCGATGAGAATGTACTGGCAAATGGGTAAAATGTGGCATGTACCTTGTTTCAATACTTTGGAATACTGGATTTCAGGGCAAGTGATGGCTGGATTTCCAGGTTTAAAGCAAGACACAATATTGTGAAGAGGAAAAGTGAAGCCTCACCAGAAGAACAAGCACCTCCAACCAGTGATGCCTCAGCACCTGGCAGTCAAAACTGACCTTACTAAGCTCATGTACTGTACAGTAGTGTTGTCAGATTAAGTTACATAAATTTTTGAGAATTATCGATTTCAAGATATAGAATATCAATCAGGACGACGAACTACAGCAAAGTGAGCTTCGCCTTGAGGTTATCTTGAGATGATTTCGGGGCTTAGCGTCCCCGCGGCCCGGTCCTTGACCAGGCCTCCTTTTTGTTACACACCCCCCAGGAAGCAGCCCGTAGCAGCTGTCTAACTCCCAGGTACCTATTTACTGCTAGGTGAACAGGTTACTGCATCAGGGTGAAATAAACTCTGCCCGTTTGTTTTCGCCTCCACCGGGGATCAAACACGGAACCTCAGTACTACGAATCCCAAGCTCTGTCCACTCAGCTGTCAGGCCCTTCAAGAGTTGAAGTTTGTTTTTAAATTACAGTACAGTACTGAATATCTTAATTACAGTATAGTATGTGTGGAAATTCAAATTACAGTACTGTATTTATGTTGGTTCTGGCACAAAGAAATTGCAAATACTGTACAATATAATGGAACCTCAGTGTACAACTGCACTTGAATATGAATATTCCATTGTTCAACAAAAGTTTTGTAGGAAAATATGCCCTGGTGTACAATATTTGCTCCAGAGTACAAACCGCTCATTCATACTTTTCTGAGTCGGTAAGATCAGTTTACGCTTGTCTCCCGCTGAGTGATAAATGCACTTCTCAGTGAACAATTTTATAATTTTTATAGGTTTTTTGTTGCCTAACCTAACTCCACGTCTCTGGCCTCTAACCTCGGATAGACATTCAATTTCATAGATACCTGTATACATTTTAATGTTTAAATATGCTGAAACAAGAATATCATTTGCTATAACATAAATCCTAACAGTCTGGTGATAATTAGCCTAATAAAAGGATATTTTCCAGAAATCCAAATTTCACACATTCAAAATACAGTACTGTACTTGTAACTGATGCACACACACACACACACACACACTGTAGCACTGATTTTGAATCAAGATAAATTACCACATTCAGCATGTGGGTTACAGCAAAATGGAGAGCTTTCAGCACTACATACAATTACTCTGTTGGCAATCGGTATAAGGCCTTGAAGTCAATAATTCATTACCTGAATATAATTTTCATAAATAAATCAGCCAACCTCAACAGCCAGTCAATACAGTGAGGTGACCAACAGCAGTCCCGTTCTATAATGCATACTGTACATAAGGTCAGGTCACCTAAAGCTAAAAACCTATAGCACCAGAGCCCTCCCACCAGGGAATCCTCGCCACAAGGGCCTCCTTGTCACTAGGGTCCACCTGCTGTCAGTGCCCTCCTGCCATGGGACCCTCGCTACCATGAGACCCTCGCCACCATGGGACCCTCGCCACCATGGGACCCTCGCCACCATGGGACCCTCGCCACCATGGGACCCTCGCCACCATGGGACCCGCGCCACCATGGGACCCTCGCCACCATGGGACCCTCGCCACCATGGGACCCTCGCCACCATGGGACCCTCGCCACCATGGGACCCTCGCCACCATGGGACCCTCGCCACCATGGAACCCTCGCCACCACGGGACCCTCGCCACCACGGGACCCTCGCCACCACGGGACCCTCGCCACCACGGGACCCTCGCCACCACGGGACCCTCGCCACCACGGGACCCTCGCCACCACGGGACCCTCGCCACCACGGGACCCTCGCCACCACGGGACCCTCGCCACCACGGGACCCTCGCCACCACGGGACCCTCGCCACCATGGGACCCTCGCCACCATGGGACCCTCGCTACCATAGGCTCCTCGTTACCATGGGCTCCTCGTTACCATGGGCTCCTCGCCACCAGTACCCTCCCACCACTAGTGTGCCCCTGGCAGGGGCTCCTCACCACCAGAGCCCTACTGCCATGGGATCCTCGCCATCAGGGGCCCCCTCCCGCCAGGGGCTCCTCGCCACCAGGAACCTCACGAAGGGCTCCTCCCCACCACGGGCTCTTCCCTTCAGGGAACCTCACCACTAGGCTCCTCGCCACCAGGACCCTCCCCCCGGGGCTCCTCCCCACTAGGCTCCTCACCACCAGGCTCCTCCCCACTTACCCAACAACTGCAGCTCGAGGGAGAATAACGTACTTCACCTCCTGTGGTCGACACCCTCACAGGACGTCCATTTGTTTTCCTTGCAGCTGCAACATTATTGGAACCAAGGTTTCCCACCCTCCTATTGATAGTTTAACATTTCCTTCAATTATATTTAATAATAAGAGCTAAAAGCTGATTCATATATAGATATTTGGTCAGGAAAAAATTATTTTCTAGAAGACACTAGTTGAGAGGAACAGAGCAGTCTCTAAATCATAAAGATAAACTGATGTTCTTGTAAGATCAAGAAAATTACTCCATTGCAAATGCAAATGATTCACCACTGACATGTACTCATTTACATTACATATGTAATGTAAATGTAGTATGTGACCAGATATGTAACATATATATGTACGTGCAGCCTTGTGCTTCAAAATATTGTTTGCCCTGTCGTCAAAGACTTTTATTAGGAAAATCATGATAATTTCCCTAATTGTTTCGTCAATGTAATTAATTAATTCCCGTCGTAAGGGACAGGAAGCCTGTGTTTATATATACTTGAGACCTGTATCACAGTACCCCCAAGGTCGACCTACTGACCTTCTCCAGAATGCAGCCCAACAACAGTCGCCTAATTCCATGATGCTTATTTATTGTGTGAACAGACCCATTAGGTGAAAGGAAATGAGCCTAACCATTTCTGTTTCGAACCCGGGTATCGAACCCAGGATCCTCGATTGGTAGTCGAGAACGAAGCCACTGTAGTACAGTATCCTATACCACTACTACCGCTCGGCTAAACAATTTTACAAATAACAATCAGAATATGTCTTACATACAGTATACGTATTTAATAATGATGTGAGTCAGTCTGTGTGAGTATATATGTGTGTGTGTGTGTGTGTGTGTGTGTGTGTGTGTGTGTGTGTGTGTGTGTGTGTGTGTGTGTGTGTGTGTGTGTGTGTGTGTGTGTGTGTGTGTGTGTGTGTGTGTGTGTGTGTACATAGATACACATGCACATATGTAACTTACCGAATACGAATCACATACAACACAAGACGATTCGTTACCGGCGGTGTTTTGAACCCAACCTGAGCAAGGTCAACCCAATGCATTTAATTTTGTCCCGCTAACCTAACTCGACCGAGCCCACAGTGTACAAGACCACAGTGTACAAGACTATAGTGTACAAGACCACAGTGTACAAGACTATAGTGTACAAGACCACAGTGTACAAGACTATAGTGTACAAGACCACAGTGTACAAGACTATAGTGTACAAGACCACTGCACAAGACCACAGTGTACAAGACCACAATGTACAAGACCACAATGAACAAGACCCCCAGTGTACAAGACCACAGTGCAGAAGACCTCCAGTGTACAAGACCACAGTATACAAGACCTCGGTGTACAAGACCCCAGTGTACAAGACCTCGGTGTACAAGACCCCAATGTACAAGACCTCGGTGTACAAGACCCCAGTGTAAAAGACCACAGTGTACAAGACCTTAGTGTACAAGACCACAGTGTACAAGACCCCAATGTACAAGACCACACTGTACAAGACCTCAATGTACAAGACCTCAGTGTACAAGACCTCAGTGTACAAGAACACAGTGTACAAGACCCCAGTGTACAAGACCCCAGTGTACAAGACCACAATGCACAAGACCTCAGTGTACAAGACCACTGCACAAGACCCCACTGTACAAGACCTCAGTGTACAAGACCACAGTGTACAAGACCTCAGTGTACAAGACCACAGTATACAAGACTTCAGTGTAAAAGACCTCTGTGTACAAGACCCCAGTGTACACGACTTCAGTGTACAAGACCACAGTGTACAAGACCACAGTGTTCAAGACCACAGTGTACAAGACCACAATGTACAAGACCCCAGTGTACAAGACCTCAGTGTACAAGACCACAGTATACAAGACTTCAGTGTACAAGACCACAATGTACAAGACCCCAGTGTGCAAGACCCCACTGTACAAGACCACAGTGTACAAGACCCCAGTGTACAAGACCACACTGTACAAGATCCCAGTATACAAGACCTCAGTGTACAAGACCACAGTTTACAAGACCCCACTGTATAAGACCCCAATGTACAAGACCCCCCACTGTACAAGACCACAGTGCACCAGACCCCACTGTACAAGACCCCACTGTACAAGACCACATTGTACAAGACCCCAGTGTACAAGACCACACTGTACAAGACCCCAGTATACAAGACCTCAGTGTACAAGACCACAGTGTACAAGGCCACAGTGTACAAGACCCCACTGTACAAGACCCCATTGTACAAGACCACAGTGTACAAGACCCCACTGTACAAGACCCCACTGTACAAGACCACAGTGCACCAGACCCCACTGTACAAGACCCCACTGTACAAAGCCACAGTGTACAAGACCCATAGTGTACAAGACCACAATGTACAAGACCACAGTGTAAAAGACCCCTAGTGTACAAGACCCTACTGTACAAGACCCCACTGTACAAGACTCCACTGTACAAGACTCCACTGTACAAGACCACAGAGTACAAGACTCCACTGTACAAGACCACAGTGTACAAGACCCCAGTGTACAAAACCACAGTGTACAAGACCCCACTGTACAAGACCCCCTAGTGTACAAGACCCCACTGTACAAGACCACAGTGTACAAGACCCCACTGTACACGACCACAGTGTACAAGACCCCCTAGTGTACAAGACCCCATTTGTACAAGACCACAGTGTACAAGATCCCACTGTACAAGACCACAGTGTACAAGACCCCCTAGTGTACAAGACCCCCAAGTGTACAAGACCCCACTATACAAGACCTTAGTGTACAAGACACAGATGACAGTGTACAAGATGTACAAGACACAGACCACAGTGTACAAGACCCCCTCTGTACAAGACCACAGTGTACTAGACCCCCTAGTGTACTAGACCCCACTGTACAAAACCCCACTGTACAAGACCACAGTGTACAAGACCCCACTGTACAAGACCCTAGTGTACAAGACCACAGTGTACAAGACCCCACTGTACAAGACCACAGTGTACAAAACCCCACTGTACAAGACCTTAGTGTACAAGACACAGACGACAGTGTACAAGATGTACAAGACACAGACGACAGTGTACAAGATGTACAAGACACAGACGACAGTGTACAAGATCTACAAGACAGACGACAGTGTACAAGATGTACAAGACACAGACGAGTGTACAAGATGTACAAGACACAGACGACAGTGTACAAGACTTCATTGTACAAGACCACAGTGTACAAGACCCCAGTGTACAAGACCACAGTGTACAAGACCCCACTGTACAAGACCACAGTGTACAAGACCCCCCTAGTGTACAAGACCCCACTGTACAAGACCACAGTGTACAAGACCCCACTGTACAAGACCACAGTGTACAAGACCCCACTGTACAAGACCACAGTGTACTATACCCCCTAGTGTACATGACTCCACTGTACAAGTCCCCCCTAGTGTACAAGACCCCACTGTACAAGACCCCAATGTACAAGACCCCACTGTACAAGACCACAGTGTACAAGACCCCACTGTACAAGACCCCCTAGTGTACAAAACCCCACTGTACAAGACCCCAATGTACAAGACCCCACTGTACAAGACCACTGTACAAGACCCCACTGTGCAAGACCACAGTGTACAAGACCCCCTAGTGTACAAGACCCCACTGTACAAGACCCCACTGTACAAGACCCCCTAGTGTACACGACTCCACTGTACAAGACACAGACGACAGTGTACAAGACACAGGCCTGGCCTGAGCACCATGGGGTGTCGGGTCGGGGGGGGGGGGTGTTAACCTACACACACACTAACTACCTCTCCTACACTAACCCGGTGGTGGCCTCCACCAGCAACTGGTAAACTGTGTCTTGGTGATACAAAAGGTTGGTGCCAATTGTTATCTCATAGTTGTTTGTGGTGTGTGTAAGAGTAGTGGTGTGAGGTGTGCATGAGGCAGCATGGGGGCGGCCTCATTACAGGCACCGCTCCTCGCTGCTCGTAATGCTTCACAAGTGTAATTGTGGAGGTAGTTAACCCCCTGGAGGTGTCCAGTCCAGTTGCTGGTGGGTTGTCAGTGCTCTTGATGAGTGTTGTTAGTGATATACCAGATAAGGTTAGATAACCACACACACCAAGGCTCTTCCTGCAGGTTACATATTTAATCATTGTTCAAACCATCTATTATCGAGGCCTACTGTGCACTTATACCCTTTAGGGTATATACAAATTTGCAACTCTCACTTTTGTAATTCTTCAAAATAACCCCTAATATTGGTTTATATAAATTGTTCATAATATATAATGCTTAATGTTTTTTTTTCTTGTGGTTTGTAAACAGAGCCAGTTTGGAGAAAGCATAGTGCATTCTTGATGGTAAATTGAGAATTGTCTGGAATACTAATTATTATTTGTTCTTGGTTAGTGTGTCACAAAGTTTCTGACACCATTCGTGAAATGTACCAAATATCTTGTTGGTATTCCCAGAGTCCAACTTGACCAAAGTACAAATGTCATATTTTTAGTATAATTCAATTATCATGCACCCTATACCCATTGTGTGAGTGGCAGTGGAAAGTTTACACAAGCACATAATGGGCTCAGGAACTAAACGCTAGTTTTTTCTTTAGCCAAACAAGTTAGTATTAATGATGTAGCTTCAAAATTTAACATATAATTCATAATTCATTCTGTCAGGAGACAGGCAGCCACTATATATATATATATAAACTGAAAACTCCATACCCCGGAAGGATTCGAACCCAAACAGCCAGGAGCACTATGCACCTTGGCATACCTGGTACCTTAACCACTACTAGACCACATTGACTGTACAAAAATTTTGGTAGTTGTGTGACTATTTATCCAAGATCCGACAGCACTCGGTGGTCAACTTGGACATAATTAATTACTGTAATTTAAAAAATCTTAATTTTGTATTTGACTATAGTTGACAAGCTGAACCTAATGATGATAAGAGGAAAATTAATTTATAGGTTTTGTTATAATTACTTAATGTTTTTACAGCTCCTATTAGTACAAATAATATAGTAATTTACAAACTTGACAGACATTTGACAAGTCATGAATGTACAGTATTTTTTTTACCTATATAAAGTATATAGTACTATACAGCACAGTATATGGTACTCTACAAGGAATAGGAAAGGTTCTAGCAGGCTATACTGTCCTAAGAGCAACTGATGTCTTTTGAGAGTGTAGGAGAATTGATGGTATTTATGGTTACATAATGGTGTCTGTTACCAAGGTATGAGTGTCCAAATTTGAAGGAGTGACCTTTGATTCCATTGTAGTTTGAGTAGGGTGTTGTAGTGAACAGTATTAAAAGCTTTCTATAAATCAATAAAGGTATTGTAGACTGAAATACTATATAACATTGAGTAGCTATTTGATCTTATTGATTCTGAGAAAACATAGTTTTGATTTGTGTAATCTACACCTGCAAATGTTAAATTTTACAGAGTTCCTGTACTTTCCAAGATGGTGGTCCTATCAGTTCTTGACAGAGGTTTGCACACCTATAATGGGTGTCTGTTTGCTTACCCATTGCTCACCAAAGCCTGTACCAGGTAATACACACTTTATTACTTGCACGTACGGTGTTAAATAATACAGTACTGTACTAAATAGTGTATTTTTAAGCTTGATTAGTGTTCTCTTAAATCCTACACAATTGTACAGCATGAAACCTCTATTTTTGTCTTGTTTTAATGAACATTTTCAAAATTCAGCTATAAATATATTGAAAATAGCATACAAAGACAATTATATTAATGTTTATATTAAGAATTATTATATTAAAAATTATTATATTAAGACTTTTTGTTAGGAGACGTTTGTTAGTTGCTTATTATTGTAGTGTGATGTTGATGGAGTCACACACGCGGCAGTGAGTGTCTGGGGGAACTCTAGCTCAGCAGCTCCTATGGGGCGAGCCAGCACTGCACAAATGCTTTAACTATATTTCCAAACCATCGAACTCTCTTTAATTCTGACATCAGGCATTTTTTTCTAGTGCATTTACTGGAGCTCTTGGAGACTTTCTGGGTCAGCTTATAACTAAGCAGCCATTCATCAACTTGCACAGTATTGCAAGATACTCAGCATTTGGGTTAGTACACCTCTCTTGTTTACCTTGGATATCACAGTAACATAGTGTAGTATTAATTTCTTCAAGCTAAATGATGATGATAATTATAATAATTATAATACAGTAATAATAGCACAGTATAAGATATACAAAAGATTATATTAGAGTAGTTACATGGTGGGTACGGTTCAGTATCTGCATATTTTATAAAGCCATTAATTGTGTGCTGTGTTTTGTTTATAACTTAATGTAATGATTGAATTTTCAATTTTTGGGGTAATACTTGATACTATATGAGAAATAAGCTGTTAAATATACTGTAAATGAAATTAGTTTAAAGAAAATTTAGCAAATGATGTAAGGTTTTCTACAATGTTACTTAACGATGGAAAGGCTTGACTACTTTAATTTAGATTCTATAGCTTCAGAGGTAACTATAACAGTACAGATACAATATTTAATATTAACACTAACAGTAAACACAAATTGTCATATTTAAACTGAAGAAATGTTTGAACGTTTTCACTATACATATGTTAATTATGTATTTACTGTATTTGTCTTTTAATTGGGTTATGAGTGGTATAGCATTTTATTGCATTTGGGAGGTCATTCCACAATTTTGGACCCTCTTTATTTGGATGTCATTTCTGCTTTGGATGAGCTGTGCTCTTTGATATCAGACAGATATTTGTTTCTCGTGTGCCGTCATCATTAAATAGCTTTATAGATATAGAGTATACAGTCTGTACTTGAAAGTGTGCACTGTGCTTTTATATTTGATCAGTTCACAAGCTCAGTTTATCATTGTGGCTTTCTCTTCTGTTCTGCTCTAAATTTGGGTAGTATTTATTCTTAAATTTGGTAGGTTGACTTTTTCCAAATACAGTAATATGTAATAAATTTGTTCAACATTAAGGGTGAGTGTGTTAGTGGAAATATTAAGATATGTACAAAGAGAATATATACATTACTGTAAATACTTTATACATTTTTCGGCCCCTAAATTTTAACTCGAGTAATTAGGGTTTCTTCCATGACATATCGAAAGGAAGAAAAAACAAAATTAGTAAACATGTAAGCAAAATTAGTAAAGGCAGGTAGAAGAAGAAACAATATTTAATTGTTGGAAAATAAGGAGCTTGTTTTGTAACGACAAATTATTATCAATGGTAGGCAGAAGCTGATACTGTAATACTAACATATTCTTACTTTCTTGTTATAATTTGTATTAATATCTGTGACTTGTAGCTAACCTTGAGCATCCAAGTGACACTGGTAAGTTGGAGACAGATATTGTAAGTTTTTTTTTTTTTTTTTTTTTTTTTTTTTTTTTTTTTTTTTTACTTTGTTGCTTTAAGAAATCTGACTGAAAATTTCAGCCACATTTATATATCAATTTTTATTATATTTTGTATATTAACTTGCAAAGTGGATGAGAGCTTGATAATTTGTTTTGTTTTAAAGGTACTGTATTAGAGAATTTTAAGGGAAATGAATAGATGAAAGTTTGACATATATACTTTACTGTATAGTATTTGGAACAAAGAAGTTATCAGGAAGATCTAGTTTTAAAAGTAACATGATTACTAAGAAGATTAATTTTAGGAATAACAAGGAATGAACTAAATCATTCAACACAGTTGCTAAGGTTTAGGAATGTCAGTGGAGTTATACTTAGGAAGCAACAAAGTAACAAGCTACATAAACCAATGTGTAAGTAAGAATGTATGAAGATGGAAAAATCACTAGAAATCATTAATATAATTGTCTTGAGAAAACAATGTAACACACAATTTTCTTCGATTAAAAGCGCACAGTGTTGAAAATAATGAATGAATCTAATGTATTGTTCTATTTTCTCATGAAAATAAATACACATGTTCCACCTTATTTACTTTAGTGTTACTAATAGGTAGAAAATGCTATAGAACCTAAAGATGTTTTCTAAAGAATTTCCAATGCTTATATTAAATTTTGTCTGTGTGCAAGATTTGTTGTGACTGGACCAATGGCCCATCACTTTTACAAGACACTGGATCAGTTGGTGCCTGCCACGGCATGGGGAGCAGCTTTCAAGCGTCTCATGGTCGACAGATTCATGTTCGCTCCCCTCCTCCTCCTCCTCTCCATGTATTTGCTCTCAAGACTTGAGGTTAGACAATTATTGAAGTGTGATTTAGATTTGTAATTTAGTTTTTAATTCTTATAGGTATCTTACAAGTGTTAATGAACTCCATGACATATATTGTACGGTAGGGGACTTTAGTGGAATGGACCCCTGGCTGTATGGAACCTTAATGTAGTGGAAGTGTTTCATTTTGGCCGAGAATCCCAGAGCAGCAGAAAACAATACTATGTTACCGAGTCGGGTGATATCCAGAATGTGGCGCCAGTAAATGTAAAATATTCAACAAAACCTTCTAAAGAAATGTCTAAGTTGTTTAGTATTAAATATATAAAATAGCTATATAATTTTCACAAATAAAAACACACTAGTTACAGCTAAATAATAGCACAAAATATAATTAATTACTGTATTACCAGAAATATTTGTTTCAGGATATTAAGAGCATATACATTTTTTAATAGATAAAATTAGAGTACAGAACAGTGGAGTAATTTGAAAATACTGTACATGAAATTTTATCAAAAAGCCTATTGATGGCATTCATTCGCTAGCATTCATACACACACATACATAGAGTAAACAGGTTTCTGTAATAGCTTTTAGCAATAACATATTTCATTTGATTACAGTAAATAATTTTAATAGGAATTTCCCTAAAAAATCAGTTTTCCTAAATTGGTGTATAATTTTCCTGCTGCCATCGAGCTCACTGTCAGCGATCCTCGTGGCAATGACGATACCGGTAAGCATACTGTCAACGATCATCCTGATCAGGAGGGTACTGTCAAGCACATTCATCTTGGCCAAGAGTGCATAGCATTGTTTTGCATAAACTGTTTGATATTAGTTATTCCAAGATCTGGGATCCCAGAAGTTTGTCAATGACTAATCATGGTAATATAAGGGTTAATAATTGAATTTAAGATTCAAAATTAAATAAATATTTAATAATAAAAACCCACAATGAATCTCTGAGACAAACAAGACACTATCGGTGCTAATTACTGGCACTGCTATGCAAACTTTCACTGAACCACTTACTGCACTGAATATATGAATTAGTTAAATTTGTACCTATTGTATTGAAATTGCATAAAATAAATATGTATAAAACTAAATTTGCTCTATACAGTACAGGTATCTGATTTTGTTCATAGGGGAAGAATCATCGTACCTGTGCAAAAGAAATCCGGCTAAAATATTGGCCAGCGCTCAAGATGAATTGGAAGGTTTGGACTCCAGTTCAATACATTAATATCAACTACATTCCACAACAGGTAAAATGTATTTACAGTAAGCCTTGTTCAGTTCTCTTTACTGTAGTTTTGGATATTAGAAAATAATTCGTAGTAATGTTTTTTGGTGCCTACTAATAATTTATTTTGACAATACCATAGGACTTAATCCTAACCTCCATCAAATCACTATAGCAACGACCACAAATCATGATTAAATCATTTACTATGTAAAATTGACTACCCCTTTAACCTTGGGCAGCACTGATTTATATTTTACTTAAACACTAAAGAATATATACAGAACCGTACATGCAGATGACACTCCACATACGGGAGTGGGGCACAATACCATTTGGGAATCACTGCAAAAAGAAAAAAAAAAACTGCCAGGGTATTACAATAAAAATAAATATGAGCAAGGTCTTATTGTCTTAATGTTGTTGAAACATGCCACCATCCCTCTATTGAAAATTATGTTAATGACAGTGTTCTGACCTGAGGGGAAGGTCATGGACAGGAACACAAAGATTGAAATACTTTTGATAATTACTGAAGCGTTAGTTACGAGTTAAAACTATTCAATTCTGCAAGCTTTGCTGTTGATTATTACTTCAGCTTTGTTAATAATTTATATGGCTTTGAGGATCATTGAATAATGCCCAGGACAACAGAGCTTCAGATGATAAACTCAAAATTAAAGAGAAGGACAGTTTTACTAAAAGGCCAAATGAAAACTTTCAAAACTGAATTTATTAATCAAGAACAATAATACCCTATTCTAAATAACCAGCTGGCAATGGTGTATGAATTACCAAAAATAAAACTTAAGGGCATTACCTTAAAATTTTCTTCGTCTCTTGGCCAAATGATAAATCCAGAATCCCTTCCCAGTCTACCCCCAGCACAGAGTCCAGACCATACTAAGGATATTCTTAAGATTCTACGGACTTTGCTATTGAAACCATCACCCACTAAGTCACTCACAGAACCTAGCCTAATTACAGGACACGTCATAGAATACATAGAGGTATCCCAAGACGAAGTGAAAAATTACTCGTGGGGCTAGGACGAAATCAAGTGGTTGGACGTGATGGGGTTTCACTTTCACTTGATGAGGTGCTGTGAGAATGTGCAACTGAACTGAGCATTCCACTCCGATTAATATTCCAGACATCCTTGGGTGTAGAAATCTTAGCAGATACTGTATATGGTAAAAGGTAAACATAATACCAATTTATAAAAATGGCAGTTGAGAGGAACCTTTAAATTATAGACCTGTGTCATTAACAAGCATGGTAGTCAAAACACTAGAAAAAATAGTTAAAGCCAAATGGTTTGAACACCTAGAGAGTAATGGCATAATAATGGACAAACAGTATGGTTTTCGAACAGGATTTTCCTGTGTAACAAATCTACTTAGCTTTTATGATACAGCCACAGATATACTACAGGAAGGTGGTGGTTGGGTTGACTGTCTATCTGGAAGGATTTTGATAAGAGTCCCACACAAAAGGTTCTGGAAACTGGAACATGCTGGATGGGTGACAGGGAGACTTCTGACATGGATGAAAAATTTTCTAACTGACAGACCGATGAGGGCAGTAATCAAAGACAATGCATCTGACTGTAGTGTTAATAGCAGAGTATTGTACCACAGGTTTCAGTTCTTGCACCAGTAATGTTCATCGCCTATGTAAATGATCTACCAGATAGAAGACAGAATTATATGAACATGTTTGTGGATGATGCTAAGATACTGGGGAAGATAGGAGGCGCAGACAATTGTAATATCCTTCAAATTTATATAGATGAAATAAGTACTTGGAGCATCAAGTGGCAAAATGGAATTCAATGTGAAAAAATGCCATGACGTGGAATGTTTAATCGAAGAAAATAGACCACACATAACTTACCAATTATGTGGAAAGGAATTACAGAACTTTAATAAAGAATGAGACCAAGAGGTCATTTTGGATAGTAAGCTGTCACCAGAGGAATACAAAGAACATTGTGAGAGGAGCATATTTTCCAACTTCAGATTTGCTTTTAATTATATGGATGGTGAAATGGTAAAGAAACTGTTCATGACTTTTGTGAGACCAAAATTGGAATATGCTGCAGTTGTATGGTGCCCAGATCTCAAGAAGCACATAAATAAACTGGAAAAGGTGCAAGGGCGTGCTACAAAATGGCTTCCGGAACTGAAAAACGAGAGTTACGAGGAGAGACTAGAGGCGTTAAATATGCCAAAAATAGAAGATAGAAGAGAAAGAGGTGATATGATCACCACTTACAAAATACTAACAGGAATAGACCAAATTTACAAAGAGGAATTCCTGAAACCAGCAACTTCATGAACAAGAGGACACAGATTCAAGCCAAGAAAACAGAGGTGCCAAAAAAAATTAGAAACGTTTCTTTTGCAAACAATGGTAGATGGTTGGAACAAACGATGTGAGAAGGTGGTGGAAGCCAAAACCATCAGTACAGTAGTTTCAAAGCGTTTTACAGTACGACAAAGAGTACCTGGGAAGACGGGACATCACGAGTGTACTTCTCATCAGGTAACTACACTTAGGTAATTACACACACAGGCACTTTTTTTGTGTCAAAGTAGTTAACAAATGGAATACACTAGGCAATGATGTGGTGGAGGCAGACAGTTTAAAATGTAGATATGATTAAGCCCCAATTGGCTTGGGAATCTGTACACCAGTTGATGGTTTAGGGGCAGGATGAAAGAGCTGAAGCTCAACCTCTGCAAGCACAATTAGGTGAATACACACACTGTATATAAAACTCCTGTGTCTGTAAATGTATTTCTAACCTTGTTTCTTAACTCTACTCCTTCTTTTCTTAGCTGCTCCACATAGCTTTTCTTTTGTACATATGGCCATAAATTTGGGGAGAGTGGGGCAGTATATATTAAATCAGTCATATCCATATCTGTTGAAAACTGCTTTTTAACTAATCATAACATTTTTGTTTCTGGCTGGGATAGTATACTAGCTACACCTACCTGTAACTGGTACTACACTGGTCTTTTCTTGATAAATAATCCCATCAGTGTAGAGATTCTAATGCTGCATCTCATTTTCTGTTGAACACCCATGAATAACCAGTTATCATTTCCTTCAGTATACAGTATTTAGTTTAATTAGGTATTTTTAGAAAACCTCTTACGCATGTAATCTGTAAAGAAACATTCTGACAGCTGGATAAACTTCCATCCACAGTACCGTTCACTCTTCGCCAATGTTGTTGCCATCTTTTGGATTATGTACTTGACCAACAAGAGAAGACAAGCTACCACTGCTGCTGCCAAAACTCCTTAAATTTCTGCAGAACTTTAAACAAAGTTTGCATACAAAAAATCAAGAGAATTAAAATTTGAAACAACTTCAACAGTTAAACAAAAGTTCAATAGGTATTTAAAACAGTAGTAAAAAAATATATATATTTGTATTTCATTTTGTGTTATGGACTAGGCTCCCAGAAATAGAGAGTTAACCAATCACAGTGCAGGATGCAGAATAGTTTAACAGTTGTCACAGTGACAGGTTTGTAGACACTGCTTTAGACCATGTGAGTTAGGACGATGCAAAGGTACAGTATCTCCTCCCTTCAGCTAGATCAAGTAATTGGGAACCAGTTGGGTTCCTATGAGAAACCAGTTGTGAAAAGGAAGTTGTACTGTACTGAAGCTGCCTTAAACTGAATTTGAAATTAACAGTGATTAAATTTCTTGTTCTTCATTATTGTAGTAAGGTTGATTAGTAAAAGCTAAAATATTCTGACAACTATTTTCTACTTGATAAATAACATTTACCTCAATTTTTTTGTGCCATAATTCTTAATGTAGGAAACAGCAGAGATTCTGTTCATAAAAGATGCTGTTCACTTTTGTTCATTATTATTTTTTAATTAAATTATGGGCATTAATTTAAAAGAATCAGTGATGTTGACAGCTTAATGACCCCCATAAGCCACCAATACCCAGGAACTATTGCAAGGAAAATTTGCTTTTTAGGTGATAATTGTATTTTATTTTTATACCTGTACTGCATAACATGAAAGCTTAACAGTTAATGAGTTTTAAAACTACTAAAACTGTAATAATTTTTAGTTTTATAATTGAGAATGTGGTACAGTATATGGTAGTTGTAATGAAGCATTACAATAACCGTATTAGACATACTAATTTTAAAACTTGCAGAAATATATTCATAAAGCTATATACTAGTGGCTATATTAACATGTGGGATTATCTATGCATACATTATATTGTACTGAACCCTTATTGGTTAAGTCTGCATAGTAATGTGTAATGTAATGTTTAGGTCAAGATGATAACTTGAGTATATTTTTGTTATATTAACGTTTATAGAGTTTTAATATAATAATTATATGTGGGTCTGTAAGTTGTTGTTGTTTTAGATTCAGCTACTGGGAACAAAAGTTCCAAGTAGCACGAGCTATGGTGAGCCCGTAGTGGACTTGGGTCTGTAAGACAATAATATGTATCTTAAGTAATACAGTGGAACCTCGAGTGACGAGCAACTAGTTACAAGCATTTCGAGTAACGAGCGAGCCACTCGCAGAAAATTTGTCTATATCAACGAGCTTTCGCTCGATTAACGAGCAAACTACATGGTGCTTTCTAGCGTTCCCGCTGGTTCTCAGACACCTCCAACGACAGTGTTGTTGTTGTTTCGCAAGACGAGCGTTTCACGTGACGAGCTCGGTGCCGGAACGGATTAAATTTGTTAATCGAGGCGCCACTGTACATGTGCACTGTAATTTCAAATTGTTCATGAACTGGGTTATCAAGTGAACTGTATATACTTACCTGAATTTACCTGAGGGCTACTAACACTTTAGTGGTCTTGATGAGGACAGGACAGTTTTGTCCTCTTTTGACAATTACTTACTGTATATGAAGTAAAATTTGGTCAACTTATATTTGTATGGAAAATTATTGGTTAGAGAAATTTTAATTAAATTACATACTTGTACAAGAAAAGTTAAGATATGTGTGGGGATAATGGAAAGTGATTGTACACAATTAAAATGGGAGAAAATGCATAAGATTTTTATTGCCATTTGTTTTAAAGTTGAAAATGTATAATTTATATTTCCTACACAATTTATATATCCCCCACCCATGGGTGGGTGAAACAGGCTGATTATTTTATTGAACTAGTAACATCTTTGCCAACCTTAGAGGAATGCTGCATAAAATACTAAAAAATTTGTTTATGATTGTAACTTGTGTAATGTTCAGAATAGGTAATGCATTGTAAATACTTAAACGTGCAACGTGAGACAATATCTATATTATACATACAGTACACTACTGTTCAGTATTATAGTAATATATAATACATGTACTGGGTACATTTTAGTCGGTGAATTCCCATTTGAACAGAAAATGGTTCAGGACCATTTGGTGCATCTGATCTCTGTTTTTTATTGCTACAGTCAATTTTTTAATACAAATTATAAATATTTGTGTATATCAAAATACAAATTACATGTAGTAAGTGTATTGATAATCATCCAAATGAACCTTGCTAGTTCTTTGCTCACTATATTATTGTGGATGGTTGGGTTAGTACAGTATAGGATTGGCAGTGCTAGTAACCATAAAAGTTAAAACGTATTATACAGTATTTGAAATTGTGAAGGTATAATCATCTGCATTAGTATTTGCTCGAGATGAAATCATTAATCCATGCAAGGAATAGGAGAGGGCCAAGTACTGTATCAGTATACTGCCCTGGGAGACTTGGTGTTGTTCATATTTAATATTAGTATCTTCTTGAGGTTATCTTGAGATGATTTCGAGGCTTTAGTGTCCCCGCGGCCCGGTCCTCGACCAGGCCTCCACCCCCAGGAAGCAGCCCGTGACAGCTAACACCCAGGTACCTATTTTACTGCTAGGTAACAGGGGCATAGGGTGAAAGAAACTCTGCCCATTGTTTCTCGCCAACGCCCGGGATCGAACCCGGGACCACACGATCACAAGTCCAGCGTGCTGTCCACTCGGCTCCCTCTATCTATCTATCTATTGCAGATTTTTGCATTGGTTACTGCAAATGCAAAAACTGCCCCTCTCAAAATACAGCCTTGACTAGTGTTTATATCGGGGCAACTATAGATTTCCTTGTTATCTTTTGGTCCCAAATTTCTTTATATTTTTTTAAATTGTCATCCACACTTTTGTGAAAATAAATATTCCATTCGCCTGGGCTGTATGGGTCTCGAACCGTGAACCCACGCATGTGAGGCCCAGGCTCTATCAACTGGGGTATGAGTAGTCTTAAAGAAGAAAGTTTCCAGAAGTAGCATCCTGCTTCCAAACTGAAATTTTTTTTACTTTCTCTGACTACTACTGAAGCTCAGAGTAATTACTGACTCACACCCACATCATGGGCGTGGGTCAGGATCGGTATGAAGTGCATAATGTGTACAGTACAGTATGTTGGCATCCTGGTGCAGACACCAACAGGATGGGTATGGAGTGCATAATAAATGAACTAAACTAAAAAAGAAAAACTATCCCCGGTCTTGCTCAAGCTCTGCTCCAGGCCTCGTCTCGGCCACCTCTCGGCCAATTACATTTCTAACAACAGACTTCTGTAACCCAGCCTATATTAAATAAACATTAAAAAACACTAAACTCTTTACCCCAAACACATATACGTAAACAAACGTTACAATGGGAAACCTGCCTGGTATCTTACCAGAGAGCCACTAACACTAGTGGCCTCGACGAGGACAGGAAGCTGGCGGCTTGTCGAAGGTCCCCCCATTTGCCTTGATGATCTTTTCCATTTGTACTTTAAAGGTTAACGGAGTTTTGGCATTAACGGCTTCGGCGGGTAGGCAGTTCCATGGGTTAATAGCCCTGTGGGTGTAAAAGCATCTCCTGTTCTCAGTCCTACATTGTGGCTTGTTGAGCGTGAAACCATTCCTCCTTGTTTGTATGACATCTGATGGATGTCATACACATTTCATGGAATTCCTGGGAATATGTTGGAGATGTAACGCGTGGTATGTGAGCTTCCTGAAAATGTGCAATTCTTGTGCATAATTTTAGTAGCTGCTACATTAACTCTAATAAATTGTCATCCACACACATGGTAATAAACATTTCATTTACCTAGGCTCTTAAAAGACTCGAACCATAGACCCCTGGCATGTGAGACAGAGGCTCTATCCACTCAATTTGGATGGATGACAATTTACATGTTGCGGGCGTAGATCACCAATTCCTCTGAGCTTCAGTAGTAGTCAGGGGAAGTTGAAAATACCAGCATAGCAGCAATAGTTGCTTCTGGAAACTTCTCTTGTTAAGACTACTCATAGAGCCTCTGCCTCACAAACGTGGGGTTCATAGCTCAAGTCTCTTTAAGAGCCCAGATGAATGAAATTATCTCTAACGTGGTAGCTACAAAGTCTTCCCAAGGGTTCGGGACTTCTTCTCACTGAAGGTGGGTGCAGGATACCTCTTCCCCCACTTTGTCTGCTTCTGGCCTGGTGCATGCTAACTTCAATTTCCCTGCAGGATTCGAGGACGGGGGGTGCTCTTCCTTTTTTTTTTTTTTTTTTGTGATATATACAAGTTACATTCTTGTACAGCCACTAGTACGCGTAGCGTTTCGGGCAGGCCCCTGGAATACGATCCCCTGCCTCGAAGAATCGTTTTTTTCATCCAAGTACACATTTTACTGTTGCGTTACACATTTTACTGTTGCGTTAAACAGAGGCTACAGTTAAGGAATTGCGCCCAGTAAATCCTCCCCGGCCAGGATACGAACCCATGACATAGCGCTCGCGGAACGCCAGGCGAGTGTCTTACCACTACACCACGGAGACTCCTCTAAAATGGTTGCGGTTCCTACTCCATGCAAGGCATCGGGTGAGACTTCACCCTGTTACAATTTTTAACCTCTTCTTTGAGTATAGGATGCACCATAAACTATTACTCACAAGACGAATATGAGGTTCACAATAAACGATTCACGTTGAATATTGGATGGATCATAAACCACCGCTCACGGGATGAGTATGGGATGCACATTGGACATTACAAACTGGCAATTCATTGACTGAAAAAATCCTGAACGTGATCGAAGATTGCTTCATATTCATGGTTTCTGAAACGAAGTCTCAATATTCGTTTATTAAAGCAAGTTATTAATATATATGGAGATACGTCGAAAGACAGGTGCAGCTTGGGTTCATTATCTTCTAAGAAACGTAGATGACAGAAGTTGTTGAAGCACTAAAAGTCCGCTCCTCCCGTCAGCAATAATCCAATTATGTGCCCTCGTGAGATTAAGTCTTGACCTGCCTACAGGAACAAGTATCACCCTGTACTGGGCTTCAAGAATACGGTTAAAGTTGACAACCTTCCAGAATTTGCAGTAAATTAGAACCAGTTAGATTCTAGTAACCTAGGTACCGATTAAATATGCTGTGTACAGTGCTACATAGTATGCCTTCCCGGCGTGGCGCCTTTTGATAATTACTCATAAGTTGTGCAGGAGAGATGTGCCGAAAGAAGCTACGTAAGCTACCTACATCCAGTTTCCAGATCTATCACGCCCGGGTTGAAAGATGAAAGCTCCCAACATCTGTACTGGTGCAGTCATCGGGAGGACAAACCCTTCATGCAAACTGCACCCACTATCCAGAAGAAGAAGAAAGATTAAAGATATTAAGGCACCTCCAGATACCAATAGTCAGGAGGCGGGGCCCGAAAACCAGAACTCGATCTCCTCATATACTGATTTAGGTAAGCACTCGCTAGCAATACAAACACAAACATTTAGGAACAAATGATGCACCCTATAAATAACAGTACCAGTGAAGGGTCAGGTTGCTGGCTTACGCCGCCTACATCAGAGAGGAGGAAGGGAGCTCTTGTCAGGTTTCATCGGTGACTGCACTTTCATCTAATACGTCATAAGCCATTACCATTTTGGAAAATACTTACTGACGAGTTTACCACGCTAAACCGGCTTGGCATCGCCCTTGTATACCTCATTAAACGAACGAGAAGATCGTGGTTAACCCGACATGTGATCTCATGAAACGTGAGTATCGAAGGAACTGAGATGGAAGTCATGTGAGTGGCCGCCAGGTCTTGCCAGCCGGACCTCTGCTAGTCAGCTCCGACGTACAGTCCGAGAGCCTCGTCTCCAGATCACTCCACTTACAGAGAAAGTCCGTTTGTGGAAGGCAAGGTGTATCTTCATTTCTACAGCTGGTAATTGATCTCAAAGGCGTGTCTTAAATTCCCTGGAGAGAAGCATAGAGGTGGCTGACGAAGCCCCACCTGGACACCTGAGGCGGGCGGTCAGCGAGGCACAACCCAGCTAGGCTTTGTCACACGTGTTCGATCATTGCTGTGATGTGCTCGCTTACTTAACAAACCTTTCCCTTTCTGTTGGCGAAAATGTTCCAAAGATCTCTCGAAGTGCTTTCTCTCATAACAAGTGTTTGGTGTAAGCGCCAGAGTGTGGTAAAGAGAGAATTTAGATTAAATTACGAATTTATTTTCTGTCACTTTTAGGTAATAATGATCAAATTGTCTTATACCATTGTGAAGAAACATTATTCACAGTCTACAGTAACAAACCAAAAAAAATAAACGTTAAATTATCATCATAGACAATTTTGTCATCGGCTCTTATCATCGCCCAAGAAAAGGTAAGCCATCAGTTGAAGTTTGTAGAGATAATTTCAACCCATATTCCCTATCCATCCTCCAAAAATGATAGTACCTATAACTACTATAATGGATGTAATAGACAACATATGAACTGTTGTACCCCCAATTTTATTGTACAATTGAAATTCTTAAAGCCATATCATGAAGTGAAGCAGACTATAGCTACAAATCTAATGTAACCTGTCCTTGGTTTAAACAATCGTAGGTCTAATTTAGTGCATATATGTACTATACTTGGCCTAGGAAAGTTAGTTTTGGTTATTGCGTTATTTAATTTGACTCTACTACAAAACAAATAGTACAAAGTGTAAACTTTTTTGGGTGAAACTGTCCCCCTAACTTCCCCCACCTTTAAATAACACATATTCTCAATACTCTTACGTTCAAGATGTATTTCCTAATATCACGACGATAAGTTTGTCTGTATATAACATTCATCCTTCCTGTAAATGTTACCGTTTAACTTACTTATCAAATCTTTTATTTTGAGCATCATACTCCTCGTCCCTCTCGCATAGGATAGTTGGGTCTACACCCCTTCAACCTTTTCCCGCACCCCATCCCATGTAGCAGCAAGAGTACAATAATATGGGGACGGGAGAGGAAGACTAACAAGCAAGAGAATGAGTGACAAGCTGGCAGTGGACAGGGTCAACTAATTCCCTTCCCACACTAGGCACACCTTCCTTAACCTTTCCTCCCTCGCCAGTAAACAATTGCCGTTAATTACCAATTAAGAACATGAGAATGAGTAAAGCATCTGAAGGTCTATTAACCCATACGAGGAACTTCCTATTTATATCCACCCAAACTCATTTATATTATATTATATATATATATATATATATATATATATATATATATATATATATATATATATATATATATATATATATATAACAATATATATATATAACAATATATATATATAACAATATATATATATATTGTCCAACCTACGCTTGAAACAATCACGTGATTATCTATTATGTTATTCGGTAATTTGTTCTACAAATAACCAGCTCTGTTTTCAAACCACTATTTACCCAGGTCTTTCCTAAATCTAAACTTATCTAATTTACACTGAATGATTCGTGTTCTATTTTGTGCCGATTTATTTGACACCTTGTTAATATGCCCCTTGTTACCCTTTCACCCCCTTGTACACTTTAATCATGTCACCCCTAACTCTTCCCCTTATTAGAGAATGTAAAAGAAATTTCCAATCTCTCTCTTTATGTGGAAGGTTTCTAATTTCTGTGATTAATTTTGCCATTCTTAGCTGGACAAGTTCAAGTGAATTTATGTCCATTTTATAATCTAAACGGATTCTAACAAGAGAAAGATATAGCTGACCCTCATCCTGGGAATGGTAGTTTATTGTGCACCCCATACTCATCCTGTGAGCGGTAGTTTATTGTGCACCCCATACTCATCCTGTGAACGGTAGTTTATTGTGCACCCCATACTCATCCTGTGAACGGTAGTGTATTGTGCACCCCATACTCATCCTGTGAACGGTAGTTTATTGTGCACCCATACTCATCCTGTGAACGGTAGTTTATTGTGCACCCCATACTCATCCTGTGAGCGGTAGTGTATTGTGCACCCCATACTCATCCTGTGAACGGTAGTGTATTGTGCACCCCATACTCATCCTGTGAACGGTAGTGTATTGTGCACCCCATACTCATCCTGTGAACGGTAGTTGGACGAGTCACAGTAGCGGGACTGAAGACATAATGACCAAACCACACATCACATAATGGAGAAACGACGACGTTTCAGGGTCGTCTCTGGACCATTATGGAGTCGTGTAATGGTCCAGGACGGACCAAAACCTCGTCGTCTCTCCATTATGCATTATGTGATGTGGTTCGGTCATCAAGGGTAGTTACTGCGCGCCCCCCATACTCTCTGGTTGCACTACAAAAACTGGACATTATATATTCAAAATATTTTCAACATCATGATATATTCACAATATTTTCAAAATCATGATATATTTATTCAAAATATTTTCATTTCATATTGCAGGGTAAGCATTATATTGTGCATATAGAGTACCACAGATAAGACTGACAAACTTAATAATAATTATTATTGATTGGTTGTTGATACAATTTGTGGTGAGGTGTGGCGTGTCCGTCCTGGCCCGTGGTGAGGTGTGGAGTGTCCGTCCTGGCCCGTGGTGAGGTGTGGAGTGTCCGTCCTGGCCCGTGGTGAGGTAGGGAGTGTCCGTCCTGGCCCGTGGTAAGGTGTGGAGTGTCCGTCCTGGCCCGTGGTAAGGTGTGGAGTGTCCGTCCTGGCCCGTGGTGAGGTGTGGAGTGTCCGTCCTGGCCCGTGGTGAGGTAGGGAGTGTCCGTCCTGGCCCGTGGTGAGGTAGGGAGTGTCTGTCCTGGCCCGTGGTGAGGTAGGGAGTGTCCGTCCTGGCCCGTGGTGAGGTATGGAGTGTCCGTCCTGGCCCGTGGTGAGGTAGGGAGTGTCCGTCCTGGCCCGTGGTGAGGTAGGGAGTGTCCGTCCTGGCCCGTGGTGAGGTAGGGAGTGTCCGTCCTGGCCCGTGGTGAGGTAGGGAGTGTCCGTCCTGGCCCGTGGTGAGGTAGGGAGTGTCCGTCCTGGCCCGTGGTGAGGTGTGGAGTGTCCGTCCTGGCCCGTGGTGAGGTGTGGAGTGTCCGTCCTGGCCCGTGGTGAGGTAGGGAGTGTCCGTCCTGGCCCGTGGTAAGGTGTGGAGTGTCCGTCCTGGCCCGTGGTAAGGTGTGGAGTGTCCGTCCTGGCCCGTGGTGAGGTGTGGAGTGTCCGTCCTGGCCCGTGGTGAGGTAGGGAGTGTCCGTCCTGGCCCGTGGTGAGGTAGGGAGTGTCTGTCCTGGCCCGTGGTGAGGTAGGGAGTGTCCGTCCTGGCCCGTGGTGAGGTAGGGAGTGTCCGTCCTGGCCCGTGGTGAGGTAGGGAGTGTCCGTCCTGGCCCGTGGTGAGGTGTGGAGTGTCCGTCCTGGCCCGTGGTGAGGTAGGGAGTGTCCGTCCTGGCCCGTGGTGAGGTGTGGAGTGTCCGTCCTGGACTTTTCAGGTTTATAATGATACAAGTCATGAGTTTCAATGGGCTGATTTCCCTTCTGTTCTACACTTCTCCCAACAGGCTCAACGACCAGCCTCAAGAGGGAAGCACTTCACATTCTGCCTCGGGTTTCTGGATGATGATATAGTTACCAGTGTTGTCACTACCCATCACTTGCCCCTTCCTGAAGGGCCCTACTGCCCTCCACTACCCCTTGCTGGCCACTACTCACACCCCTTCACCACACACCAGTCATCACTGTCCGCATCACGCCACTACCCACAGTCTATCACTACCACTACCAGCAACCCGCCACTACTTTTCACTCCCTATTATTCCTCTATCACCCACCACTACCCGGGACCTGCCCCACACGTACTATTGACCTCACTACTTCCCAGCTACCCAATACCCAATTAATTGTTCAGGACACCCCCCGCCTGCCACTACTTCTAGTCCACCACTATTCCAAGGCCCTCTACTGCCTCTCTAGTGGCCTGCCGATACACCTAGCCCACAACTAAGCCTCCCTTCCCCCTATTTGGTAATCGCTAGTCACAGCCTCATCATCCCCCGAAGGTGACGCCCTCAACACTAGTTGACAGTGAAACCTGGTGGTGGTGCCGTGAACCACTAGTCTTACTCCAGGGGTCTTGTCCGGTCTTTTTGGTTGATGCTTTGAGCTCCCAGTATCTCCTTCCTACCAGTACCACCCGTACTACCACCACTTGGACCACCAACCAGAACTTCCTGCAGCCGCTACCACCACCACTATTATCGGGATCACTGCACCACTGCACCACAAGCAAGATGGCTCTCAGTCGTCGGGTGAAGCTGGCCTACGGAGTTGGTCACGTGTTTAATGACCTGTGCGCCTCCATGTGGTTCACATACCTACTCGTTTACCTCCAGTATGTCCTCCAGGTGAGATAACTTGCTCTTAATTTACCTCCAATATGTCCTTCACATGAAGCCCCTATTTATGTATTTATCTTCCCTCCAAATTTATATATTTTCCATTGATGAAGTGTCCAATCACTCAGACTGATTGGTAGAGCGAAGGCTTTGTTTCTCGCAGAGTTGGCGATCGATCCCCAAAGGTACCACTGATTTGATTCCATTTAGATATCCTTCCAAGTGCTATATAGTCATACTGCCTTCGTGCTTTCCTTTCATGAATACAAATGGCGTTCCCTGTCCGTGACACAACTAACCGCCCTGCCTCCACCAGCTGGACCGAGGGCTGGCCGGGTTCCTGCTGCTCATGGGACAGGTGGCGGACGCGGTGTCCACGCCTCTCATCGGCCTCCAGAGCGACCGCGGCTGCACCTTCTGCACCTACGGCAGGAGGAAGTCCTGGCACGCCATCGGTGGGTCTTGCGGCCTCTTGTCTTGGAACACCTGACGTGTGTGTGTGTGTGTGTGTGTGTGTGTGTGTGTGTGTGTGTGTGTGTGTGTGTGTGTGTGTGTGTGTGTATGTGTGTGTGTGTGTGTTGTCGCGGGCCGCTGTGTCTCAGTGGCGTGTCTGTGTCCTGGGGGTCACTTCTATCTTGTAATGAGGTTTTGTATATTCATGTATAGTTCTGTGAGTTATGTATGTTTTTGACAGTTTTTATGTATATTTTCGTGGATTTATGTATATTTTTGTGAGTTTGTGCATGTTTCTGTGAGTTTCCGTATATTTTTGTATTATACGTATGTGTTTCTTCATGATGGAGAGAGATAAGATGGCCGCCTGTGAACATCAGTTTTACAACAGTAAGTTCCTTCACGTTTAAAAGTTTTAAAGCAATGAACACATTTAAATAAAAAAAAAATTGAACCAAAATGGTAATTATTTACAATTTCGAATACGAAAATAATGCAGTATAACAAAATATTAATTGTGTGTGTGCTGTAAGTGTAACACAGTGTGTGTGTGTGTGCGTGTGCTGTAAGTGTAACACAGTGTGTGTGTGTGTGCGTGTGCTGTACGTGTAACACAGTGTGTGTGTGTGTGCGTGTGCTGTAAGAGTAACACAGTGTGTGTGTGTGTGCGTGTGCTGTACGTGTAACACAGTGTGTGTGTGTGTGCGTGTGCTGTAAGTGTAACACAGTGTACAGTGTGTGTGTGCTGTCAGTGTACCACTGCGTACAATGTGTATGCTGTAAGTGTACCGCAGTGTACAGTGTGTGTGTGTGCTGTTAGTGTACCGCAGTGTACAGTGTGTGTGTGCTGTTAGTGTACCACAGTGTACAGTGTGTATGTGTGCTGTTAGTGTACCGCAGTGTACAGTGTGTGTGTGTGCTGTTAGTGTACCGCAGTGTACAGTGTGTGTGTGTGTGTGTGTGTGTGTGCTTTCAGTGTACCACTGCGTACAATGTGTATACTGTCAGTGTACCACTGTGTACAATGTGTGTGCTGTCAGTGTACCGCAGTGTACAGTGTGTGTGCTGTTAGTGTACCGCAGTGTACAGTGTGTGTATGCTGTCAGTGTACCACAGTGTACATGCCCCTTCCCTAACGCCTTACACCTCCTCCTGCCCCCGACAGGTACAGCGTGTGTGTGTACCACAGTGTGTGTATGCTGTCAGTGTACCACAGTGTACATGCCCCCTCCCTAACGCCTTACACCTCCTCCTGCCCCCCACAGGTACAGCGTGTGTGATGTTTTCCTTCCCCTTCATTTTCATCGTGTGTGGCTTGTGTTTTGCTGTTCTCGGCTTCGGTTATATCCTCATACTGGGGTTCATGATCTGCCTCTTCCAGGTGAGTCACACTCATCACCCCGGCACCCACTGTAACACTCAACAATAATTCTTAAAGAAAAGACCTCAACTTTGTCCATAATCTTGAACAAATCTACATGTATAGTCAAATAATCAAATGCATCAATTATTATTATTTGATAGAAGCCTACAATTGTATATTTGTGAAATTTATACAAAGAATTTACACCAAGTCGCCATTAGACGTTGAGATGTAAGTCTCGTCTTATAATCACACACTGAGACCAAGACTTACACACTCAGTTGAGTGTGTAAGACTTGGTCTAAATCTTTACATCAATTTTACAAATACACAAGTGTGGTTTTTTTATCCTGTGTTGCTATATTTGTGAGAAGACATTATTATTAAGTATTATTATTATTATTATCACTTAATATTACTCATTGGATTTATTACTGTTTGTGAAGCTTTCTTCCTGCAGATATATTATATAATTAAAAAAATACTTGTATAAATTATTTGATTATCTAATTGTAATGCAAATTATCATCAGTAAGAATCGTTATTTCAGCATTACCCAAAAACACTAACGAATTATTGTTAATATCAATAATGTCTCATAAATACGGCTAAAACATGCAGTTTAACTCAATTTTTCCCCGTGAATAAGATTTAACAAGTGATGTTGCTCACAGGACCTCCTCATACTGACAACATCTACGGTATAGGGCGCCTGATAATCCTCCTGATACTTACACTAATATAAGTAATACTGACATGAGGTCACATAATCCTAATACTCTATACGATCTCTGCTTATCATCCTGATCTTGACGATCGAGTGATGATGCTCACCCCTCATACCGGACACTGCTCCTCATATTCACCCATGTGTTCACACGAAGCCCTGGCACTCGGCCTCATACTCCTGATACTTGCACCTTACAGTTCGGGTGGGCGGCGACCCAGGTGTCTCACCTGGCCCTCATCCCTGACCTCACGGACGTCGAGGCTGAGAGAGACGAACTCAACATTATAAGGTCAGTCGTAGTCGGTAATGTTTGACACCTGTCTGTGTGACACGCTCCCAGTCTGTGTGACACGCTCCCAGTCTGTGTGACACGCTCCCAGTCTGTGTGACACGCTCCCAGTCTGTGTGACACGCTCCCAGTCTGTGTGACACGCTCCCAGTCTGTGTGACACGCTCCCAGTCTGTGTGACACGCTCCCAGTCTGTGTGACACGCTCCCAGTCTGTGTGACACGCTCCCAGTCTGTGTGACACGCTCCCAGTCTGTGTGACACGCTCCCAGTCTGTGTGACACGCTCCCAGTCTGTGTGACACGCTCCCAGTCTGTGTGACACGCTCCCAGTCTGTGTGACACACCACCTGTCTGTGTGACACGCTCCCAGTCTGTGTGACACGCTCCCAGTCTGTGTGACACGCTCCCAGTCTGTGTGACACGCTCCCAGTCTGTGTGACACGCTCCCAGTCTGTGTGACACGCTCCCAGTCTGTGTAACGCGCCACCAGTCTGTGTGACACGCTCCCAGTCTGTGTGACGCGCCACCTGTCTGTGTGACACGCTCCCAGTCTGTGTGACGCGCCACCAGTCTATGTGACACGCTCCCAGTCTGTGTGACACGCTCCCAGTCTATGTGATACGCTCCCAGTCTGTGTGACAAGCTCCCAGTCTGTGTGACACGCTCCCAGTCTGTGTGTCGCGCCACCTGTCTGTGTGACACGCTCCAGTCTGTGTGACGCGCCACCTGTGTGTATTGAGTGGGTAAATGAGGCTTTGGGATGAGTGAGATGGGATTGGATGGGAAGGGGGTGAGGTGGAGTGGGAAAAAGAGAGAGGGGGGTGTAGAAGGGATGGGGGGTAACTAAGGTGATAGAGACGCCTCCTATCTCTCCTGATAAGCTAACATCTGGTGACCATAAAGGAATACAAATAGAATGAGTTCAGGGCAGCTAGAGGACAAGGTGCAGCAGAACCTTGTAAAGTATATGTTGGAATAAAATAATAGATCTATATCTGTAAAAGGAAATGTCTATATGTGTGTACTTGGAGGTCGGACACCTGGGCCAGGCTCGCCCAACTTGGCAGGGTGACTGCTGCGGGGTAGAGTACTGTCACAGGATGGGCAAGTTCAGCCACATTTCTCACATCAAAACGAGACTCCCGTAGCTACCTCCCACGAAATCGGTCGAAGGTGGTTGCATGGCAGCTAACTACCATTACTACCGTCATGGGGGGTCGGGTACGTGGCCCCCGTGGCGCAATATTTTGGTGTCAGGATTGACCCAGGGATCCCAATACTTAAATGGCACAACCTTTTGGGCTCGACCCAGTCAATTGGGTTTAGGGATCGAGTAGCTTAGGGGGGAGGGGATTGGGGGGGGGGAGGGGTGTTGCCACACATGCAGGTTACCTTACCAATGGGTTCCTTGTGACTGTGTTGAGGTGCGGGGAAAGGTGGAGGTGCCGGGGTGTGGTGGGGTAACGTTACTGCCACAGGTCACCTGATACCCTACCCCACCACACCCCCACCGCTCCCCACCCCACCTACCTCAGAACTCCACTACTCCATCCACAACTTTAAGGTGGAGACTCGACAATGAATTCGAGTGTCAGAAGAGTTAAGTTGCAGCACAAGAGGAACAACGAGAGCAGTAGGCAGGACAAAGAACTATACCTGGTTGATACCTGGTTGATGGGGTTCTGGGAGTTCTTTTACTCCCCAAGCCCGGCCCGAGGCCAGGCTTGACTTGTGAGAGTTTGGTCCACCAGGCTGTTGCTTGGAGCGGCCCTATATAGCCCTGACTTCCCCGTAGTCACTCATAGGCAAGTACTACTCACCTAGATGTACTTACATGGTCAAGCCGCCGCGACTCCTACCCCCCCCCCCCCCCCCACCCACACTCACGTAGCGCATTGGTTACAGTACCTGTGCAAGGAGAGGCGTTTAAGTACTTTATTTATCACCAGATACCTCTGTTCACCATATAGTAGGGCAATTTGGTAGTGGACTTACCTGGCACAGGAGCTGGGCTGTGGATACGAGGAGCAAGGAGAGAATATGTGGGGGTGTACAGTCTAGAGTTGAAGCAGCCACCGCCCCCCCACCCCTCACGATGCCTCCCTCAGCCTCACCCGTCACACTCACCGTCACTTAGCCTCACCCGTCACACTCTCCGTCACTCAGCCTCACCCGTCACACTCTCCGTCACTCAGCCTCACCCGTCACACATTCGGTTTACACTTTCCAGAGTGGTGTTACGATCCCTTAGGACCTTTAGCTTTGATGGCCAAAGAACTTGGAAAGGATGTGGGAGGAAGAAGGATGGGGCGATGAAATTCTCAATAACTGGTTTCTTGATGTTATAACCTTTTTTATAGTATCCGACCCCAAGTCGGTAGTAGGATTTCAAGATTGGTAGTAGTGCAAAGCATAAATAAAGGGGGGGGGGATAAACAATACACGATTCCCTTCACCAATATATTCACCTTCACCATAAATAAATATATAAATAGCCTAGTTCTACACTTATGTACAACAGTGTCTCTTTCACGCAAGACAAATGCGTTAGCAGTGTTCGTCAACCCGTGTTTCAACCGTCCAGTACCCTGTCCACTCGTACTGGCAAACACTGGCGAATTCACCTTTTACATGGGCCAGTCCACCGGTACAGTATCACGATGTGCCTACACCCAACCTTTCGCTCTCCAGCTACTGACTGGCAGAGGTCTTCAGCAACACGCTGACAGGGGTCTCAAACAACCATATACAGGGGTAGCGAACACCCTGGTAGAAGCCTCTAGCAGCTTGCTAGCAGCACTTCACAACAGGAACATCACTGTCGTCCGCAACCCTTACTTAAACAATCCTGGGTACGCCGATCTGCGCCAACACTGCGTATATCAGCAGTGAACACACACTGCTCAGATCGACGGTGGCTATCTAGTCTTCTTGCACGACCAAACTAAGGGTTTGTGGACTGCCCAAGGTAAACTACCTTCCTCAGTACAAACACCTCCATATGTCGCCTCTGTGGACATAGAATGTCATTACATTACATTCCCCAGGACACTGGGGAAACCATGAGGTAACATTCATTTACCGGGGAGTTGATATTGTGACTTGTAGCCACAACCTAGATGGTGCTGATCGTGACACACCACCCACTAGAGGTCACCATCATCGACCTCGCATTCTAACTGAGGCAGGAAAACAGAGCCATTGATCGCTGCCACGTCACCACCAACAGATGGCGTTGTCCACATAGCATCCAATACCAGGGGAGTTGGAGTACAGACCCATAGATGGTGTTGAAATTGCCACACACTACTCCGACGATGGTGTCGATACCATAACACTGGTTTTCCCCATTGGTAATGTTTGTTGCCAGAGCGGACTGTTATACAAAGATAGCACTACAGTTATCTGTGTGAAGGTGACAGTAGCGGCAATGTTATCTTCCTACCTCCTGTGGTCAACAATGTTCCAGCATCTGAGAGTATACATACTGATATATCTTAACATTCATAAACACACATTATGGTGGAAATTATTGTATTTTCACACAAGGTCAAATGGTCTTGTTGACGCCATTGTCTAGTTCTTGGTTGGACATTAATGCTTGGGAGAGTCCAGGACACTGGTGGTAGCAGGTGTTGGACACAAACACTGAAGGAGAGTCCAGGACACTGGTGGTAGCAGGTGTTGGACACAAACACTGAAGGAGAGTCCAGGACACTGGTGGTAGCAGGTGTTGGACACAAACACTGAAGGAGAGTCCAGGACACTGGTGGTAGCAGGTGTTGGACACAAACACTGAAGGAGAGTCCAGGACACTGGTGGTAGCAGGTGTTGGACACAAACATTGAAGGAGAGTCCAGGACACTGGTGGTAGCAGGTGTTGGACACAAACACTGAAGGAGAGTCCAGGACACTGGTGGTAGCAGGTGTTGGACACAAACATTGAAGGAGAGTCCAGGACACTGGTGGTAACAGGTGTTGGACACAAACATTGAAGGAGAGTCCAGGACACTGGTGGTAGCAGGTGTTGGACACAAACACTGAAGGAGAGTCCAGGACACTGGTGGTAACAGGTGTTGGACACAAACACTGAAGGAGAGTCCAGGACACTGGTGGTAGCAGGTGTTGGACACAAACATTGAAGGAGAGTCCAGGACACTGGTGGTAACAGGTGTTGGACACAAACATTGAAGGAGAGTCCAGGACACTGGTGGTAGCAGGTGTTGGACACAAACATTGAAGGAGAGTCCAGGACACTGGTGGTAACAGGTGTTGGACACAAACATTGAAGGAGAGTCCAGGACACTGGTGGTAGCAGGTGTTGGACACAAACACTGAAGGAGAGTCCAGGACACTGGTGGTAGCAGGTGTTGGACACAAACACTGAAGGAGAGTCCAGGACACTGGTGGTAGCAGGTGTTGGACACAAACACTGAAGGAGAGTCCAGGACACTGGTGGTAGCAGGTGTTGGACACAAACACTGAAGGAGAGTCCAGGACACTGGTGGTAGCAGGTGTTGGACACAAACATTGAAGGAGAGTCCAGGACACTGGTGGTAGCAGGTGTTGGACACAAACATTGAAGGAGAGTCCAGGACACTGGTGGTAGCAGGTGTTGGACACAAACACTGAAGGAGAGTCCAGGACACTGGTGGTAGCAGGTGTTGGACACAAACACTGAAGGAGAGTCCAGGACACTGGTGGTAGCAGGTGTTGGACACAAACACTGAAGGAGAGTCCAGGACACTGGTGGTAGCAGGTGTTGGACACAAACATTGAAGGAGAGTCCAGGACACTGGTGGTAGCAGGTGTTGGACACAAACACTGAAGGAGAGTCCAGGACACTGGTGGTAGCAGGTGTTGGACACAAACACTGAAGGAGAGTCCAGGACACTGGTGGTAGCAGGTGTTGGACACAAACACTGAAGGAGAGTCCAGGACACTGGTGGTAGCAGGTGTTGGACACAAACACTGAAGGAGAGTCCAGGACACTGGTGGTAGCAGGTGTTGGACACAAACATTGAAGGAGAGTCCAGGACACTGGTGGTAGCAGGTGTTGGACACAAACATTGAAGGAGAGTCCAGGACACTGGTGGTAGCAGGTGTTGGACACAAACACTGAAGGAGAGTCCAGGACACTGGTGGTAGCAGGTGTTGGACACAAACACTGAAGGAGAGTCCAGGACACTGGTGGTAACAGGTGTTGGACACAAACACTGAAGGAGAGTCCAGGACACTGGTGGTAACAGGTGTTGGACACAAACACTGGACACAGGACACTGACGGTGGCACATTTGGCCGGCAGGTACATCTTCGACGTGTGTAGCGACGTCTTGGTGTACCTGGTGGCCTGGATCACCTTCGCTGAGGACTCCCCTCTCTCCAGCAGGTTCATCGACCCCGGGGATGCTCACAACTTTAAGGTGAGAGAAAGAGATCCTTTCAGTCTCTTAGAGGTCATGTATGTGACAATTATATTTATATCTTTAGATAAGGTGTGGGTTGTGTAGCAGATGTCGTGGAGGCGGTCGTAAACTAGTAAGTTAATAACCTGTTGTTAACTATAATGCCACTTAGCTGTGTTCGACAGGTTTATACACACTGGTATTATACGTATACTTGAGAGGTATAGTGAGAGTACCAGTATTGTCTCATAAGTATTTCAGCTTAGTATGGCGAATATACACGAGTAGTATTGAGATTATACCTAGTATAACAAGTATACCTGAGTAGCATGGCGAGTATAACAGAGAAACAGAGTAGGCTAAGGTGGTATACTTAACATATATCTGCCACTGTGTCAGATCATCACCATCACCGTCATGGTCGTGGGAACAATCTTCTCTGTGATCTTCCACGTCTACACCCCCGAGGACGGCTCCAGGACCTCCAGGAGGCGCACGCAGTCCTACCAACAGTTGTCCACGGGTCCAGAGCTCCAGGCCACGTCATCCTCCAGCGAGCCAGCGGCAGAGGTGCTCGAAGCCTCCCAAAGGGAACCCTTGCTCGACGGCGCTCACATGTTATGGAGGGACTGGCTCTCAGAACCCCAGTTTTATCAGGCGAGTTCACATGAAGTTATATACCGTAAAATGGGAAGTTAAAACCTGGTAACAAAGTAATTCGGATCAGTCTTTCTCTTCCTTCTTGTCCAGTAGTGAATCTTATTTGTGCAGCCGGAATAAATTAGTTGAAGATAGTGGTGGGGACCTGGGTATGGGCCGATTCCTGTGTAGAGGTTATGGTACCTGGCCTCCCTCTCAGTACCTGATTCCTTTGGCATCCTTCCACGTCTCCTTGAAGGAGGTGTGGCAGTTGTGGTCGGTAACAAGCAATGTGCGGTTTGAGTATATATAAGAAAACCATGAAACGAACTCATTTGATGTAAAATAGATGTTGAGTAATGATAGAGTTGGTTCTTGAAATATAAACTTCCTAAATTTCCCAACTTAGAGATTCGCTTGACGTTGGGAGGCCTTGGAAGCCACAATACTTCTAATACAAAAGATGTAGCACAATTTAATTGGTGCCTAATCAGATTTCTGATCAGGCATCCAGACCAGAAAGGTATTCTCAGACCATTAGTTCCACAGAAGATCAAATGTTGACAGTGACCTAGAACAATGTGGGTCTCAACTTGTTTCAGACCACGGCCAACCAGACCAGTTATTTTCGCAGAACTCCACCATTGTGAGAAGTATGGAAATTTACTTCTTACTAACAAATTTTTGGGGTGTGTTGCTACTCTGGACCTTCGAGAGTCACCTTGGGGTGTGTTGCTACTCTGGACCTTCGAGAGTCACCTTGGGGTGTGTTGCTACTCTGGACCTTCGAGAGTCACCTTGGTGTTTCTCTGTTGGCGTAGAGAAATACCAAGTGTAGTTTACTGACGATGACGGTAGCAACCCGTTCTCGCACTTGCGTATAGTCAATATTTTGCTTATGAACAAGTACATATGTGATATACTAATTTATTGTGAATATTTGAGTTTACCTGAAATGCTGAATAGAAAACCATGACCTAACCTAACCTTCTTATATTAAGATATTACAATTAGCACTTAACCTATACCTATATTGATATTACAGTTTTATAAAAATAATAAAACAACGGGTTGCAAGCATCACCTGTGAGGGCTTCATCAACTCTGTGGCACACACTGGATGAAGCCCTCTCAGTGGCACGTCCCTCTCAGTGTCACGTCCCTCTCAGTGGCACGTCCCTCTCAGTGTCACGTCCCTCTCAGTGACACGTCCCTCTCAGTGTCACGTCCCTCTCAGTGACACGTCCCTCTCAGTGTCACGTCCCTCTCAATGTCACGTCCCTCTCAGTGTCACGTCCCTCTCAGTGACACGTCCCTCTCAGTGTCACGTCCCTCTCAGTGACACGTCCCTCTCAGTGACACGTCCGTCTCAGTGACACGTCCCTCTCAGTGTCACGTCCCTCTCAGTGACACGTTCCTCTCAGTGACACGTCCGTCTCAGTGGCACGTCCCTCTCAGTGGCACGTCCCTCTCAGTGGCACGTCCCTCTCAGTGTCACGTCCCTCTCAGTGACACGTCCCTCTCAGTGTCACGTCCCTCTCAGTGTCACGTCCCTCTCAGTGGCACGTCCCTCTCAGTGGCACGTCCCTCTCAGTGGCACGTCCCTCTCAGTGTCACGTCCCTCTCAGTGTCACGTCCCTCTCAGTGTCACGTCCCTCTCAGTGACACGTCCCTCTCAGTGTCACGTCCCTCTCAGTGTCACGTCCCTCTCAGTGTCACGTCCCTCTCAGTGACACGTCCCTCTCAGTGTCACGTCCCTCTCAGTGACACGTCCCTCTCAGTGTCACGTCCCTCTCAGTGTCACGTCCCTCTCAGTGACACGTCCCTCTCAGTGTCACGTCCCTCTCAGTGACACGTCCCTCTCAGTGTCACGTCCCTCTCAGTGACACGTCCCTCTCAGTGTCACGTCCCTCTCAGTGTCACGTCCCTCTCAGTGACACGTCCCTCTCAGTGTCACGTCCCTCTCAGTGACACGTCCCTCTCAGTGTCACGTCCCTCTCAGTGTCACGTCCCTCTCAGTGTCACGTCCCTCTCAGTGACACGTCCCTCTCAGTGACACGTCCCTCTCAGTGTCACGTCCCTCTCAGTGTCACGTCCCTCTCAGTGTCACGTCCCTCTCAGTGACACGTCCCTCTCAGTGTCACGTCCCTCTCAGTGACACGTCCCTCTCAGTGTCACGTCCCTCTCAGTGACACGTCCCTCTCAGTGTCACGTCCCTCTCAGTGTCACGTCCCTCTCAGTGACACGTCCCTCTCAGTGTCACGTCCCTCTCAGTGACACGTCCCTCTCAGTGTCACGTCCCTCTCAGTGTCACGTCCCTCTCAGTGTCACGTCCCTCTCAGTGACACGTCCCTCTCAGTGTCACGTCCCTCTCAGTGACACGTCCCTCTCAGTGTCACGTCCCTCTCAGTGACACGTCCCTCTCAGTGTCACGTCCCTCTCAGTGACACGTCCCTCTCAGTGACACGTCCCTCTCAGTGTCACGTCCCTCTCAGTGACACGTCCCTCTCAGTGTCACGTCCCTCTCAATGTCACGTCCCTCTCAGTGTCACGTCCCTCTCAGTGACACGTCCCTCTCAGTGTCACGTCCCTCTCAGTGACACGTCCCTCTCAGTGACACGTCCCTCTCAGTGACACGTCCCTCTCAGTGTCACGTCCGTCTCAGTAACACGTCCCTCTCAGTGTCACGTCCCTCTCAGTGACACGTTCCTCTCAGTGACACGTCCCTCTCAGTGACACGTCCCTCTCAATGACACGTCCCTCTCAGTGACACGTCCCTCTCAATGACACGTCCCTCTCAGTGTCACGTTATCATCAATAAAGCTCACTCTAAATTTGGTGGACGCTTTCTCTATTGCCAGAGCAATAAAGTATTCTTGAATGATGATGTTTGAGTGTGTTGCAGGTGACGTTGCTGTACGGGTGTGCCCGCCTCGTGGCTAACTTGTCCAACATCTACATGCCCATCTATCTCCAGGAGACCATCCACGCCAAGCAGGTGAGTCGCTCTCTCTGACGCCAGGTGAGTCTCTCTCTCTGACGCCAGGTGAGTCTCTCTCTCTGACGCCAGGTGAGTCTCTCTCTCTGACGCCAGGTGAGTCTCTCTCTCTGACTCCAGGTGAGTCTCTCTCTCTGACGCCAGGTGAGTCGCTCTCTCTGACGCCAGGTGCGTCGCTCTCTCACACCAATAGAGCAAATCGCTAGTTTGCCTGAAATAATATGTGATTATTGCCTGAAATAATCTATCATAGTTGTGACCCCCAAGGAAACATACTTATTATAAACATGAGAGAGGGTGAACTTTCAACCAAAAGAAACTCAAACGTTTATATATTAAATGTAGCAAAATATTGATAACGAAAGTAGAATATTGTGTTGATACTAGAGTCGGCAGTGTCCTGGTTGAGGTTCGAGACAGTTATACTAGATTGATCGAATTATTATTACCCTGGTGTTGCATGGTGTTGCAGGAGCTGATCGCTGTGGTCCCGTTAGTGATGAGCCTCTCCAGTGTGGGCTCCTCCTTCCTCCTGAGGGCGCTGAGGAAGGCAGTCGGCAAGAAGGTCACTCGCAACTGTTTTGTAATCTATCTACGTGTGTTCCGCCTGTGTATGTGTGTGATCCATCCACTGGTGCCCCGCCTGTGTATGTGATCCATCCACTGGTGCCCCGCCTGTGTATGTGATCCAACCACTGGTGCCCCGCCTGTGTATGTGATCCATCCACTGGTGTCCCGCCTGTGTATGTGATCCATCCACTGGTGCCCCGCCTGTGTATGTGATCCATCCACTGGTGCCCCGCCTGTGTATGTGATCCATCCACTGGTGTCCCGCCTGTGTATGTGATCCATCCACTGGTGTCCCGCCTGTATATGTGATCCATCCACTGGTGTCCCACCTGTGTGTGTGATCCATCCACTGGTGTCCCACCTGTGTGTGTGATCCATCCACTGGTGTCCCACCTGTGTGTGTGATCCATCCACTGGTGCCCCGCCTGTGTATGTGATCCATCCACTGGTGTCCCACCTGTGTGTGTGATCCATCCACTGGTGTCCCGCCTGTGTATGTGATCCAACCACTGGTGCCCCGCCTGTGTATGTGATCCAACCACTGGTGTCCCGCCTGTGTGTGTGATCCAACCACTGGTGTCCCACCTGTGTGTGTGATCCATCCACTGGTGTCCCACCTGTGTGTGTGATCCAACCACTGGTGCCCCACCTGTGTATGTGATCCAACCACTGGTGTCCCGCCTGTGTATGTGATCCATCCACTGGTGCCCCACCTGTGTATGTGATCCAACCACTGGTGTCCCGCCTGTGTATGTGATCCATCCACTGGTGCCCCGCCTGTGTATGTGATCCATCCACTGGTGCCCCACCTGTGTATGTGATCCAACCACTGGTGTCCCGCCTGTGTATGTGATCCAACCACTGGTGCCCCACCTGTGTATGTGATCCAACCACTGGTGTCCCGCCTGTGTATGTGATCCATCCACTGGTGCCCCGCCTGTGTATGTGATCCATCCACTGGTGCCCCGCCTGTGTGTGTGATCCATCCACTGGTGTCCCGCCTGTGTGTGTGATCCATCCACTGGTGTCCCGCCTGTGTATGTGATCCATCCACTGGTGTCCCACCTGTGTATGTGATCCATCCACTGGTGTCCCACCTGTGTGTGTGATCCATCCACTGGTGTCCCGCCTGTGTGTGATCCATCCACTGGTGTCCCGCCTGTGTGTGTGATCCATCCACTGGTGTCCCGCCTGTGTATGTGATCCATCCACTGGTGCCTCGCCTGTGTGTGTGATCCATCCACTGGTGCCCCGCCTGTGTATGTGATCCATCCACTGGTGTCCCACCTGTGTGTGTGATCCATCCACTGGTGTCCCGCCTGTGTGTGATCCATCCACTGGTGTCCCGCCTGTGTGTGTGATCCATCCACTGGTGTCCCGCCTGTGTATGTGATCCATCCACTGGTGCCCCGCCTGTGTGTGTGATCCATCCACTGGTGCCCCGCCTGTGTATGTGATCCATCCACTGGTGCCCCGCCTGTGTGTGTGATCCAACCACTGGTGTCCCGCCTGTGTATGTGATCCAACCACTGGTGTCCCACCTGTGTGTGTGATCCAACCACTGGTGCCCCGCCTGTGTATGTGATCCATCCACTGGTGCCCCGCCTGTGTATGTGATCCATCCACTGGTGCCTCGCCTGTGTGTGTGATCCATCCACTGGTGTCCCGCCTGTGTATGTGATCCAACCACTGGTGTCCCACCTGTGTGTGTGATCCAACCACTGGTGTCCCACCTGTGTATGTGATGCTTTACGCACTCCCCGTTGTGTGTGTGTAGAGTGTGAATGGGTTGGCTAGGGTGTACCAGTGAAGATTAACTGATAGTGAGGTCACTGGTGATTTACTGAGTGTGAGGAGGTAAGGTAAGGCTGAGGAATAACTAACAGCGCTCCAGCGGTGGATTAATTGAGAGTGAGTCTACCGAGGTTTTATCAACTGTGAGGTGTTGGACTGAGGACTAACCGAGTGCAGGCGAGGAGTCACAATAACGTGGCTGAAATATGTTGACCAAACCACACACTAGAAAGTGAAGGGACGACGACGTTTCAGTCCGTTCTGGACCATTCTCAAGTCATCGTCGAGAAGAGACGACGACGTCGTCCCATCACTTTCTACGGAGTGGTTTGGTCGACTAAGTGAGTGTTAACTGACCGTGGCTGGTGTCTCCGGGGTGCAGGCGAGTGTGGTGGTGGGCATCGTGATCGGGCTGGTGGCGTGCACCGTGTCTGCCCTGCCGTGGATGCCTCTTTGGGGCCTCTTCAGCGTGGCCGTCCTCTGGGGCGTCTCTGGCTCGCTCCTCGTCATCATATCCCTCGCCTTCACTGCTGACCTCATAGGCAGGAACACGGTGAGTGTCTCTCTCTTGCCTAATGAATATATTTGCCCCTATCGTTGTAATATGAGCCATAATGAGTCATATGAGGAAGGAGGTGTTGGTGAAGGCGTGGCGTGTGTTCCCTACCACAGGACAGCTCCGCCTTCGTCTACGGCAGTATGAGCTTCGGGGACAAGATCGTCAACGGGTTCGCTGTCCTCATCATCCAGGAGCTCACCAGGTGCTGTACTTCCCGCTTACCTGCTTCTGCCTTACCGTCTCTTCTGTTGTAAACCTTCCGCCTGCACCCGTCTCTTGTTGTAAACCTTCCGCCTGCTTCCCGTCTCTTCTTGTAAACCTTCCGGCTGCTTCCCGTTTCTTGTTGTAAACCTTCCGCCTGCTTCCCGTCTCTTGTTGTAAACCTTCCGCCTGCTTCCCGTCTCTTCTTGTAAACCTTCCGGCTGCTTCCCGTCTCTTGTTGTAAACCTTCCGCCTGCTTCCCGTCTCTTGTTGTAAACCTTCCGGCTGCTTCCCGTCTCTTGTTGTAAACCTTCCGGCTGCTTCCCGTCTCTTGTTGTAAACCTTCCGGCTGCTTCCCGTCTCTTGTTGTAAACCTTCCGCCTGCTTCCCGTCTCTTGTTGTAAACCTTCCGCCTGCTTCCCGTCTCTTGTTGTAAACCTTCCGCCTGCTTCCCGTCTCTTGTTGTAAACCTTCCGCCTGCTTCCCGTCTCTTGTTGTAAACCTTCCGCCTGCTTCCCGTCTCTTGTTGTAAACCTTCCGCCTGCTTCCCGTCTCTTGTTGTAAACCTTCCGCCTGCTTCCCGTCTCTTGTTGTAAACCTTCCGGCTGCTTCCCGTCTCTTCTTGTAAACCTTCCGCCTGCTTCCCGTCTCTTCTTGTAAGCCTCCTGTCTGCTTCCTATATCTACTGCTGTTAATTTCCCGTCTGCTTCCCACCTTTTGCTACTGTCCGACACACATCTTTCGCTTTAATTACTCATTACACGTTTCCCGTACCCTTGTACCCGTGTACCCGTGTACCTGTGTGCCCGTGTACCTGTGTTCCTGTGTACCCATGTACCTGTGTACCCGTGTACCTGTGTTTCTGTGTACCCATGTACCCGTGTACCCGTGTACCTGTGTTCCCGTGTACCCGTGTACCTGTGTTCCCGTGTACCTGTGTTCCCGTGTACCCATGTACCCGTGTACCCATGTACCCGTGTACCTGTGTACCTGTGTTCCCGTGTACCCATGTACCTGTGTACCCATGTACCCGTGTACCTGTGTACCTGTGTTCCCGTGTACCCATGTACCTGTGTACCCGTGTTCCCATGTCCTCTATTCCGTTGGTCAGCAACTGTTTGCTCAGTAAGGCAATAGTCAATTAGTAAGCTAGTTAGTCAGTGAGGTAATTAGTAAGCTAGTTAGTCAGTGAGGTAATTAGTAAGCTGGTTAGTGAGGTAATTAGTAAGCTGGTTAGTCAGTGAGGTAATTAGTAAGCTAGTTAGTCAGTGAGGTAATTAGTAAGCTGGTTAGTGAGGTAATTAGTAAGCTGGTTAGTCAGTGAGGTAATTAGTAAGCTAGTTAGTCAGTGAGGTAATTAGTAAGCGAGTTAGTGAGGTAATTAGTAAGCTGGTTAGTCAGTGAGGCAATTAGTAAGCTAGTTAGTCAGTGAGGTAATTAGTAAGCTAGTTAGTGAGGTAATTAGTAAGCTGGTTAGTCAATGAGGTAATTAGTAAGCTAGTTAGTGAGGTAATTAGTAAGCTGGTTAGTCAATGAGGTAATTAGTAAGCGAGTTAGTGAGGTAATTAGTAAGCTGGTTAGTCAATGAGGTAATTAGTAAGCTAGTTAGTGAGGTAATTAGTAAGCTAGTTAGTCAGTGAGGTAATTAGTAAGCTGGTTAGTCAGTGAGGTAATTAGTAAGCTAGTTAGTGAGGTAATTAGTAAGCTGGTTAGTCAATGAGGTAATTAGTAAGCTAGTTAGTCAGTGAGGTAATTAGTAAGCTGGTTAGTGAGGTAATTAGTAAGCTGGTTAGTCAGTGAGGTAATTAGTAAGCTAGTTAGTGAGGTAATTAGTAAGCTAGTTAGTCAGTGAGGTAATTAGTAAACTGATCAGAAAGCTGTCATATGAAGTTCCAAGTGTCTCTCTTGCAGGAGTTTTCAAGTGTTTGAAGATCAGACGTCCAATCCCAGAAAATGATTCTCGCTGTGTTTTGGTGTAGTGGCAGCTAGTTACTGGTAGCACAGCGTGTTGTGTTAGTGTAGAGCTGGCCAGTTATTTACTGGCACACTGATGGCCTGTGTACAAGTACTGTTTCTGTGCAACCCGGGTAGATTGTTGGCGGGTAGATTGTTGGCGGGTAGACTGTTGGCGGGTAGACTGTTGGCTGGTAGACTGTTGGCGGGTAGACTGTTGGCGGGTAGAATGTTGGCGGGTAGACTGTTGGCGGGTAGAATGTTGGCGGGTAGACTGTTGGCTGGTAGACTGTTGGCGGGTAGACTGTTGGCGGGTAGAATGTTGGCGGGTAGACTGTTGGCGGGTAGATTGTTGGCGGGTAGACTGTTGGCGGGTAGACTGTTGGCGGGTAGATTGTTGGCGGGTAGACTGTTGGCGGGTAGATTGTTGGCGGGTAGACTGTTGGCGGGTAGATTGTTGGCGGGTAGATTGTTGGCGGGTAGACTGTTGGCGGGTAGACTGTTGGCTGGTAGACTGTTGGCGGGTAGACTGTTGGCGGGTAGAATGTTGGCGGGTAGACTGTTGGCGGGTAGACTGTTGGAGGGTAGAATGTTGGCGGGTAGACTGTTGGAGGGTAGACTGTTGGCGGGTAGACTGTTGGAGGGTAGAATGTTGGCGGGTAGACTGTTGGCGGGTAGACTGTTGGCTGGTAGACTGTTGGCGGGTAGACTGTTGGCGGGTAGAATGTTGGCGGGTAGACTGTTGGCGGGTAGACGGTTGGAGGGTAGAATGTTGGCGGGTAGACTGTTGGAGGGTAGACTGTTGGAGGGTAGACTGTTGCGGGTAGACTGGTGGCAGGTAAACTGTGACGGGTAGACTGTTGGCGGGTAGACTGTGACGGGTAGACTGTTGGCGGGTAGACTGTGACGGGTAGACTGTAACGGGTAGACTGGTGGCGGGTAGACTGTTGGCGTGTAGACTGTGACGGGTAGACTGGTGGCGGGTAAACTGTTGGCGGGTAGACTGTTGGCGGGTAGACTGTTGGCGGTAGACTGTGGCGGATAGACTGTGACGGGTAGACTGATGGCGGGTAGACTGGTGGCGGGTAGACTGTTGGCGATAGACTGTGGCGGATAGACTGTTGGCGGGTAGACTGTGACGGGTAGACTGTTGGCTGGTAGACTGTTGGCAGGTAGACTGTTGGCGGGTAGACTGTTGGCTGGTAGACTGTTGGCTGGTAGACTGTTGGCGGGTAGACTGTTGGCGGGTAGACTGTTGGCTGGTAGACTGTTGGCGGGTAGACTGTTGGCGGGTAGACTGTTGGCTGGTAGACTGTTGGCTGGTAGACTGTTGGCGGGTAGACTGTTGGCTGGTAGACTGTTGGCGGGTAGACTGTTGGCAGGTAGACTGTTGGCTGGTAGACTGTTGGCTGGTAGACTGTTGGCAGGTAGACTGTTGGCGGGTAGACTGTTGGCTGGTAGACTGTTGGCGGGTAGACTGTTGGCGGGTAGACTGTTGGCTGGTAGACTGTTGGCGGGTAGACTGTTGGCGGGTAGACTGTTGGCTGGTAGACTGTTGGCGGGTAGACTGTTGGCAGGTAGACTGTTGGCTGGTAGACTGTTGGCTGGTAGACTGTTGGCAGGTAGACTGTTGGCGGGTAGACTGTTGGCGGGTAGACTGTTGGCTGGTAGACTGTTGGCGGGTAGACTGTTGGCGGGTAGACTGTTGGCGGGTAGACTGTGGCGGGTAGATTGTTGGCGGGTAGACTGTTGGCGGGTAGACTGTGGCGGGTAGACTGTTGGCGGGTAGACTGTTGGCGGGTAGACTGTGGCGGGTAGACTGTTGAAGGGTAGACTGTTGAAGGGTAGACTGTTGAAGGGTAGACTGTTGGCGGGTAGACTGTGGCGGGTAGACTGTTGGCGGGTAGACTGTTGGCAGGTAGACTGTTGAAGGGTAGACTGTTGGCTGGTAGACTGTTGGCTGGTAGACTGTTGGCGGGTAGACTGTTGGCGGGTAGACTGTGGCGGGTAGATTGTTGGCGGGTAGACTGTTGGCGGGTAGACTGTGGCGGGTAGACTGTCGGCGGGTAGACTGTTGGCGGGTAGACTGTGGCAGGTAGACTGTTGGCGGGTAGACTATGGCGAGTAGACTGTTGGCGGGTAGACTGTGGCGGGTACACTGTAACGGGTAGACTGTTGGCGGGTTGACTGTGGCGGGTACACTGTAACAGGTAGACTGTTGGCGGGTAGACTGAACTAGCAGTGTAAACTTGTCACATCTTATGCTTCGGACTGAGGAAACAATTGCTTCAAGTGTGACTGCTCGGAGAAGAGCAAGATTCTCATTATTTGTCTTAGGTACGACTCTTGGGTGTTGAGGTGCTGATGAACTGGGACATGAATGACAGCTAAATTGCATCAAATGGTATGTTCAGTTTGCTGATTGGTTGAGATTATTGTCTGACGGTTCTAGTCGCTGCAGGAGGATGAGTTTATTTAAAGCTAGGCTGGTTAGTTAAAGTTCAAGAAGGCCTTAATCCGGTTTTTCATTATTGATAACAAATCCGGTTTGAGTTCCCGAAGCCTGGAATGCAATTTTGGAAGTAATTGAGGCATAATGTTGCAGGGTGGAGTGCATAGATGGCAACTGTGCCACATACTACCGTCACGTGATGAGTCTGGGCATCTTCGTCCCTCTCATGGTGGCCTTCGTCGCCATCTGCCTCCTCAGCCGAGAACAGCTGGGACGAACCCGCAAGCTGGTGCAGGGTGAGTACCCTTTCTTCTGGGGTGAGTATTGTTTGGTCTAGGGTGAGTACCCTTTCTTCTGGGGTGAGTATTGTTTGGTCTAGGGTGAGTACCCTTTCTTCTGGGGTGAGTATTGTTTGGTCTAGGGTGAGTACCCTTTCTTCTGGGGTGAATATTGTTTGGTGTAAGGTGAGTATTGTTTGGTCTAGGGTGAGTACCCTTTCTTCTGGGGTGAGTTGTTTTGACTCGGTGTGAGTATCACTGGTATAAAGTTCTCATGATGACTATAACGTTCTTAGAATGAATATAATATTTACAGTGTGAGTAACCCGTTCTCATGGTGAGTACCACGTTCCCTGGGATGAGTATAATGTTAACTAGAGTGCAGAAATTGAGTACATTGGTCTCTGATGTGGGAACTGTTACGAAGTGAATGAAAACTCAATCAAACGAGAACTGACATTTATAGTTTGGTGAGTTTATGGTTTAATTCCTTATAACATTACACTTGAGCACGTATTCCACCAAAGATTTTACTTCTGGCATCATTAAAGATTCTGGTATATGAGAAAACATCGAGGCTATAGAGTGGGTTGGAATCCGTGTCCCTGGACTCCCCAGGATACGGGTTCAAACTCATTCCACGACCTGAATGTGTTCAGTGTGTTCTGGCGATGTCATTGTGCATACCATTATATATGTAATTATCTAGAATTACACGTTAATCTTTTACATGTGTCCGGCAGCCCGTCTGGAACAGGGGACCTCCGGCAGTGGCTCCCTCAGTTCTAACTCCAGTGAGTTACTGCTCTCTACTGGTACCAACCTTGGTTATGGCACCGTCACCAAGGCCTGAGCACCATACTACCACCGTCACCAAGGCCTGAGCACATACTACCACCGTCACCAAGGTCTGAGCACCGTACTAGCACCGTCACCAAGGCCTGAGCACCATACTACCACCGTCACCAAGGCCTGAGCACATACCACCGTCACCAAGGGGCTGAGCACCATACTACCACCGTCACCAAGGCCTGAGCACCATGCTACCACCGTCACCAATGGCTGAGCACCGTCACCAAGGGCTGAGCACATACCACCGTCACCAAGGGGCTGAGCACCGTACTAGCACCGTCACCAAGGCCTGAGCACCATACTACCACCGTCACCAAGGCCTGAGCACCATACTACCACCGTCACCAAGGCCTGAGCACCATACTACCACCGTCACCAAGGCCTGAGCACATACCACCGTCACCAAGGCCTGAGCACCATACTACCACCGTCACCAAGGCCTGAGCACCATACTACCACCGTCACCAAGGCCTGAGCACCATACTACCACCGTCACCAAGGCCTGAGCACCATACTACCACCGTCACCAAGGCCTGAGCACCGTCACCAAGTGTTGTAGTTATAAAGCATTTCCGTTCCCGTATCTAAAATATTAGTATATTTACCTGCGTGTGTGCATGGCTGTATGTTTGCAGGTCTGACCGTTTGCCTGTCTGTATGCATTATTGTTTTGAATCAATAAAGTTGTAGTAGAGATGTTTGTGTAATTCATACTCCTGTACTGAGCGTGGAGTGCCACGCCCAGCCACCACAACTACTGCACCAAGAATATTCTAAACAAAATAAATGTCAATATTTAATAGAAAGAAACACTAAATGAATAATGGACTTAAACCTTTACACTGATAACCTGTACATGATGCTGATGGTCTGAGCCAGTGGCTATTATTTCCAGGAGAGAGATGGAGAGGGAAAGAGAGAAAATGAGATGATAACATTGACACGGTTGAGAAGAAAGAGATGTTTACAATGTTTACCAACAACACTAGAGGTGGTGCGCTTGGAGGCTTGAGGCACAGATGTACCACTGAGATGGTCAAATTATTTTATTGTCGTAAGAACAGTAAGCCATTATAATGATCTAGACAAGAAGATTGTAGATGCCGATTGCATTTACAGTTTTATGAATAGGTACAATAGAAGACCTGAAAAAAAGTCGAGGGTTATTCCATCAACGGCTAAAATGTCGGGGTCCGAGAACTGAACCTCGACTTTGAAAGATCAAATGGGCGACTACACATAGATGAGGTGAACACTCTACATTAACGGACTTCAAGTTGGTGTTTTATCCCTTGAAGATGGTCCAACAGCCTGTTGGTTAGTGGTTGTCACAAGTGAGGTGTTCCATTTGGTCACCATTTGGTCCGGGAGACATCTCCCGTCACGCAGGGTGCAGTCGCGCCTCCACAGATCTCCAGTATCATCTCTTGATACTGGTAATGGCTCAAAAGGGCCACCACTTACGGGCTATTCATGCCCGTGCCACCTCTTGGGTGGCTTAATCTTTATCAATCAATCAGTGAGGTGTTGACCACAGACGGGTCCCTGCTCTGGTCCCATGGTCCTCAGTTTATTTTCTCTGGTCCCATGGTCCTCAGTACATGTTCACTGGCCTATAACATCCTAGCCTTATAATATACCAGGCACCATATCAACATAGTGTATCTAACTAGCCAGCGTCAGGCAGAGACTAAAATACCCGCCATTCCTGATTCAAAGCGTGTAAACTGTCTACATTTAACAAAAGATGTAAACACTCTACCTTATCAAAACATAAACTAACCCTGTAATTCTCCTAATTATAATCTGATAACATTCAGAGCCTATCACAATAACAGGAAACAAAAGGTCTATCACAATAACAGGAAACAAAAGGTTTATCACAATAACAGGAAACAAAAGGTCTATCACAATAACAGGAAATAAAAATGGTCTCACATTCTCTGTGTCAACAAACAGGTATACCACACTCCATAAGATCAAGGCTCCAATATTCAAACATTAGGAGCTAGGATCGTAACATAGTACCGTGGTCCTCAGTACATCTAGGCAATGGTCTCCTTGACTTATTCAATATTTCGTCATTGTTAGTGTCTCCTCCCAGAGTGGTGTCAGCTGTTGTAGGTCTCAAGAGGTTTAGGACCCAATCTCATGAATTGCTGGAACCGTTCTAGAGCACAACATTAAACTCCGCGTTATGTTATATAATTCCTCTTCGTTTTGTGTCGGCTGAATGAATACCTGAATGCTCTTCTGTGGTGCTTTTGATTATAGGGTTATCAGCTTTAAACTAGCTCTCATAGCATGAGTTGGGGACCTAAAATTAACCGAAGGGGAGAATGAGCAACAAGTTTAATAGATTAATAATTGTGCGACAGGACCCTAGAGCTGAAGGACAAACGGCGCAAGGACTATTATGTAACCAAACACTTGAGGATCACCTCAGAACAATATTCGAGGCTTCCAACAAGACATTCATTCAGACTTGAATTGTAAACACAACTTTTCCGCCAAGCGACTCCGTGGTGACCTTCTTGCTGCGTCTCTCTCTCCCTCTCTCTCACACACACACACACACACCCTCTGCATTTACTGCCTCAATATCAATTTTCTTTATGCATAAATATCTCATTTCTCGTAGGATAAAGTTAAACATGATTATACCTACTCGGGGGGGTGGAGCCCCTATAGGCATGATCTCACAGGCTTATTAAAATCAGTGCAGTTCTCTATAGTACCTCATCCACCTCGCCATTTTGTGTTATTCCTGTTTCTTCTTGTAATTTTAATATAACACAAAATTTGTCTTGGTAATATCATTGTAGTGAGGGTGTCTGGCACTCCTGACACGAAGCTGCTGCCTACTTATTTATACAAGGCGGGAGGAGAGTGGTGCTACATCACTCCACTTACGTATTAGTTCCTCAGCCTTACTCTGGGGGTCGGTGGGCGAGGCTGCCGCCACTTGCCATAGTTTTAAAAACCTTTTGATTTCTTCAGGTGTGAAGTCCGCAATACTTTGCTCATATGCTGTACATCTTTATTGAGCTTGTTTATGTAGTTAGTTACATGCCATATTGTTTACTTCTATTGAGAGCTTCATGCGTGTGACGTGGAGGCCCGTTGGCGTCTTCAACACATGTATCGATATCTTCAATGAATTTATATTTTAATTTATTTTAATTTCTGTATTATGCACCCCATACCCAGGGCACTCAGTCATTATACCTCGGGATAGTTGTGCCAGTTTCAAAACATCACTCCATCAGTGATCATTCATTCCTAGACTGACTCGTATCTGAAACTTGTTCGTTCAACAAAAAGATGTGTGAATCATGCCAACCGATCACAAGAAGGCTCTGATACTCATTAGGCTCCTGGTTCATCATGTTCCTTACATGATAGTTACTTAGCATTAATTTTTGTATTCCTAATAGATAGAAATAATAATCTCTTTATGTAAAGGCGTTTATATGGTGAGGCTTCATATAAGCTGATGTACTCTAGGATAACAGCTGTAGCTTCCAACTTTCCAACTTCATTGGCAACATCAGTCACATTCCTAATAAACCCTAGACTTTCTTAGAAGAGAGAGAGAGAGAGGAGAGAGAGAGAGAGAAGAGAGAGAGAGAGAGAGAGAGCAGAGAGAGAGAGAGAGAGAGAGAGAGAGAGAGAGAGAGAGAGAGAGAGAGAGAGAGAGAGAGAGAGAGAGAGAGAGAGAGAGAGAGAGAGAGAGAGAGAGAGAGAGAAGAGAGAGAGAGAGAGAGAGAGAGAGAGAGAGAGAGAGAGAGAGAGAGAGAGAGAGAGAGAGAGAGAGAGAGAGAGAGAGAGAGAGAGAGAGAGAGAGAGAGAGAGAGAGAGAGAGAGAGAGAGAGAGAGAGAGAGAGAGTGAGAGAGAGAGAGAGAGAGAGTATTAACCATGAGGGTCAGCTGGTTGTTCTCACCACCTGCGAGACTCACAACAGCCAGCTAAAACACACACACACACACACACACACACACACACACACACACACACACACACACACACACACACACACACACACACACACACACACACACACACACACACACACACACACACACACACACACACACACACACACACACACACACACACACACACACACACTCACACACACATGTGTGATGATAATGTGTAATGAAACTAGGCAGTGGAAACAGGAGGCCAGACACAGGATAGGAGATGAAGTACTTAATGAAACAGACAGAGAGAAAGATCTAGGAGTTGATATCACACCAAACCTGTCTCCTGAAGCCCACATAAAAAGAATAACGTCTCCGGCATATGCGAGGCTGGCTAACATCAGAACAGCGTTCAGGAACCTGTGTAAGGAATCATTCAGAATCTTGTACACCACATATGTAAGACCAATCCTGGAGTATGCGGCCCCAGCATGGAGCTCGTACCTTGTCAAGCACAAGATGAAGCTGGAAAAAGTCCAAAGGTATGCCACTAGACTAGTCCCTGAACTAAGAGGGATGAGTTACGAGGAAAGGCTGCGGGAAATGCATCTTACGACACTGGAAGACAGAAGAGTAAGGGGAGACATGATCACAACCTACAAAATCCTCAGGGGTATTGACAGGGTAGACAAGGATAAATTATTCAACACTGGTGGTACGCGAACAAGGGGACACAGGTGGAAACTGAGTACCCACATGAGCCATAGGGACGTTAGAAGGAACTTTTTCAGTGTCAGAGTAGTTAACGGATGGAATGCATTAGGCAGTGATGTGGTGGAGGCTGACTCCATACACAGTTTCAAGTGTAGATATGACAGAGCCCAATAGGCTCAGGAATCTGTACACCAGTTGATTGACAGTTGAGAGGTGGGACCAAAGAGCCAAAGCTCAACCCCCGCAAGCACAAATAGGTGAGTACACACACACACACATGCGTCCATCATAAGCAACTGGGGAAATACATCACTTGATACTATGAAGGAGACTTTACTTGGTTCTCTGTTTTCTTGTTTCTCTTTCTGTTTTTTGTTGTCAGTATTTTTGTTCTATGTTTGTTCATTTTCTCTCTTGTTCTCTGTCGTTGTCTTACCAAGACAATATTTGTCTTGGTAAGATTTATCTTACCCAATGTGTGTTATTCTATATTTGCCTAAATATTTACTATTTTCTTGCAAATATATTATTGTTGAGGTGTAGCCAGTTCAAGAATATAACTGAATGGATCTTAGTTGGGTGTTCTTTATTTATCTAGTCATGTTCACTTATTCTGATTACTCATTGAAGCTGAGGAGAGGGAATGGGGGAGGAAGGGAGGGAGTGAGGGAGGGGTGTTACTGATAGGGGGTGAGGAAAGGTAGGGACGAGAGAGAAAATGGTGGGGGGTGGGGGGGGGGGAGTAGTGCTGTAGTATATATATATCAGTCTGGGTAGTATGTTCTCTCTATGTCTTGTTAGCACCCCTTCAGTCGACATGTAAGTACGTGTGTCTTTACACACACACACACACACACACACACATATATATATATATGTATATATATATATATATATATATATATATATATATATATATATATATATATATATATATATATATATATATATATTATTAAGAAGGGAAGGGAGTACCACCTCTGGTTGGAAGAAGGGGACCCATAGCCTCGGAGGAAACCACACATAACGCATTAGAGGGAATGTTTAGTTCCCCTCCAATACAGTTTTAAGGAAACGAACAAAGGAATGGGCCTTCATGTCAATAGTGACTACCCAGACAGGTACAAGCAGTGTGTTGTCAACGCTTATGTCGACCGAGCTCTCACTCACAGCTCTGGTTGGAAGCATGTCGACGAGGAACTCTGTAGTCAGGCAGGTTCTAGCCAATAATGGCTTTTCTAGCGGTTATGTTGAAGACGTTGTTAAAAGAAAGGTGACACGCCGTGCAACCTCTGAAGAATCAACTAACACAACACCTGCACCTCCTATTAGATTGTTTTACAGGAAAACGAAATTTTACTAACATCCTCCCCCCCCCCCTTCCAACCACCAAAGAAGGGAATACTCAGTCAACAGATGGCTCTGTCCCGATGGCATCTGGCATGTATTAGGCTAGACGTGTTATAGTGCAGTGCTGAGGAGTTTCCTACCGCTGAAACGCATTCAAAACATCAACAAACATTGAGGAAGCTGGAAGTGGGTTTACCCATCATTTCCTCTCGCGCAGTCATCGGTAAGGGTAAATCTTCAAATAACTGTGAGGTACCATGAAGAAGACTGTTTTCCGTAGTCGGGAACAGGAAGCAAATCAAGTTCAAGTATGTTTATTGAGACAAGAAATTACATCTCAAAGGGATAGAGTAGCTTAGGCTATTTCTACCCCTCCCCTCTACTTCAAGTCCTTCAACGGGCGCACAATTTTTCAGTAAGTATAAATCAAACCACAATACTGTACAAGACACCCATTTAACATTGCAGGGTAATATAATAAGCACAGCATATAAGTGTTACACTCTTGGGGCAAAATGCTTGTTGCTCCCAAGTATTCTATCATACCATGATCACAGCCAAACAGTTTGATGTGGTACACTACTTCTTTCCTTATTTCTATAATTATCAATAAGTTGACACTAATACATAATGATCAAAGGTATGGGCGTGCGGCATTACTACATAATTTACACTCCTTATCTTTTTCACTGACATCAACACCGTATTGCCAGATATATTTGTATCCTATTCTTAATCTCATGTGAATTGAATCCTTCCAAGTAGACTTTCCTCTGCCATAGGTGAAGGACGAGTTTGTATTTATTATTGAATAATTCTTAAGTGTGTTACTACTATCCACCAGTAGTAACACTGGTGGAGAGTAGTAACTGATCTGGCTTGTCCAGATCTCCCTTGGCCATCACGTCTGTAGCAAGCACATTTGAGAAAATGTACACCAGCTACTTAATTTATCCACAAGAACTTCATATTTACTGAAATCCCTGAGGACAGGTTGCACGGTACAATGGGGTAGTGAGCGTTTCTGGGACTTCCAGAAATAAGAGTTCACTCCCACCTATTAGTATAATATTTTCTAATAGATGTATGACGATATTGTGAGTTCAATGGGAAGAAAGTTTACCAATTAACTTCATAGTACATTTTTCACTTCAGTGGGCCTGACGCGTCTCAATACAGTACACCATTTATATTATTATTTAATAATCTGAAAAAATAACGACGAACAAAAAATTATCAACTGTGCCCATACATGGATCCTGATCATGGTTGACAGGACCTGGCAGAGGCTTGCAGTGATAGTGGCCGTGGCGGTGACAGCCGCCCCCTCAACGTCCAACACCTTCAATGCCGTCGAGAAGCCCGGATGGGAGCCAAACTTTCTTGGTCAGACCCCACTCACGGTGAGTCTTAGATCTTCCCTTTTCACAAAACAAGTACACCAGATATATGACACTGAGAACCCTAGCTAGTTGGTGTTGGAATCCATGTAAGAGCGATACTTTAGCCCTTACCTTGGTGATGCTAGAACATCTCTTGGGTATTTTTTGAATCTCCATCTAGGTGGTGTTGCTGGTGTGTTCAAAACATCTATTTATGCAGTCTTGCATCTTTCTTCCAGATGGCGTTAAAATCTTCATGTTGGTATAATTAAAATTACCATAAATTTTTTTGGCAACTCTAGCCAAAACCTTTAAGAATGATGAGTTGTCTGAATTTTCATTGATTTTAACTTCAGCTTTTTATTTGTATGCCAGTTTTGATTCGTAGTGGTATTATTACCTGCAGCATGCGGCGTTCATGGAAGCCTACTTCTCCGAGGACGACACCCTGGAGTACGAGGACAGGTGGAACATCTACGTCTCCACCTTCAATCCTGTCGGTGGGGTAAGTTCTACAATCCCATTTTGACTCGTTTAGAGAAAATGCTTTCGCTTAAAGGGATAAAAGTTTTATTGCATATTTAAATTTCTCCTTTAAGTGTAAGTCTGTAGTTCACATTTGTGAGTGTATTTTGTATAAATTAGGCTGTGTGTGACTCGCGCTTGTGAGTAGTTTATTGTGCTGGTAATTCCGAACATGTCTGCTGCCTCGCCATTCGATGATATTAGTGAGCATTTAATGATTTGTAATAGCAATAGGGCCTTCTTCAATAAGCCTGTGAAAATATTGGACAAGTTAATGAAGAGTGGCAGGAAGAGGTGATGGAGGTGAGGAAAAGTTGTGTTGGCAGTGTGGATGGTGACGCAACAGTGACACCACCACGCAAGTATTTCCTTACTCACACACAGTGGTAGCCGTTTGTTTCGGAATTTGTTCGTTATCTGTATACGTTTTTCTTTTAACGTCACATGAATATAATAGTTTGAGTTCCTAAACACATTTTTGGGGGATGAACGGGTGCTAATGAACATAAATTTGCCTTTGTCATCGTTCCACGGACAGTACAGCAAAGAGGATTATGTATATGAATATCCAGACATGTATTCTAAAACGTAGCAAGAATTTTGCTTTAGTTAGAATTGTTGCTGCTTCAGCAGGCTGTGGGGGGGGGGGGGGGATCCCATTTTCCTCTTCCGACACCCAAAGTTATGGTAACCCGAAATTGTATATTACCCCCCAGGCTAAGAGCCTACGGCCTAATGCCCGCCAGCACCACGGGGCCCCACCAGTTGTGTTTAGTTTTGAAAAGCCACACTGGCCAGAGGGTGGGGCCCATTTAGCTCCTTTGGCCTAGGGCTCAAAAACAGTTAGATCCGGCCTTAATTAGCTCTGTGATCTCGCTTTTTTTATATAAAAATATTGTTTTAACTATTCTTAACATTATTTTTGCGGATGAGTCAAGCTTGCAAAGATTTTCATTAGTGAGCACTGCCTTAGTATTAGAAATTGCCTTAATAATTATTCAAGCTGTCTACAAAGTTATAGGCAGTCGTAAAGCGACACATTTCCTTAATTTTAATATCATAAACACCGTCTTAAAGCGGCGGATGTCTTAAACAATAGCAAGGTAATGTGTGATCAGTACGCTGCGCGTACTAGTGGCTTTACAAGATGTGTATTATATTATGTATCCTCACAATCCCAATGTACCTTCTTGTATATATATAAATAAATAAATAAATAAATAAATAAATAAGTACATGTACACTGGTGTTGTAGAGTGTGTGTGTAATACATGTACACTGGTGCTGTGGTTGTGTGTGTAATACATGTACATTGATGCTGTGGTTGTGTGTGTAATACATGTACACTGGTGCTGTGGTTGTGTGTGTAAAGCATGTACACTGGTGCTGTGGTTGTGTGTGTAATACATGTACACTGGTGCTGTGGTTGTGTGTGTAATACATGTACACTGATGCTGTGGTTGTGTGTGTAATACATGTACACTGGTGCTGTGGTTGTGTGTGTAATACATGTACACTGATGCTGTGGTTGTGTGTGTAATACATGTATACTGGTGCTGTGGTTGTGTGTGTAATACATGTACACTGATGCTGTGGTTGTGTGTGTAATACATGTACACTGATGCTGTGGATGTGTGTGTAATACATGTACACTGGTGCTGTGGATGTGTGTGTAATACATGTACACTGATGCTGTGGTTGTGTGTGTAATACATGTATACTGATGCTGTGGATGTGTGTGTAATACATGTACACTGATGCTGTGGTTGTGTGTGTAATACATGTACACTGGTGCTGTGGTTGTGTGTGTAATACATGTACACTGATGCTGTGGTTGTGTGTGTAATACATGTATACTGATGCTGTGGATGTGTGTGTAATACATGTATACTGATGCTGTGGCTGTGTGTGTAATACATGTACACTGATGCTGTGGATGTGTGGATGTAATACATGTACACTGGTGCTGTGGATGTGTGTGTAATACATGTACACTGGTGCTGTGGCTGTGTGTGTAATACATGTATACTGGTGTTGTGGATGTGTGTGTAATACATGTACACTGATGCTGTGGATGTGTGTGTAATACATGTACACTGATGCTGTGGATGTGTGTGTAATACATGTACACTGGTGTTGTGGCTGTGTGTGTAATACATGTACACTGGTGCTGTGGCTGTGTGTGTAATACATGTATACTGGTGCTGTGGTTGTGTGTGTAATACATGTATACTGGTGCTGTGGTTGTGTGTGTAATACATGTACACTGATGCTGTGGTTGTGTGTGTAATACATGTATACTGGTGCTGTGGTTGTGTGTGTAATACATGTATACTGGTGCTGTGGTTGTGTGTGTAATACATGAATACTGATGCTGTGGCTGTGTGTGTAATACAGTATACTGGTGCTGTGGTTGTGTGTGTAATACATGAATACTGATGCTGTGGCTGTGTGTGTAATACATGAATACTGATGCTGTGGCTGTGTGTGTAATACATGAATACTGGTGCTGTGGTTGTGTGTGTAATACATGAATACTGGTGCTGTGGTTGTGTGTGTAATACATGAATACTGGTGCTGTGGTTGTGTGTGTAATACATGAATACTGGTGCTGTGGCTGTGTGTGTAATACATGAATACTGGTGCTACTCGCAGCTGGACGAGGTGTACAGGATAAGGGCTCCAGGGCGTTACCTCTCAGACATCAGCGCCTTGAAGGTTGAGGTGATGGACCAGTCAGCTTACTGGCCCAACAATCCTGACTACCTCCCTAGTGAGTACACGTACATAACATATATATTGGTTCAGGCGTGTGTGTATATATATATATATATATATATATATATATATATATATATATATATATATATATATATATATATATATGTCGTACCTAGTATGTGTCTCAGTATATATATTATATTTTCGAGTACCTAACCTACCTAACCTAACCTAACCTATTTTTCGGCTATATATAACCTATAAAGTGTTATAGGGAGGGTATATTCGGTCATATATATATCCATAAAAAAAATTGACCTCATACATAATAGCTTTATATATAAGAAAAAATTAGAGAAAATATATTAATTCAGGAAAACTTGGCTTATTAGGCAAATTTGGCCTTGCATAGTAGGCTGAGAAGTGCGTTCTGGCTACTAGGTACGACATATATATATATATATATATATATATATATACATATAAATATACGTAAAGTATTATTATTATATTATTAAATATTATTATTAAAAGTTTTTTCACCAAGAATTTACATTGCCTGAATTTTTTTCAGTGAGAATTTCACCAAGGCCTAGGGATTTTCTGGGTATGTCTAGCCATCACAGCCTACAGAGAAGACAAGGATCTTTACTCTCATATAACTGCCGCTTACTAGACAAATCTGTTGTCTAGGGCAGAGGAAAGACGTGTTTAGAACCAGACTATTTACAGACAATAACAATTATAACAACAGTACTCTAAGGCAAGTCCTCACATAATCACAGAATGCTGCAGCATATTGATCTGACTCTAGCTGGCACAATAAAGATATTTTCATTAAAATAAAGAAGCATAACTTAGCATATAGAAATGTGATAACTATTTTCCAACTGCAAATAATGAGACACAATAATATGGCACTCCGAACATTTATATGTGGGGGAGAAAATTATAACATACTTTTGCTTTTCACGGTCATGTAAGACTTGTGTGAAGTTATTATCGGGTGATTACGGGCTATTCATGCCCGTGCCACCTATTGGGTGGCTTAATCTCCGTCAATCAATCATACTCGGGTACAGGAGTGTGCAGGTCCCGCCCCGTACCAGCACACCTGCACTGTTGACGCCGTCTAGTGCCGCCAGGGGCTAGGGACTCAAGTCAGCCGCCAAAACATCTATACAAGTCTAGTTTTAACACTGTTTTAATAACCTTTACTTCACGTTTACTCGGTCCAGTAAACAACAAGTTGTTATACAGTTAGCACAAAGTTCACGTGTGTAGAGTCGTCCGCAACACTATACTTAAACACTGTATACTTTATACGTACTAAATGTTTGACATAATTAGTGTTGTGTAACAGTTCTTCACAGTAGGTCCTAATTAATACATCTATAATGCATTTGGATGGAAATTTATATAATCTTTTAAAGTGATAATTGTAGAGAAAATTTATCCCGGGAAGGTTGAGGCGTGTGTGTTTCAGTGCCCGGTTGAGAAGTGGGAAGTCTGCCCGTGTGTGTATCCTTACAGGTTCAATCGGAGGCTCCGAGGGAGTCATCTGGACCTCCGGGTTCCTGGTGACGGGGAAGACAAAGGGGCAGCTGCAGATGTACGACACCACTAAGGACCCCGTTCTCGGCCCCTACAACATCGCCTCCGACGACACCGTCAGTTACCTTTCCTCTCCTGTTGAGGGGTTGTGGGGTTCATGTAGTGTGGGGAACGGTTGTGATGGATGCTGATGGTGGAAAGAGTGAATTTCTGTGTGGATTGAGTGCATATTAAAGTGGAAATTGTTATGAGCACGGTTATGAGAGTGAAAAGTTCATGCGGGTGCCGGTTAAGGTGGCCCATGTCAGCGGAAACTAAGTGTGCGTAGGTTTGCCATCTGTGCTTACCTAGCTTTGTCTCCGGGCAGTACCGGTCACTTGTAGGGATTATTCCACCTGACCTTGTGGTGCAGGAGCGTGCCAGTGCTGGCGTGTGCTGTGTGTGTGGCTGCTCATGAGTGACTGTCAAGGGTCATGCTTGAGCCACTATGTAAGAGCGTATATAGATTACTAAACCATGCTTTTAGATGATTTATTGTTTTAAGTTTTAAGATACGATACCCTCATTGATTATAAGATCAATTCGCCAAACATTTACGTTTTCAAAATCAACTTCAATTTCAATTGCACATTAAAATGTACAGATTTTGAGGTTATTTGTACTACAGATAGTAGAGAAATTGTATTTTATCTTTGAATTCATCCACCTCTTAAGCTCAAAGTAAAAAATTACTGCATCTTCAAATACCGAAGTAAATTCGAGAGTGGTGACTGTGACTTGTAACCTGGTGACCAGCTTCACAGTTCACATATACACTGCAGAACGACTGGTCGTACCATCGCGTCGTGTGGAAGGATATGGACCAGGACGGTGACTTGGATGCGCTCACAGCAAGGTTCCACAAGCCTTTAATTGGTGTGTACTCAGCCCTTTATAGTGTGTCCACTCTGCCTCCTCTTTGTCAGGTACTCAGGCCCCCTCAGCCGCCGTGGCTTCCGTGAACTCTACTAAAACACGTGAATATTGCTGACCAGACCACACACTACAAGGTGAAGGGACGACGACGTTTCGGTCCGCCCTGGACCATTCTCAAGTCGATTGTCTTGACTTGAGAATCAATCGACTTGAGAATGGTCCAGGACGGACCGAAACGTCGTCGTTCCTTCACCTTCTAGTGTGTGGTCTGGTCAACATACTTCAGCCACGTTATTGTGACTCATCGCCTGCACGTGAGTATTGTTTACAGTAATGTTGCGTCGGTTATAACACAGTATTGATCAAATTTTGTTCCTCGGTAGTAAGTGCTGTTTACTAATTGCTTATGTCTAAAAGTATAGAAAATATACTCCTCAAACTTTGCTTTTGGAGACCAGGAAATTTATATCAGTGACCAGGACTCCTTATCTAAAGCTGTGACAAATAGTTTCATAACGAACAATTTGATGTAATTCCCGGGAGTCACCCAGTGCCTCGCTGCTCCTCCTCCCCACAGAGAACTGGGTCCACTGTGGCCAGTCCCGCCTCTGGTAGTGCACCTGTATTTGTGCTATTATTATTTGACTTGAAAGTTCTAAAAGCTACTCTAAGTTTACTCACCACTTAATAGTGGTGAGTAAACTTTACTCACTGTAAAATAGGCAAATTTCAAAATATATGAGTCCTGGTCACAAAAGCAAAGTTCGTGGGGGAATAATAGCCATTTTCTCTGATTTGGAGGCGCAGGAATACTACACAGGAATAATTTCTGTTTGGTTATTAACGTTGAGATGCATGATGGAGGTGGTGGTGGTGGCGGTGGCGGCGGCTGACGCTGCACGTGTGGCTCAGGATGGGTCGCAAATGACTACGTCATATTAACCTTGACGTAGCGTTTCACGTCACTCTTACAGAGATGTGTAGACGTCAGCCATTGTTGTGATGTGACACAATGTCATTAGCGCTACAACCACAGATGTCGCTCATAATTCACAACTGGCACTGTACTCTAGATAAAGGAAGCCGATTCTGAAAATAGCATTATTAACAAGAATAGAGGTGTCTATAATTAAATTCACTTTGAACTCTTGTTTGATCAATACAAACATTCTCGCTTCTCATATATAACTTTCCCAAACCTGGCTCTTGTACTTGACTTTTTCCACACCTGACTCTTCCTCCCTTTTCCCCGACAGGGACCACAAAGCACGATCTGGTGTGGTTCGAGAACGCCGGTGAGGGCTTCAGTGAGGGATGGACGGCCCACGTAGTAGCGAGCGACGGCCCAGACGTCCATTTCGCCTTGGTCACCCTCAGCGCCGGCGGGAGGGACTTCGACTGCATCATCGTCGGGGAGTTCTTCAACCAGCAGACCTCTATTTACTGGACTGAGAGCGACACCAACGACTGGACCGACCTCTCCTTGGTGAGTCTTACCTAATCTGTGGCCTGGCGAACCCATGTTATCGTCTTCCTACAACTCGGAAATGATTATGTTTAGTTCACTTCCTACGCGTTCCCCTACCTACACTTCCCCATACACGTTCTGCCAACCCGTTCTCGCAAATTTAATAAGTCAATATTGACTTATTAAATATGTGCATAGGTGACATACTTAACATAATAGATACCCGTAAAAAGATTCATAGAAAACACCGACCTTACCTAACCTACTTAGTATGTTAAGAGAAGCATCTTATTGCTTCGTAATTACAATTATTACCTAACCTATACCTACTTATACACGTTCTCCTACACTTCCCCTCCCCCCCTCCTCCTACACTCCCCCCTCCTGACCTTACCCAGGCGTTCAGTCACGTATTTTGTGTTCATTCCCTAGGTCAAGTCTCGGGTCATCAACGAGAACGCTGGTCAGGTGTTCGACGTTCTAGTGGACGACTTCAACCGTGACGGAACGCTCGAGTTTATCGCCACGGAGTACAGAACTGACCTCGGAGTCGGCCAGGTCACACTCTATCAGTTCCCCGAGGACTTTAGGTGAGCAGCGGCATCAACGGGTACTGGACAGGTTTGAAACAGTTTGATGAACATGAGGAAAACTTAGCGTCATCATGGGCTGGAGCTTTAGCGATGAATAGAGACCAAAGGTACACAAGGAAATCACAATAGTATGAGAAAATCATTAGATACATTACGTTAATATGATTTCATTGTGTTCAAGTAAGTATATTGAGAAAAGGAAGTACATCTCAAAATGACAGAGTAGCTTAAGCTATTTCTACCCTCGTATTTCCTTATGTATTTGAAGAGAGCGTTTGGTGGAGGACTTCACTACCCACACCAGAGAACTGTATGTGTAAACCTTAAGGTTGGCTACCAGCTCGGGGCCTCGAGACTCCCAGTGGATTCCGGCGTATCCCAGGTCTTATTATCTTTAGAATCTTTGCCATGTCGTGGTCCAGGGGCAAAGCGTGCGTCTGGCTGTACCCAGGACACTGGTTCGATCCCCGTCCTGCTCCAATGATGATCTCAAACCAGAGATGAATAGAGATCAGGTGATGCGATGACATGTCATTATATAATGGTGAATAGATGGTGAACATGCAGTTACCAGGTGATGAAGATGCGAGTAACAGGTGAATGACAAGCAGTCATTCTGCGGGCAGACCGTCGCTCTGTAATGTTTATGCATTCATTCACTGATTTAAGTTGCATTTTCAAATAATTTGGCTATATAGTCTTCCCGGCTTGGTGCCTTCTTTGGATAATTACTTACTTCAACTAGTTTGTCATTGATTAAGCTATCTGTTCTTTCATTAGCTTAGTAAATTGTTTCTCTAGGTCTTATTAATGTCTATCTTTCTCGCATTCTCACACTGGACCTTCCCTGGTGTTTCATGACAGAACGGACGAGTTCCCTCGCCTGAAGCTTGCTGACGGGTTCCGTCCTAACCAGATACTGGTGGGACAGACCATGTCCCCGGGGACACCCAAGGTCTACTACCCGACCGCCGAATACGCCAACGACCTTGCTGAAGACGGCATGTAAGTAGTCGCGGAGAGGTGGGTCAGGGACGGGAAGCATCTTAGTGCCTTGGTTTTCTCAAACACACACTACACACACACACACACACACACACACACACACACACACACACACACACACACACACACACACACACACACACACACACACACACACACACACACACACACACACACACACACACACACACACACACACACACACACACACACACACACACACACACACACACACACACACACACACACACACACACACACGCACACACACACTACACACACACACACACACACACACACACACACACACACACACACACACACACACACACACACACACTACACACACACACACTACACACACACACACACACACACACACACACACACACACACACACACACACACACACACACACACACACACACACACACACACACACACACACACACACACACACACACACACACACACACACACACACACACACACACACACACACACACACACACACACACACACACACACACACACACACACACACTACACACACACACACACACACACACACACACACACACACACACTAGTCTCTCCATGTCCCGCACTCACCAGCGTCTCCTCTACCTCCCGCAGGCCCCACAAACCCTTCATCCTGCTGTCTGGGGACGACGACGGCCGCATGTACGTCCTGTACCCCAACACCGAGGACCGGGACGACTGGGTCTACCAGAAACACATCCTCGTCGACACCCTAGAAACCACTATTGGTAAGTGGCCGACCAGTGTTGTGGAGCCTCTCCACGCGCTAATGTGCTCTGAATATATTTGATAAACTAGCAAAATTAAGGCATCGGTACATGTGATGTAACCTCCCCATTCTTCCCCACTCTAAAGGTAAAATGGCTCACGGGGACTTCAACAACGATGGGTACGAAGACATAGTGGTGGGTGGATACTCCAGTGGTCAGCTCTATGTGTATACTTATGCCTTCCAAGTGTAAGTAGGCCCGCCCTTGGTCGCGCCTCTTTATAACAGGTATGCAAGGCGCTCTTTAACAGCACTTAAGTAAAGCACATATGTAAAGCACTCGTGTCAATCACTTATAGAACACCTATGTAAAGTTGCTGTGTAAAACAATAAAGCAAAACACTTATAAATTCCTAGTTTAATGTCATCCAGAAACATGTGTGCTCCCAGGACTGTCTCCTGCGGCACTCCACTTGTTGTGTGTGGCGTCAGTGTCCAGGACCCGCGTTACAGGGGTCAAGGGCGCGGTACTCTCTGGCTCTACGCCGCATATAAAGATAATATGAGGGTTTATGGATAATAATTGTGGGGTTTACATAATATGCTTCGCGGTAATACGTAATATAACGTGTACATTTACATCAAACATCTTGGGCTAATACTGTATTACTGTAACAGTATTTTAGGTTGATAATACCGATGTATTTTAGGTTTAATATTGATGTAATTATTGCTATATATAATGTACTTACAAGTAAGTGTAGACGGTTGACAAAAGTAATATATAATCATGTTATATGAGATTGTCATATAACATGATTTTGTAATTTGGTGGGCGGAGACGTGCGTCTCCACGGGGTGTTCAGGGCCTCATGTAGTTGAGGGCTTGGAGTATGGTGACTGTGCGAGGGTAGTTGAGGTACCGCCAGGACCCCATGGCGGGTATCTGGCCATCGGCGGTGCAGGAGCTGCAGCAGTGGAAGGCCACGAATTGCAAACGACACTTCTTGAAGCGGACGGCAGCGCTACAGACGGAGAGAGTTGAAGAGCTGCCGATGAAGGTGCTGTCCTCACACGGCGTCAACGGGCCTGTCACACACACACACACACACATAAACATGAGTAGTGGAAGTAAGAGTAGATGGCTCCGGAGCTAAAACACTTCACATCGCAGTGGAAATATGAGGCAAGATAATTAAAAACCTAGGGATAGAATTTAAAGGGAAGGCCCTGTGTGAGAAGCACCATTACTGCATCTTAATTATGCAATTGGTAAAACAAATGAGTGCGTTGCATGAATTAGATATATTAGATACATTAGATCATTAGATGTGAATAATCTGTGCCATAACAATTGTCAGCCCAGATTAACACCACCAGAGCGTGCTCGGTTATAAGGGGTCACGTGTAGCAAGAGGGAGGGTTGTTGTTGTTTCAGATGCAGCTACTCTGAACAAAAAGTTCCAATTAGTATGGGTTATGGTGAGCCCGTAACAGAGGGAGAGGTAATGCTCGAGGCCATCATGCCAGTCGTACGTACAGTCATGCCAGTCGTACGTACAGTCATGCCAGTCGTACGTACAGTCATGCCAGTCGTACGTACAGTCATGCCAGTCGTACGTACAGTCATGCCACTCCATCTTATACTGGCGGAAAATTGTTCCGCTGACAGATACATCTAAACTTTTCTCTCATGAAATGATAAATCGTTTTATTGCTAATGATAAAATGTATGAAATTCTTACACTGTGTCCTGAGTTAACATCTATAGAAGAACAAATCTAAAATCACGAACACCAAAACTTCTCTTAACATATTTTTCAACGTTGAATGTTATAGGAAAAGTATTTCTGAAAATACTTTCCTCCAATGTGTCATATTGTATTGTTACCTTATGAAAGTTACAGTGCGAGCAGTATTCTCTTCCCATTACTATACAGTAATTAAGTACTGTATACATATAAATTATTGAAATCAATGACAACATACACTGAAGTCTGATTAAGACATGTGCCCTCTGTAATCCTTTTGCACTACCACTTACAGGATGAGTATGGGGTGCACAATAAACTACTGCTCTCAGAATGAGTATGAAATGCACAATAAACTACCATTCACAAGATGAGTATGGGGTGTACAATAAACTACTGCTCACAGGGTGAGTATGAAATGCACAATAAACTACCATTCGCAGGATAAGTATGGGGAGCACAATAAACTACCGCTCAAAGGATGAGTATGTGGTGCACAAAAAACTACTCACAAGATGAGTATGGGGTGCACAATAAACTACCGCTTAGGATGAGTGTAGGGTGCACAACAAACTACTCACAGGATAAGTTTGATGTGCACAATAAACTACCGCTCAAAGGATGAGTATGTGGTGCACAATAAACTACTCACAAGATGAGTATCTGTTGCACAATATGAGCAGTGGGTTAATGTGATACAGGAGTAAGTAATGAAGCTCACCTAGAGTGGTTGGTGGTAATGGGGTGGTGGTTGTGGTTGTTGTGGTGGTTGATGTGGGTGGTTGGGTGTTGTTGTCGATCTTGCTCACGGTGCCCTCCAGGGCTGTCAGCCGCCTTTTCAGGTCTGAAGTGACCTCCTGAAGCGTGCTCGACAAGGTGTCCAGGTTCCTGTTGTTGTTCATCGCCAGGTCCTTCAGGTCGTGTAGAGCGCCGGTGATGTTTCCAGCGGCCTGTGTATGGTGATCCAAACACTGCGTGACACCTGCCTGCTGGGTCGTAGACAGCCCGTCGATGCTCTCTTTGTTCAGCGTGACTGAGTTCAACACTTGGTTCAAGATGTTTGTGTTTTCACTGACTGGCGCTACACAGCCATCGGTGAGCAGGTCCCTGACTTCTGTGAGGCGAGCGTCCAGCTGCTGCGTGTGGTCTGACACATGGGACAATGTGGCTAGCGACGCTAGACTCTGCTTGAGGTCGGAGGTGGTCGTTGACACAAGAGTGGAGAGTTTACTCTTCAGCTCCAACAAGTCGTTCTGGGCCGCTAAGGACGACATGCTTTGCTTCACCTGAATAATGTGATCGTTGAGCGGCGACAGTTTGTTTTCCATACTATTTAAGACGTCACTGGATAAACTGTTGACTTTCCTCTCCACTTCTTCTACTTTCGTCACCAAAGTCGATAGTTTCCCTATAAAAAGATCCATCATCTCGGCAATTTTGACGTTAAGCACATTATCAATACTGTTCATATCTGACTGGTTTTCTTCCTTATTTCCTGTGCATAACTGTTCCATCTTCCCCTCCAGAGCATCTAAACGAACGTTAAAGTGCGTTCGTTGTTGTTGAAGAAACAACTTGATTTGGTTTTGGATCGAAAACAATATTTCATCACTATGGGGGACGTCCGGGTGCCTGGTCTCGGCGTCGAGTCTCTGAGACGAGCGCTGCGCCTCCTGCTCCAGAGGGCTGACGTCAGCCGCGTACACTCCCGCCACCACCAACACCAACACACTCCACCACATCTCTCTTGGTGCTCAGTTGGCCTCTTGACGTATGCTAGTTAACAGCAGTCTGAGTGTCGACGGGCCGACGGCTGGGTGTAAACTGGCTGAACGTCTTCCCTCACTCTGGCGCTCCCCTCTGGTGCTGTGGCCCCTCTCTCCCCCTCATTATATAGGACACTCCCGACCCCTCACACAGGAGGATCACACCCGTCCTCACGACTGGGCTCATTACATGCTTCTCAGACCGGAGCAGTACAACTGACCGGAAGCTGTACATACGTATAGACTTGTAACAAAAAGAAATCTAGAATTTTGTTCGTGATAAAAGGAATTAACTCCTAAAAGACGGTAAATAAGCGCTTGCTGGCAACAAGGAGTGAGTCGTCTCTTACCATTGCCACCAGCGGGGGCCTGTATTGTGCCCACATGTCCACCCCATTCTTATGGTAGTTTACCGTGTACTCCATCATATAATGAGACTGGAACCACTATTTAAGAAACTGTACCAAAATAAGACATTTAAAAGATAATTAGTCAAACACTTTTTGTTAAATAATCATAATATGTTCCTAAAAGATCCCTCAATTAGCACTCACAAGATGAGGCTGCAGTAAGGTTGTAAGATGTTAATCCCCCCCCTTGTTTTACTGTTCTGTTTTTGTTTACTGTTCACTTGAGGCAGTTATAAACGAGTCCCAGCTGCGTCTGGGGTACAAGTGACAGGATGAACAACCCAACTATGTTTCTTCCTGTTTCGTGGTGCTGAACATGCTGCTATGACCAAGTGTTCACTCACAGGATGAGTGACGCTGCCCAACAAATTCACCCGTCCGGGCAAGATTTAATGCAGTGAAGGGAGTGAAGATAGTTGGCAAATATTAGAAGTTGCAACTACGACGGTTGCTTGTGGGGGTAGTGGGTTGGGGGGGGCGTGTTGGGAGACGGACTTTCCAGAGAGGGGAAGAGTGTGGGGCGGGTTGAGGGGAGGGGAGTGGGGCCGTGTTGAGGGGAGGGGTGGGGGACCGGGGTGAGAGGAGGGGTTTAGGGGAGGGGGTGAAAGGAGGGGTGTGGGGGGGAAGGACATTCCACAGAGGATAACTATATTAGTGAAGACAGAGATGTCTTGTGCTGTTCTGGGAAGTTGTGTCCGAGCTTCTAGCTTAGTCCCCAGTGGTAGCTCCGTGTGGTCGCTCCCAGTGGTAGCCCCCGTGGGAGCCCCATGAGGTAGTCCTGGGTAGTAGCCCTATGAGGTAGCCCCCAGTTCTAGCCCAAGGAAGCAGTCTCTAATGGTAACCCCATGATGTAGTCCCCAGTGGTAGTCCAATAGATGTATTCTCTCCACCCTCTTCACCCTCTTCACCTTCATACTCTCTTCCCTCTGACTCTCTGTTACCCCTTCCCTCTCTCTGTCGTTCCCCTCACTCTCTCCCTCCCTCACTCTCCCTCCCCCACTCACCCTCCCTCACTCTCCCCTCACTCGCAGCTTCCAAACTGGTCAATAATATCCAGACACATTGTGGATCAGTTTTATTCAATAAATGGTACAGCAGTTTTACTGATAATTATCACTATACAACAGTAGCCTGTGCTTGTTGATGCAGCATGGATATCATACAGCATATTTCTCCAGCCAATCTACCACCATGTATCTGCCCAGTATACCTTTATCTACTCTCCTTGCCTCTTACTATCTACCAGCTCTACCAACAGGGCACAGCAGGACTACCATCAGTGGGGCTTCTAATATAACTGACAAATTAAAAGACTCTAACAATAGCAACATATAAATTGGGTTTTATTTTCGTATTTTCACGATTTGAAGAATACTTATTTTTTTAATTTTTGCAAGTAAATTTTTCATGGTAAATATAATTGGTGATTGTTGAGGGCAGAGCAATGCGCAAGAGGCAGCAGATTGTGGAGGCAGCGTGCCCTTGGAACACAGAGTACAGCCACATGTCTAGATCACAGGTCACTATGCCTGGGGGGGGGGGAGCCTCGACCCCCCCCCCCCCCCGAAGCTGTCAACACCTTGACAGCGCCGCAGGTCAAACCTCACCCTGGGATCTTCATCAGGAAGATCGGGCGTGATTAACGACCTTACGGACAATGTCTCACTGCTTTACGCTCGTAGTGAGTATATTGTTTGTACTCGCTACACGCTCCATCTGTTCACTGTTACGTAACCACGTATTCATAATACGTGGTTCACTAAGTAAGTAAATTCATAATTAATTAATTCATTCATTCATTCAGTAAGAATTCATAATTCATAATAATAATAATATTATTATTATTGTTAATTTAATAATAATAATGAATAATAATATTAATAATAATACACAAGGAAATTGGAGCAGTGCAGGGATGCGAACCTGCGACCTAGGCACTTCCTAGCGCACGCCTTAAACCTCTCAACCACGACATGCTATAAGTAAAGTAACCTAAGTTTCAACTGAAGCCACTCTGGGTGTTGAGGCATCTATCTGATACCAAATAAAGTTTGTACACGTTATCCGCTTACATTTCTTCCTCTTCCTCTCACACACTGTGTCTACTTTCCTCACTATTTCTCTCCCTCCCTCTGGAATTCTGGTGTGGTGTAGGAGGTCTTCCTCTAACTCTCCCTTTAAATGCACAAAGAAATCACATTAACGTGATGTATTAATGAAAATAATAATAATAATATTAATAATAATATTATTGTTATCTGCAAGTTAGATTTTTTTTAGCCTCTCCTGCCTCCATAATCTTCCCTTCTTGCAACAGATAAATCTACTCTGGTTGTATGTACCATCTATCATAGCAACAACATACTTTCTACCTCTCTACAGTGTGTGAGAGGAAGAGGAAGAAATGTAAGCGGATAACGTGTACAAACTTTATTTGGTATCAGATAGATGCCTCAACACCCAGAGTGGCTTCAGTTGAAACTTAGGTTACAGGCAGTGTGCTTGATCTACCTCTACTATCTACCGCCCCAACAATAGGTTGATCCTGCGGGGGTAGTGTAGGTAGCGATGAAGTCCAACGTCCGGAATACGGCCAGCGTCGGTACATGTCCGGCAGCAGTGGTAGGCCACGATACCCAGGAAGCACTTGTCGTACCGGAGCGCCGCCTTGCATAGGTTGAGGGCGCTCACGGCCCCCACGAACTCGCTGTCCAGGCATGGACCCATCGTTCCTGCCGGCAAAAACAAATATATTTTTATCCCTTACGCAGGAGAGTGTAGGAATAGATGACTTCTGACTCTTGTTTGCAAGCTTACAGCCGCATCAAGCTCTCGGAAGTCAAGCCTGGCCTCCCAACCCGTTCTCGCAAATTCGTAAAGTCAATATTGACTTATTAACTACGTGCATAGGTGATATACTAAACATAATAGATACCCTTAAAAAGATTCATAGAAAACACCGACCTTACCTAACCTTGTTAGTATCTTAAGATAAGCATCTTATTGCTTCGTAATTACATTTATTATTTAACCTATACCTATTATAGGTTAGGTAATAATTGTAATTACGAAGCAATAAGATGCTTAAGATACTAACAAGGTTAGGTAAGGTCGGTGTTTTCTATGAATCTTTTAAAGGGTATCTATTATGTTAAGTATGTCACCTATGCACATATTTAATAAGTCAATATTGACTTATTAAATTTGCGAGAACGGGTTGCCTCGGGCAGGGCTTGGGGAGTAGAACAACTCCCAAAACCCCATCCAGGTATAATCCAGGTACTCTTGCCATAGCTCATCTAAAGTCTTGTATTGCCATAGCTATATCTAAAGTTCAAAGAGGTTGGATATGATACGAACCTCGAACATGATCTGCCAATCGGGTTATAACCACGTTCCCAATTACTGAGATTGGAACTGAAGAGAACAGTTAAGGATCGGTGCCCAATCAATCTCTCTGTCCAGGGTTTGAACCCGTTATTTGATGTCACTTTTGCTTGGTAGATTTTATTATTTTCACTCGTTTTTCTCGTTATTTTCTCACATTCTCGTCCAACCACTTGGGCTGGACGGTAGGGATGCGGTCTCGCTTCATGCAGGTAAGAGTTCAATCCCCGACCGACGTCCAAGTGGTTGGGCACCATTCCTTACCGCCGTTCAATCCCAAATCCTTATCCTGAGCCCTTCCAAGTGCTGTATAGTCTTATTGGCTTAGCACTTTATCCTGATAGTTCTCTAGCTTCCCTTCTCACATTCCCTCGCTTGTCTCTCACTTCTCCTTGCCTTTATCACACATTCTCTCACAATTACATTTCCCTATTTACTTCGTTATTCCCTTACTTTACCTTACCTTAACTTGCTATCCTCTCAGTCTCCCTTCACTATCATCTTATTTTCAATCTGAATTATCTCACTTTCACTTATTTTCTTTCTCTCGAAGATAAATAAACAGAACAACAAACAGAGAGGCAGACAAGTGGAGAGCCAGACAAGCAGAAAAGTAGACAAGCAGGAAAGCAAATAAGCAGGCATTTTTCACATTTTGTGGAATAAATGCTTTGAAATTGGAAAATTAAAAAATCTGTTAAAGACTCATTGGTTTGTCTAGTGTGACACTGTGTAGATTTAGACTGGTGAAGGTGTAGCAGTGTAAGGGTTTAGACTGGTGAAGGTGTAGCAGTGTAAGGGTTTAGACTGGTGAAGGTGTAGCAGTGTAAGGGTTTAGACTGGTGAAGGTGTAGCAGTGTAAGGGTTTAGACTGGTGAAGGTGTAGCAGTGTAAGGGTTTAGACTGGTGAAGGTGTAGCAGTGTAAGGGTTTAGACTGGTGAAGGTGTAGCAGTGTAAGGGTTTAGACTGGTGAAGGTGTAGCAGTAGAAGTGTGGGCGACGTACCTGGAGGGATGGTAGTAGTGGTGGTGGTTGAGGGCTGCTGGATGGTGGTGGCTGCCGGCGCCAGCATGTTCTCGTTCAGTTGCTGTGTTGCCTCCTGCAGCGCCTCCAGTTTTTCGACCAACGTGTTTTCTGTGTCTTCAAGAGCAAGCGACATACCGGTGAGTGCGCTGCCATTCTCATCCACCTCCTGCACCAGTTGCTGCAGTAGTTCCTCCAGCCGCTCCAGCTGACGGTACGACCCCTCCTTGAGCTGACACTTGTCCATTACCTTCGTCAGGGAGTTATATACTGGCTGAAGAACGTCTAGCGACTTGAAGGTTTTTCTAGAGTACTCAAGAACCTCAACTGATGAGACATTTCCCAGCAGCCTGGTGATGTCATCTAGGCGACGATTTAGTAAATCCAGGCGCTGGTCCAGGTGCTCCCAGGTGAGAGAGCTGGGCGAGAGCTGTTGTGACAGGTTCCTGGCAGCTGTTTGGCCAGGTACCTCGGGCACTTCACTGTCTATGCTTACTTTTTGGCCACATGCGCGACTTTCAACTTGACGAAGATCGGACTTCGTAGGTAGAGTATCCAACTGTTCCTGTAGCATCTTGCCCACCAGGCGAGTCTCCTCGCGGAACTCACGCTTCAAGTCGTCCGTCATTACCTTCGTCAGGATGGTCATCTGTTCCATATATCTGTCTAGCATGGCTGGCAGTGTGGCTTCTATGTCACTCGCTTTAGTGTTCTTGTCTAAGTCGCCGGGGTTTTCACACTTGCGACTGACGAATGTTTCTATTACCTTAAGCCGGTCATTAATACTTTTCTGGTGCCTGGTGAGGAGGTCGTGCACGGCTGTCGTGACGGTGTCGCTGACGACTGGCTGTCGTTTCGCTTCTTGTGGTGTGGTCTCCCTATTCTCTTCCTGCAAGCTCTCAATGGGGCCCAGAATGGAGGCACAGCAGGAGGTTCCCAGGAGGAGCAGACGCAGGAGAAGCAGGAGCTTCATGATGGAGGTGTGTGAGCCTCGGGGCGGTGCAGGAGCCTGGGGCAGCAGGTGGACGGCAGCCAGGCAAGCGCACCGCCCACAGGAAGGAACCTGTTCGTCAAATAACTGTTCTAATCAAGAGTTTCCTCTGGTCTGGTCATGCACAACTTCTGATCATCCTTCATCTCTTCTTTATCTCTTTTTCTTTCTCACTCTCAGTCTTTCTCTTTATTATCACGGCTTCTTCTTCTGATCATATCTGCCGGGGTATAGCCTGGAGCAGCTCTAGACCCGCCAGTCAGTGTTCCCAGCAGGACAACACACCTCATGATAGACACTGTTTTGTAATCTGACTGAAAAAGTCTAAACCGAAAGATTTGACAATTTACTCTCTCTGAGCCTTCCTTATGTCTGTCCCTGAAGCCTCCTTTATTCTCCCTGAACCTTCCTTTGGACTGTCCCTGAACCTTCCTTTAGAGTGTCCCTGAACCTTCCTTTAGAATGTCCCTTAACCTTCCTTTAGAGTGTCCCTGAACCTTCCTTTAGAGTGTCCCTGAACCTTCCTTTAGAGTGTCCCTGAACCTTCCATTAGTGTCCCTGAACCTTCCTTTAGAGTGTCCCTGAACCTTCCTTTAGACTGTCCCTGAACCTTCCATTAGTGTCCCTGAACCTTCCTTTAGAGTGTCCCTGAACCTTCCTTTAGAGTGTCCCTGAACCTTCCTTTAGAGTGTCCCTGAACCTTCCATTAGTGTCCCTGAACCTTCCTTTAGAGTGTCCCTGAACCTTCCTTTAGACTGTCCCTGAACCTTCCTTTAGACTGTCCCTGAACCTTCCTTTAGAGTGTCCCTGAACCTTCCTTTAGAGTGTCCCTGAACCTTCCTTTAGAGTGTCCCTGAACCTTCCTTTAGACTGTCCCTGAACCTTCCTTAAGAGTGTCCCTGAACCTTCCTTTAGACTGTCCCTGAACCTTCCTTAAGAGTGTCCCTGAACCTTCCTTTAGACTGTCCCTGAACCTTCCTTAAGAGTGTCCCTGAACCTTCCTTTAGACTGTCCCTGAACCTTCCTTCAGACTGTCCCTGAACCTGCCTTTAGAGTGTCCCTGAACCTTCCTTTAGAGTGTCCCTGAACCTTCCATTAGTGTCCCTGAACCTTCCTTTAGACTGTCCCTGAACCTTCCTTAAGAGTGTCCCTGAACCTTACTTTAGACTGTCCCTGAACCTTCCTTAAGAGTGTCCCTGAACCTTCCTTTAGACTGTCCCTGAACCTTCCTTAAGAGTGTCCCTGAACCTTCCTTTAGACTGTCCCTGAACCTGCCTTTAGAGTGTCCCTAAACCTTCCTTTAAAGTGTCCCTGAACCTGCCTTTAGACTGTCCCTGAACCTTCCTTTAGAGTGTCCCTGAACCTTCCTTTAGAGTGTCCCTGAACCTTCCATTAGTGTCCCTGAACCTTCCTTTAGACTGTCCCTGAACCTTCCTTAAGAGTGTCCCTGAACCTCCTTTAGAGTGTGCCTGAACCTTCCTTTAGAGTGTCCCTGAACCTTCCTTTAGAGTGTCCCTGAACCTTCCTTTAGAGTGTCCCTGAACCTTCCATTAGTGTCCCTGAACCTTCCTTTAGACTGTCCCTGAACCTTCCTTTAGACTGTCCCTGAACCTGCCTTTAGTGTCCCTGAACCTTCCTTTAGACTGTCCCTGAACCTTCCATTAGTGTCCCTGAACCTGCCTTTAGAGTGTCCCTGAACCTTCCTTTAGAGTGTCCCTGAACCTTCCTTTAGAGTGTCCCTGAACCTTCCTTTAGAGTGTCCCTGAACCTGCCTTTAGAATGTCCCTGAACCTTCCTTTAGAGTGTCCCTGAACCTTCCTTTAGAGTGTCCCTGAACCTTCCTTTAGAGTGTCCCTGAACCTTCCTTTAGAGTGTCCCTGAACCTGCCTTTAGAGTGTCCCTGAACCTTCCTTTAGAGTGTCCCTGAACCTTCCTTTAGAGTGTCCCTGAACCTTCCTTTAGAGTGTCCCTGAACCTTCCTTTAGAGTGTCCCTGAACCTGCCTTTAGAGTGTCCCTGAACCTTCCTTTAGAGTGTCCCTGAACCTTCCTTTAGAGTGTCCCTGAACCTTCCTTTAGAGTGTCCCTGAACCTTCCTTTAGACTGTCCCTGAACCTTCCTTAAGAGTGTCCCTGAACCTTCCCTTAGACTGTCCCTGAACCTTCCTTAAGAGTGTCCCTGAACCTTCCTTTAGACTGTCCCTGAACCTTCCTTAAGAGTGTCCCTGAACCTTCCTTTAGACTGTCCCTGAACCTTCCTTTAGACTGTCCCTGAACCTGCCTTTAGAGTGTCCCTGAACCTTCCTTTAGAGTGTCCCTGAACCTTCCATTAGTGTCCCTGAACCTTCCTTTAGACTGTCCCTGAACCTTCCTTAAGAGTGTCCCTGAACCTTCCTTTAGACTGTCCCTGAACCTTCCTTAAGAGTGTCCCTGAACCTTCCTTTAAACTGTCCCTGAACCTTCCTTAAGAGTGTCCCTGAACCTTCCTTTAGACTGTCCCTGAACCTGCCTTTAGAGTGTCCCTAAACCTTCCTTTAAAGTGTCCCTGAACCTGCCTTTAGACTGTCCCTGAACCTTCCTTTAGAGTGTCCCTGAACCTTCCTTTAGAGTGTCCCTGAACCTTCCATTAGTGTCCCTGAACCTTCCTTTAGACTGTCCCTGAACCTTCCTTAAGAGTGTCCCTGAACCTCCTTTAGAGTGTGCCTGAACCTTCCTTTAGAGTGTCCCTGAACCTTCCTTTAGAGTGTCCCTGAACCTTCCTTTAGAGTGTCCCTGAACCTTCCATTAGTGTCCCTGAACCTTCCTTTAGACTGTCCCTGAACCTTCCTTTAGACTGTCCCTGAACCTGCCTTTAGTGTCCCTGAACCTTCCTTTAGACTGTCCCTGAACCTTCCATTAGTGTCCCTGAACCTGCCTTTAGAGTGTCCCTGAACCTTCCTTTAGAGTGTCCCTGAACCTTCCTTTAGAGTGTCCCTGAACCTTCCTTTAGAGTGTCCCTGAACCTGCCTTTAGAGTGTCCCTGAACCTTCCTTTAGAGTGTCCCTGAACCTTCCTTTAGAGTGTCCCTGAACCTTCCTTTAGAGTGTCCCTGAACCTTCCTTTAGAGTGTCCCTGAACCTGCCTTTAGAGTGTCCCTGAACCTTCCTTTAGAGTGTCCCTGAACCTTCCTTTAGAGTGTCCCTGAACCTTCCTTTAGAGTGTCCCTGAACCTTCCTTTAGAGTGTCCCTGAACCTGCCTTTAGAGTGTCCCTGAACCTTCCTTTAGAGTGTCCCTGAACCTTCCTTTAGAGTGTCCCTGAACCTGCCTTTAGAGTGTCCCTGAACCTTCCTTTAGACTGTCCCTGAACCTTCCTTAAGAGTGTCCCTGAACCTGCCTTTAGAGTGTCCCTGAACCTTCCTTTAGAGTGTCCCTGAACCTTCCTTTAGAGTGTCCCTGAACCTTCCTTTAGAGTGTCCCTGAACCTTCAAAAAATCATCCTGAGGGGTGATTTGATTATATATCTGTGCCCATAAAGGTTCACCGAGTGTTGTTGGGAATAGGGTTAAGGGACTGACGACTTCCAATTTTGTTAACAGTCGTTGTGGCCAAGTGGTGAAAGTACTGGACATGCTAAGGTGTATGGAGCCCCCTGGATGTCTGGGTTCGAATCCTTCAGTTCGAATGACCAACTTCTATGGCTCAGTTTTTGTGCAGTTCTCAAAGTCAATAAAAATACATATAGTATACTGTACTGTAATCACATCGCTAAAAATAATAGGGAGTGGTAGAAGAAAATACTCAAAAGTGTTCAATATACACACACACACACACATATGTATATTTATATATATATATATATATATATATGTCGTACCTAGTAGCCAGAACACACTTCTCAGCCTACTATGCAAGGCCCGATTTGCCTAATAAGCCAAGTTTTCATGAATTAATGTTTTTTCGACTACCTAACCTACCTAACCTAACCTAACCTAGCTTTTTCGGCTACCTAACCTAACCTAACCTATAAAGTTAGGTTAGGTTAGGTTAGGTAGGGTTGGTTAGGTTCGGTCATATATCTACGTTAATTTTAACTCCAATAAAAATAAATTGACCTCATACATTATGAAATGGGTAGCTTTATCATTTCACAAGAAAAAAATTAGAGAAAATATATTAATTCAGGAAAACTTGGCTTAATAGGCAAATCGGGCCTTGCATAGTAGGCTGAGAAGTGCGTTCTGGCTACTAGGTACGACATATATATATATATATATATATATATATATATATATATATATATATATATATATATATATATATATATATATATTATAGGGGGGTACCACCTCTGGTGCAATTATAGGGACCCACAGCCTCAGAGAAGGGAACACAGAGCATTCAGGGAAAAACTGATTATATATATATATATATATATATATATATATATATATATATATATATATATATATATATATATATATATATATATATATATATATATATATATATATATATATATATATATATATATATATATATATATATATATATATATATAGGCCTCACCCTGAACCCTTCCAAGTGCGAAATAACCTCCACCAACCAGCACATAATAGAGCAAATAAAGGTTGTTTTGCCTGACATTCATACAACCAATCCCTGAGGACAACACACTCCTAGGTGCTCCTCTTGGAAGGAATGCCATCGACGGGGTCCTTGGTAAGAAGATCACTGACCTGAAGAGGATGAACGAGAGGATTGAAGACATCGATGCTCATGATGCCCTTTACCTCATCACCAGATGCTTGTCCCTCCCCAGGCTGACCTACTTTCTAAGATGTTCGCCATCTTTCAACAATATTAAATTAGAAGAGTATGACAGCTTGCTGAAATCAACACTAGAAAAAGCCCTCAATCTTTCCCTCAGCGACATACAGTGGAAACAGGCCTCCCTTCCTGTCAGACTCGGGGGCCTTGGCGTGCGCACAGCAACACAAATTGCTGTACCAGCATTCCTGTCCTCTTCAGTGGGGTCTGACAACTTGGTGAAGGAAATCCTACCTGAGCACCTAGTTCAACAGGCAGGGGTACATGATCCCAGCTTTACAGACTGCACAACCAAATGGGTCTCTCTCGCAGGACCAGCACCCCAACCACCGCCTTCTGAAGCCCATAAGCAATCCAACTGGGATCGCCCCATTGCCGACCAAGAAGCTGCGACAACACCACATGACACTGCCCGACTTAGAGCTGTAGCAGCTTCCCCATGCAGGTGATTTCCTATTAGCAACCCCAATGTCAGCAACCGGCACCCGTCTCACACCGCAGGCCATCCGAATTGCCGTGGCTCTCCGCCTCGCTGCCCCAATCCACACCAAATACAGGTGAATTTGTGGCGAGGCAGAGGCCGACAGATACGGACGGCATGGCCTTCTCTGCCAAAGGACAGGAGGATGGCATGCAAGACACGGCGAGGTCAATGACATTATTAAAAGAAGCCTTACCACAGCCGGTTGTCCAGCAGAGAGAGAGCCCCGTTACCTAATGTCCCGCAACTCTGATGAGCCTGTCGGTCGCCCATACGGAATCACGGTGAACCCCTGGAAGAATGGTAGACAGTTGGTGTGGGACTACACTTGCGTTTCAACTTTAGCCAATACCTATGTTGACTTCAGTGCTACACAAGCAGGAGGAGCTGCCAATCACCGGGAAGCGGCCAAGTCATGTAAATACAGAGACCTTGAGCACCACTACAATTTTGTCCCAATTGCCTCAGAGACACTTGGTGCCTGGGGTAAAAGTGCTGCTAGCTTTTTGAAGGAGTTGGGGTCTAAGCTAATCGAAACAACTAGAGACCCTAGAGCTGCCAGTTTTCTTTTTCAGCGCCTTAGTGTGGCAATCCAGAGAGGAAATGCTCACTGCATCCATGGTTCCTGCCCGCCATCTGAGGAGCTGGAGGAGCTGTTCAACTTGTGACAAGCAGCCTTGTACCCTGCATGTAATCAATATTGTAACTTTTTTTGTGTAATGACATTTTCAAATAAAGTTAGATAAATATACACACATACCAAAAGAATAGGGGTGGTAGGAGAAGAAAATATCAAAGTGTTCAGTGAGGATCCACAAGGTCTTCTCTGAGTACTCTTTATTTTCTTCTCCGAGGCTATGGGTCCCTACACTTGCACCAGAGGTGGTACCCCTCCCTATATATATATATATATATATATATATATATATATATATATATATATATATATATATATATATATATATATATATATATATATATATATGTCGTACCTAGTAGCCAGAACGCACTTCTCAGCCTACTATGCAAGGCCCGATTTGCCTAATAAGCCAAGTTTTCCTGAATTAATATATTTTCTCTAATTTTTTTCTTATGAAATGATAAAGCTACCCATTTCATTATGTATGAGGTAAATTTTTTTGTATTGGAATTAAAATTAACGTAGATATATGACCGAACCTAACCAACCCTACCTAACCTAACCTAACCTATCTTTATAGGTTAGGTTAGGTTAGGTAGCCGAAAAAGTTAGGTTAGGTTAGGTTAGGTAGGTTAGGTAGTCGAAAAACAAATAATTCATGAAAACTTGGCTTATTAGGCAAATCGGGCCTTGCATAGTAGGCTGAGAAGTGCGTTCTGGCTACTAGGTACGACATATATATATATATATATATATATATATATATATATATATATATATATATATATATATATATATATATATATATATATATATATATATATATATATATATATATATATATATATATATATATATATATATATATATATATATATATATATAAAATATGTTCTTGTGGGGGTTGAGCTCTGCTGGCTCTTTGGACACATTTAGTGTGTGTGTGTATATATGTATTTATGTATATTTATGAATGTATTTATAACTATATTAAGAAACAATTGATGTCATAGCACATCATTTACTTATATAATTAAGAGGTATGGTTTATCGTAAACCATAAAGCAAGCACTGAAGGGAAGAGTTCTGCACTAAACGAGCTGAATCGTGTTTGATGGTTGTGGAGGACGAAGGTGGTGTAATTCACATACACTCAGTATCTATATTGATCTGAAACACTTTCTCCACGTTATGCATCCATAACAGATGAATCATATATTCAAAAAGAGAAAGTTGTTTATTATTTTGTAACAAGTAGCTATAAATTTTTAGCCTCAATTTTAGTTCTCGCAATAATATTAAATAAATCAATCTCGTCATTCGTATACCCATCCGTAGAGAGCGGCGTTCAGGAACTGGATTCTATGCTACTTAAGTAAGTTTAGTTAGGCAATTTACTTAGCTCGATTGTATTTATTGCGAGTACTAATACATATATTAATCAAATAATCAATATTCCAATTAAAGTAAAACTAAAGCCAACTTCAAGACTTTCGGACATTTTGTTATGGTGCCGTTACCAAGGTAAAAAGCTTTTCCTGTAAATAATTATTATAGTATTAAATTAATTTATTATTACCTCTTTAATATATTTAATACAACTAAATTCATTGACATAGAAAACTGCTTGTGTAGAAACTTTAATTATATCTGTAATTACCGAGTAGTTAGTCTGTGTTATACGGCCGACAGTGAAGTAGATAGCGCGGCTTGCATCAGTATGTAGGGAGAGAGAAATAATTTCTGAGATTATTTGTGATCCAGAGCTGATACTCGCAAGACTTCTTTGTCACAGGTGAAGACTGGTATTTTGTGAGGGCTGTTCTTAATGGTACTCATCTGATGTCCTTTCGCTGAACGGTAAATCCGCCCGAGTTATGTGGGGACGAGTTTTGCATCTTCCATGTGTCAGACGCCCATTGGGGTTTGATTTAAGAACTTGTGTGCTTCTGTAATTCTTTTTCGCTACCGCTTGTGTACCCCGCACCCGTCCTGTGGTAAGTGGTGGAATGGTTAATCATATAATGGCTTCAGGAACTGAACCCCCAATGAGCTTTAAACTAAACCATTTATTAGTGGGGGTATTGGTTTCTAATATTATACCTTTGCCTCAGATTTATCTTAATTAAGCTACAATAGCAGTAGCTTAATTATAGTACTGAAGTTAATGTTACAGTGATCATGAGATAAGCACATACCGTATATCTTTAGTCCTGTGGTTTACCTGTAATCTGTTTTAAGATATTTTACTATTATCCAATTCCATTTTGGGACTAGGCTAGGCTTGCAGGCAGTGCAACCTTACAATTAGTATGTTCATTATCTACAGCAGACAAACTTGGAATATTTTAGTATCATTTTTGAGTAATTTTGAGTAATATGTCAATTTATCATGTTTTTGAACTGGTTATTGATATAAAAACGTAGATATAGAACTACTGTACGTCATATTCCAAACAATGATGTTTTTTTTTATAAAATTATGGGGTTTCAACTGCTCTTATTAGGTAATTTTAAACAAATTTAGAGTAAGTTATATAAATAAGGGTAGGTTTATATTTAGTTAGGGGTTATCAGAGCACTTTTGGCAGGCATGCCACCACAATTTTCTCTCCCTCAAGAGAGATTAAGAATATCTGTATCTAAACAATAGTGGTTGCCAAAGAATATACAGCAGTCTTAGAATTACTGTACCTCCTTAATAATTTTGTAATAGACCTTACTTTCTGCCACAAATGTTGCCATTTAAGAAAATGCTAATCAGCATATGTGCATTTTCATTTGTCTATGGATGAGGTTAAAAATATCTTAAATTACAGTTTTATCAATATAAGCAGAACAGTTACACTAGCTTGACAAGTTAAACTTTTGGATGACAAATTGCATATTCAGTGGGAAAGGTTGGACAGGGGAATGTAATGCTTATCACTAATCTTGCAACAAACCTATTATGTAAGGCAATTTTATCGATTTAATGAAATAAAATTAAAACTATAAACTTTCTCCTTTGACAGGTCCTCAGCTAATGATAAAAAAGGGATTGGCATTGTGTCAATTTCATAGAGTTTGGCCACAGCTCATCACACCAGTTGTTTTGACCAGGAACACTGTAGAACCTGTTTCTATTGCAATTTTACATAGTTTTATCAGAAAGAAGTTGTTCTCTGATTGCAAATTTCCAAACATCTCATCGTGTTCAACATTAAGGTCTCTACCATCCCCAAATAAAGTTTCAATACCTTTGGATTATTATAATTCATTCCACTGGAATTGTTTTGGCATTGCAAGGATGTCATCATTCCCATTCTATGTAGAATATGACAAGAGAGGTGCAGCAAAATGCAAGAAGTGCAAGGAGAAATGTGAAAAGGGTAACTATAATTTGTTCATGTTCAGCTCTAGGCTTTATTTAGGAAGCAGAGGGGGGAGGGGGGAAGTAGCAGGGGGCACTAGGGGAGGGGCAGTGACTGGGACATCATGAGTGAGCAGAGAAAGTGGCTGAGACACCATAGAAAAGCAGCATCCCTGAACTTTCCCCGGGTTCTGATTCTCCTGCCACTTAGTCATCAAGTGGCAGGAGAATCATACAACTTTTGTGTAAGTGGCTGGGGATAGTTAAACCAGTGGAGAGTTACATGAATCCCACTTGAATGGAAATCAGTGCACTAGAAAACTGGATGCCATGCAAGGAATCTGTTCAGATACAAAATTTAAAGCACTTTTGGTATAAGATTATGTCCAAAAATTGTTTAATTATTTGCAACAATAAAACAATATATGGTATAATATAATGAAAACTAATAAACATCAGATGTAATTAATTCTCGGCTGCAGAGGAAGTCGACCGATATGTATATCACTGTCCATTCAAACTCATCTGCTCCTGTTTCCAACTGGTCCTGGGTTCCAGTAGGCAACAGTGTATCTTGGAGGCCTGGTACATCTCCCTAGGACATTGCTGAACTATTACTTACTCGGGAAGTTATTTAGGGCCCCACTAGAAGAGGGCATTTAATTATATTCAATGCTTGAATTTTTTGGAGCAAGTTACCAGACAAATAAAGGCAACCCTAAAGTAGATCTTGTAAATTGAAGCATCTTTATTTATGTAGAATACATGTGATAGTGATGACCAAACCTCACATCCAAAAATGATGAAATGATAACTTGCTGTTTATTCATTTTTTGATGTGTGCTTTGGTCATCATATCTTCAGCCACTTTATTGTGACTCATCATTGGCATACATGGGATAAGAGTTACGTGGTTAGTATATACATTTAAAATTTGTAACCTATTTAATGCTCCTCATTATGCTTAGCATTTTAGTTTGCATTTTTTTGTGTTAAATAGTATTTTTATAAATAATGTGCCTTTATCCCTCCTAAGATATACATTTATGTTTGGAACAATATTTGATATTAGCATAACGAAAGCAGTTGCTACTTTCTAACGCGGTTATCTTATTTTATTTGACTAGGGATAATTCGCATTGGCAAGATTGTTCCGAATCCATTTTCTGAATCTGGGGGAGAAATGAAGCAGTGGTATCATGTGGACTGCTTATTTGATATGTTCAAGCGTGCTCGAGCCACCACAAAGAAGATAGAGGATCCTGTGGAAGATATTGAAGGCTGGGAAACCTTGGAAGATGATGATCAGAAAAAGATAAGAGCCTTAATTGATGGTGTGTAAGATTTTAATATAATTCCCGAATGTCTTTTCTCATATTTTAGGAATACAGTAGTAGGCATGTAAATACACTAGGCCTTATAGACTTGCTTATCAGGAAAATGGAGATGACAAGAATATTATTCTAGAGTTTTGTGCATAATTCTATAAATACAGAATTACATAAGCCAATACAGTACAGTACTGTATTATGTCAAGCTGTAATAATAATGTTGCTTATTCCATACAGTATCCTGATATTTTGTGGTGAGAATAAAATGCAACAAAAAGTTGAAATGCTGTGTACTAAATAAGTGTACTTGTTTCAGATCTTCAGAATAATATATCTCAAAAAAAGACCACCCCTAAGAAACAAGCACAAAAAGCCACACCTACCAAACAAACTCCTCAAAAAGCCACACCTACCAAACAAACTCCTCAAAAAGCCACACCTACCAAACAAACTCCTCAAAAGGCTACACCTAATAAGCAAACTCCACAAAACAAACAAGTGCCTAACCCTGCAGCAACTCAGAAGAATTTGAAGGTGAACCGTGCAGCAGGAGGTTAGTACATTGATTGGTTCAGTGTAAGGAAAGTTTGGGAAATACTTGTAAGAACTCTACATTGGTGTCAGTGTTTTGTGAAGAGGCTGGGGGGGACAGGCACATGTCAAGAACATTATAACTGCTTGAATGAAGATTATTTTAAACTACAGTACAGTATATGCTATTTGTTTTTTCAGTATTTTATCTTATGAAGTGCACTCAGAGTTTCTCTGAATTTTAATTAGAACATCTATAATTTTCTAGCTTTTGGTGGTTTAAAAAAGTTATATTATGTTTCTCTGAATGCTGACACTTTTTTACTTTCAGTATACATTTCAGTACTGTACATCAATTTTTACAAGATTGGAAAATATTGATCTAAACAATATGGATAATTTTTTCAATGTACAAAGCATAAAGCTCTACCATGAATAAAAGTTCAGTTATACAATCCTGCATTCTGTGATAGTAGGGCCAAGATAAATATGACTCATTTCCAATAGAAATGAGAATTCTCCTGGCCATTAGAAAAAAAAGAGCCAGGGGGTACTTTGTTTTTTAATTTTATTAATTTTCCTCAACATAAGTAATAAGGGAGCTAAACACATTTTCAACCTCATTTGTCTTAATAAACTTTAAATTTTAATATTACATAAATACATAAAACTTTATATTTTGTTTAGATTCAAGTTTATTCAAGCATCACTTGAGAAGGTCATTCTGCTGCTTCTTAACACTTTCGCACTCTCCGCAAAGGTCACTCAGCCAACCGAATGTGCGCGCGGCGTTTTTATCGCTTAAGCGTAAAAACAAAAATGTGTATACTCTTTTTACTCTTCTGACCTTAGTTCTCATGCTACGTATTTCATTTTGGTACCAACGTGTTCGCAATAAAATTCTCTAGAAGAACATCAGTAAAAAAAGTCACGAAACGTATAGGGATACCAGCACCAAATAAATAACTACGAAGATGACTCGCCGTGAGCGCCCATCAGCAACAAAATGTTTTTACTCTTGGGATTGTAATCACCTCCACACTTATTCTACAGCGTTAATTTTGGTATCAATGGACTCGCAATGAAATTCCCAACACGGTGATATGAATATAAGCGTAGAATAATGATGCGGCCCGCCCGCAAGAGTGTGGGAAGTGGTGAAATTGTTACCCGGTATCGGTGACGGGACGACGCACGGCGCTTTGAAAGTTTATACTTATTTCACTCTCATGACATTAATTTTCTATGTACGTCATTCATTTTTGTGTCAATGTGTTCGCAATAGAATGTTCTATGTGCCCATAGGTAAAAAATATCAACAAAGCGTAAGTTAGAATAGCGCCAAATATAAAACAACGCTGGAACATATCAGTGAGCGTCAAACACACACGAAATGTTTTTACTTTTGTTATGTTTGTCAAATTTATACTTGTTGCACACAGTTATTTTTGGTTGTATATTGATCGGAATAAAATTCCCTAAACAGACATATGCATATAATACATGATATGGGGGAAGCATTACCAGTATAAACGGCTAAAGTCACCCACCTGCAACCCGTTTGGGACAAAATACCATTTGATCGAAGTTATCCACACCTTTCATGAACTTATTGTACCATGCAGCCTAGTGGTGAGAAAGAGAGCCTCATAGCGCGCAGTTTGAAACAAACCCAAAGTAAATCGGATAAAAATTGAATTTTATACAAATATTTTAAAAGAGGACTCAACTTTATGTCCACTATGCGTTAGCGTTAGACGAAACGGGACGCGCCGGCGCGTCCAGATAGCGCGAAAGTGTTAAGGTGTGAACTGTCATGTACTGTAGTTAAAGATGATCATGCAGAGTCAGGCAGGATAACACACAACACTGGAGCCACAGAGTTTTTTTAAGACTGAGAAAATGAGAAGTGACTATGAACATGCAAAGCCCTAAAAGAATTATGAGCAAATTACTGTATACATATTGATTGTGGATCACAGTTGGATCACAGCTGATTGGTCCCAGGCTCAATTCCTATGACAACACAGAAGCATTTGGGCAATGTTTCCTTTCACCTGATGCCACAGTTTATGTAACAGTAAATAGATATGTAGGAGTTCAACAGTTATTGTAGGTTGCATCCTGGAGAAGGTCCATAGTTGGTATAAGGGGACTTGCATAAACCTAATAGGCTTCTTGCGCCAGACTATGAGAAACTAAAACCATGCTGCATCGTAACATTTCAGGGGTCTTGTAGAACAGTTAGCTTCATTCTCGACCCACCATTGGGGATCCCGGGTTCAATTATCGTGTGGGACAGAAATGGTTGGGCATGTTTCCTTACCCCTAATGTCTCTGTAAACTTAGCATTGAATAGGTATCCAGGAGTTTGACTGTCTCCAACAAAACAAATTATTTGTTATTTAATCAGTACACTCTTCCTCATGTCTATTTGTTCCTCCCACACCATCTGCTGCCCATCCTTCTGGTTTAATAGAATTAAAGAGAACAAATGAGAGAGAGAGAGTGGGATGGGGAAATAGAGGAAAGTGGAGAGAAATACAGGTCATGCACGAGTACTATAAAATATATGTTGCATAAAACATTTAGAGGATCCACTGTTACAGGTCATGACATTTCAAAATCTGCACCTCCTTCAAGAACTGACCCAGGCATGGACCGAAATCATAAAGACAACTCTTTTAGGGAATTTCGTCGGATATGTGCAAGTGTTGCTGAGGAACCAAGCTATTTGAGCAAAACTGAAATAATGTCAAACTTTTTAAAAAATGGCACAAGTAAAAGTAAGTTGCATGTTATTTTTGTTAAATCAGCTTAGGCCTAACATTGCTAAGTTAGCATAATAATGTTGACTGAATGGTGAAGAGAATGCATTTGAGTAAAATTTGAAGAATGTACTAATCACTTTATTGAATTCATCGATGATTAACTGGGCAGAGAGAGATTTGAGAGGAGGAAGATAGGAAGGAAGAAAGGTCAAGAAGATAGACTTAAAAGATGAGTGCCTGAGGTTGTGTGGGTTGTGGTAATATTATATGAGATGTAGCTGGGAGCAAATCTTAGTGGAATAAGTTTGTTAAGAGGGACATGACAACTTATGAGGAGCACGCTACACTGTGTTTAATTAAATGATGTAGATAATTTGCAGAAGTGTGGCTGCGCTGGTTGTCACTGATGATGTTATGAAGGAAAGAATTTAAGTGGATGGGTGTTCTTTATTGCTCTCCTACCTTTGTGCAAGTGCTTTCCTACCCTGTTAAAGTTAGTAATGGGACTTTTGTGGACAACAACTACAGTATTACTCCCATTGTTGATAGAGAAAGTCACAGGCTTTCGAGATGCCTCGGGACCAAGACTGGATAGATAACCTGTTGTGCCCAGAAAATTTGTTCATCCAGAAAATCTTAAGAAAATCAATAATTAATAGACAAAAATTTATAATTATTTTTGTTGTATGCTCCAGTATGACAAGTTCTGATCTACTTAGAAAAGTGAAGAACATTTTTGAAGGTAGTGTGCCATCCATCAGTATACAAATACTGTTTAGGAATTTTCAGTGATGTAAATTATGCTGGTTTTCTCCATGAGCGGCCAGCCTGCCACCGGCTGCTTCATCTTCTGCCTCTACCACTCCCACACAGCACCTTATCTTTACTCGCTGCCTCTTTATTACATATTACTTTATGACTTTCTCTTCAAGGGAAATTAGTCAAATACAGTAGCTTTAGCCTTAATAATATTTGAAAGCATATTCTTGCTCACTTCGGCACACAAAATGCATCTCGGTATACCACTTGACACCTTTTCTCATTCTATTTTCTTTTCAAAAGTCATCACTGAATGTTTTTTCATTGGTTTTCTGCTTGTACAAGTCATCAATAGTTGTTATTCAGCTACCTGCATCATATCATCAGGGAACCTGATTTTATAATGGTTATCTGCACAACTGTAAATCATATGCATTTTGAATGATTCACCAGCATATAATGTGTGCTTACATCAAAATATACATACTCACATTTACACGATCATTAGCCCATTTCCTACTTCAATGGGGTGGAGCTCAGGCATTTGAACAATGTAGCAATGTAGATAAGAAATCACTGAAAGAAATGAAAGTTGAAGATATTGAAAAATGTTGCTTTCATTCATCATAGTTTTACAACTTGGTAGCACACAGACCATCACACAATGCTCCAACAAATCATATATACAACAGTGCTCCACAACTTCATATGACTAGGTGTACAGGGCTTCTTGTGAGGTGTGTAAAAGTATCAAATGTTCTCACACTTTTAACAAACATCTGTCAACAAGACCTGTTTCCTACCGCTAAATATTATTTTCCGGGTTGTTGCCTCTCTACCCCCTGAGTTAACAATAACAAATGAATGACTTAAATTTAAGGCCTGTATGTATTTTAAAGCTGTTCTGCTCCTTCCTTAATTTTTATCGAAGACTATTTTTGGAGCAACATTATTCTATTAATAATTTTAGTCAAACACGTGTTAAATAGTTTTCTTTCTGATCAGCTGGATTTGAGGGTGACCTAAGACTATGGGTGAAGCTACTTCTCCCAGGAGTGGTCAAACGAGTTTATAACCTTCAGTCTAAGCAACTTGTTAAACTTTTTTCACAGGTAAGCTTGGATATATTTTGTTTGAGTTAAGCTATAGTTGGGTAACCAGGTTAGAGTGGTTCAAAGTATAGGTTTGAACTTTATGGTATAGTAGAGTATATGTAAATGTTGTGTACATAAGTTCTAGCCAGACTGAACTAGTGCAGTTGAGAAGTTTGTGAACACATCCATTCATTCATGAATTCAGATACAGTAGAGTGTGGTTTGAACTAATTATCTTGTTCACGAGTACACATACTAAATAGTGCAATTAAATGCATACAGAAATCACACACCTATGCCTTTGAGATCATTAGTTGCTGCATGTCAATATCAGAGCACAGTACATATTTAATCAAGTGTAACATATCAAGAGCACATATTTAATCAAGTGTAAAGTACTGTACATGATTGTCTAGATCAGGTGCATGTAAATTAGGAATTTGAGTGTGTGTGTTTTATATTTACGAATGAAATTTAAGTATTAATCCACAAAATGGGACAAGAAAAAGAAGAGCCAAAAGAAATTATATAAATGCATGTAGCAGAGTAGACAATACAAATTCTAAAGAGTTCTTTCAGACATATCAAATAAAGATTAGAGAGAAGACTGGACTATTGAATTAATGAGACAGGTAAATTAATTGATACTGACATTGATACAAGAAAGTGGTTGTATTCTAAATAAGAATTTTGTTTTTACTAGAAATCAGATTTGACATTTTACCAAATACCCCAAAATATTACTAGCTGGTGAAGTGGACAAGTTGATTAGTTTAGCTGTTACCCTGGATAAAGTTTTTATACAAATCTAATTGTTATTTTAGGCTGAACAAATCGCTAGGACCAGACAAAATACTTGCTGGGGTCCTTAAAAAATGTAAAGATGAACATAGTGAGCTTTTGTCTTATATATATTTAATATATCTTAAGTCAAGTAGAGCACAGTACTGGAATTGTGGAGGGTAATAAAGGATTCACAGTATGGTTTTATTATGGGAAACTTGTTTTTAACAAATTTACTCATTCTTTTACAGCATATGTAAAGCATTTAATAGTGGAAAGAATAGCAACATTCTGCACCTTGATTTTAGCAAAAGTCTTCAACAATGTACCTCTCAAAAGACTTATTAGGAAGGTAGATTATTAGGTGAATTAGTGAATTCACAGGAAAACTCCAAAATCTATACAAAACTACTTAAATTGACTTTTAAAAGGATGAAATATTAGCTAGCACATTTTAATGTTGACGAATAAAGGATTCTAATTTTAGGTAATGATAATTGAGTTACCAGATATCAGATAGATAATGTTGAAATTGCCAAATCTGAATGTGAATAATATCTGGAATTCATGATTACTGTAGTAGGAATCTTGAGCTGAAAAATCAATGCACTGTATAATTGTTTGAAATATGGCAAATAGGATAATAGGATTTATATCTAGAAATGTTAGTACAGTAATAACATATCTAATGTTAGTAATAACATATCTAGTGTTACTCTTCAGCTTTACTGTATCTTGCCCATGTTAGGTCCCATTTAGATTATTCTGTTCAGTTTTGGCCACTGTAGTATAGAATGGGCCTAAATTCACTTGAATGTATATAGAGTTAGATGGCAAAGTTAAGTCCAGGCATGGGAAACCTCCCTTGTGAAGAGAAATTAAGAAAGATAACTTTACATTATCTTGAAATGTGAGGAATAAAACGCAACATGATTGAGGTACACAAATGGATAAAAGGGTTTAATTAAAGGTATAGTTATAAGGTGTTAATTATATCAATACAAAGTAGAACTTGAAATAATAAATACAAATTGGATAAGTATAAATTCAGAAACGACCTGTGTAAATACTGATTTGGAAATAGGGTGGTTGATTTCTTTGTGCATTTGAAGAGAGACATTGAGGGTAGAGTTACTATACCACAGCCAAAGGGCATGCCGGCAATGAGTGAAATCCTGACTTGGCTTAATTGGAAAACTCGTAACCTTTAGAGGATTCAGTCTAATGCCAGGTTTCATTGCTTTTGATCATTTTGTGGTTAGGTGGTCTAAGGCGTGCGCTTGGGTGCAGGTTGGAAACCTCCTCGTAGCTCCTTCTGATTTTCTCATGATTGGATTGTTTCAGGCTAAGGTTAGATGTAAGCAAGTTTTATTGCATATAAATAGGAGCTGTCTTCCATTGGCTTTTCCTCCTGCAGTATCTACTATTCTTATGGTATTTAGAAAACTTAACCCCCTTTACTAATTTCAGCTGTTCAACACTAATTTGGAGGAAATGATTGAAGACTTGGAGCAAGGTGATGTGGCAGAAACTATTCGCAAATTTTTTGAAGAATCCAAGGCGCTTCCTCCTATTAAAAAAAGTATTTTGACTATACACGAAGTTGATGAACTATTAGAGGAACTCACAGGAAAAACACGAGAAGAAGAACAGTCTATTATTTTAAAGAAGATTGCCAAAAAGTTAGTTAAGGCTGTGATAATTTCAAACTCATTTAATTGCATTTAATCCATTAATTATTTTTATTTTGAAATCATTTTTTATTTTATTACATTTAAATTGTCTTAAATTTGATTAATTTTTATTAGTGTATTTTTGTTTATTATTGATTCTCCCTAGTCCTCCCTTTTTAAAATTTAGTTGTCTTCAGCAACATTCCTTCCCATGCATCACTAGAGCCCACATAGTCTTTTTTATAGGTTGCTTGAGGGCAGGTTTCTGCTGGCCCTTGCAATAGGCATTCAGGTCTGCAAGCTTCATGCTCTTCGTTCCCAGCTTCATCTCTTTTGTATGAAGGTGCCTTTGTGCATTTTCATCTTCACACTTTTGTCTTGGCCAAATATCTAACAAGTTCTGTATGAAAGGGTCTATCTGGTTCGGGCCCCGTTTGTCCTTATGGTTATCACGTTCTGTCCAGTTGGGAGATTGTGTTATTATCTCTGGGCTCCTTGGCAGATGTAAGTAGAGTCCATCGTCCTTGATCCTTGATTTCCCAGCTGCTTTGCAGAGTGGTCAAGCTGTCAGTCATATGTGAACACAGATCATGTTCTCATGCACATGATCTGTGGAAGTTTGCCTCACTGAAGTCATTCTCATGCTTGTTACAGCATCAAAGCTCTGGGGTTCAAGAAGTCTAGTCACACTTTTGTGGCACAGTACCTCTCTAAATTTTCCTGCTTGTGCTGTTTGTGTGTTGTAATTGATCAGCTATCCTCCAAATGACCACCTCTTCTTCTAGCAGGAGTTTGTACAGGCGAGTTGCCCATTTTGTTCTTTACAATATTTTTTACTTTTGCTCCAACTCTTGCTCTAGGATGCAAGTGAGTGAGATAACCAGAAAAAAAGGATCTGAGCTTTAACATAAATCTCATTTCTTAACAGGACACTCAGATTCTCCCATTCCCTCCTTTGCAGCTCTGCTTTCCCGAACTTAGTTTTCTTTGTACCAGGAGAATTGTAGAGTGGCACGGGTCATTGAACCCTACTGCATTGGGTCTTGTGGTGCCACCTGGTGGTAGTTGGGGAAGGTTTTCTAGACTGGCTAACTGTGAGATAGTTTTACTTTGGCTATTATTTGTAATGGCAAAGGGGAAGGGGGGCTTGCAAGGGCTTAAATATATCATTAATGAACTTTCTGGTGGCATTCCAGGCTGGAGTGAAAGTTTCCATTGCCTCCCAGTCATCATCATGATCTTGTAAGGGTATATGAAAGATTCCCAGAGGCAGTGGTAAAGAATGTTCCCCTTCCTGATTGTTCATGATCCTATCCAGTGGACTTGGAAAAGTCTTAATTTAGAACGCAACTGAGTGTCCTGCAGAGACAAAGCTTTTCATAAACTTGGTTCCTTATTTTTATAAATTGTATTGCTGCTGTAATGCATATGTTGCACAGTTACATGCTGGATAATTGGCTGCATCAATACTTCATGACTCACCTTGGTCATTGTTACCTGTTGGGAACCTGACCTTCAGATATGTGATTGACCATAAAGGGCGGATAGCATGCAGCTAGCTCGTTCATCGGAATGCTTGTATCATGCAGCTCCTGACGTGTTGTCTTGCTCATCACTTGTTCTTTACTTCACATTGTGTGTGCAGTGCTTGTAATTTCATAAATCTATTTGGTTAGCCTATTCGTATAATTAGAAATGTTCTATAATTATGTTCAAAATTAATTTCTTTTTATCACCGAGCATTTGGTTCTTAAATTTTTTGTTTTAATATCCAAAGTCCTAATTATTTGACATTTTATATGATTGAACTTGATTATACAATACCATATTTACAAAAGCAATCTATTAAATTTGCCATTATTAATGTTTTATATTTTAATTCTCAATAAATTACAGAAGTACTGGTAACGATTTAAAGATGATTGTGCGTTTGATAAAAGCAGATTTGCGGATCAATGCAGGAGCAAAACATGTGTAAGTACAATTCACTGATTGACGTTGCTTATTATTACAGAGAAGCAATAATTTTGTCTTAGTATATATTTATTTTCATTAAGTTCTCAAATTTTGTGGTAAAACAAATGATATGGTGGATTTCTCCACACAAGTTAGACATTACTTAGTCTATTCTCAGTAACTATTGTCACTATATTCTTCAAGATGATGGGCAGGTGTTTATATACTATATGCATGTGTGTAAGGAAGCTGGGTGCTAATGTAACTGAAATCTGCAACTTCAAGAGCAAGAGGTCATAAATTGGAAGGGTGCCTCTGAATCTTGGCAGAACAACTCAATCTTTTTGGTTTATAATCATTTGTTTATGAGTGGAGGATATATGGAACATTTGCACTCATTCAGCACATATAGGTCCTGTGGCATAGGTCCTGGGTTGTTCAATGTCCTCCCAGCAAGCATAAGAAATATTGCCGGAACAACCGTGGACATCTTCAAGAGGAAACTTAGATTTATTCCTCCAAGGAGTGCCGGACCAACCGGGCTGTGGTGGGTATGTGGGCCTGCGGGCCGCTCCAAGCAACAGCCTACTGGACCAAACTCTCACAAGTCAAGCCTGGCCTCGGGCCGGGCTTGGGGAGTAGAAGAACTCCCAGAACCCCATCAACCAGGTATCAACCAGGCACAGTAGTCTTCGTCCTCATCTTACATTCAAGGGACCCCTGGCTCAATACCCGAGCCTGATAGACATGGTTGGGCACATTTCTTTTCATCTGAGGCCTCTGTTCACCTAGCACTAAATAGATATCCTGGAGTTGGGCAAGTGTTGTATGTTGCATCCTGAGGAATATCAGTAGTTGGCCTAAGCCTGAAAAGCCTAAGAGCATACAGGCTTCCTGCCCCCTGACAAAAAGAATTATACATTGTTGGAAATTAAAACATTTTTGTTTTGCTGTTTGTAGTGGTTGTTTTTACTGTGGTAGTGGTTGTGTAGGAGGCTGGGAAATCAGAATCATCATGAGAATGAGCCCATGTGATATGAGCTTGCTATTTATGTACAGGCTTTATAGTATGACAAGGTTTGAATTGTGGAAAAATATTTTAATGATTGAAAATAACTTTTCTTATTTTGCCTTCAGTCAACTTTTTACCTTTGCAGATTAGATGCTGTTCGTCCTGGTGCTTATGAAGCGTTCCAAACAACACGTAACATAGATTCAGTAATGGACCAAATTCTTGCTGTGGGCAGTTCTGGCGTCAACCTTCAAATGACGGCCCAAGTTATGACTCCAGTCCTTCCTATGTTGGTGAGTTATAAAGTGGTTGGAGGCTGGTTTCTTTTTCTTATATCATTTATTTCTTCTTGCAACAACCTTAAAAGTGTAATGAATTTTGTCCTTATTTCCAGCATCTGAAGTGTTTTCATTCTGTTTTTTGTTTTGGTCTTGTGTTGTTAATGTTCAAATTCACATTTAATTATCATTCACTGCACTTCAAGTACCTCAACAGGTCTCTACTACTGTTAAGTTTATTTAATATTTAATTAACATTTTATTATTATTGATAAAACAAATCATTAAGGGTGATGAACTTAATTGTATAATCATTATTTACATGTTAATTGTTAGTTAACTTTCTGTACAGACTTGAACTGTACTTTTTCTGACAAACTATTGCTCAGTGTCAGCAGCAGGTAGTGGTTGACCCAGTATCATAGGCCCAGTCACGTGATATTGTGTGTGAAACTGAAATTAATTTAACCATGAATCTTTCATCATCTTTATCATAATACCCGATATCCGATATTTGTGATTGGGAGAGAAATCTATTACAGATAGTATACTGGAAAGTAATTTTTCAGAATTTGACTTTTTTGACATTTCTTAAACTCATTACGGCCAAACTAAAATAATTTATATTTGTTTATATTTTTTCCGACCTCAGGAATAAATTTCTTAAAATATAAAAAGAAGAAAATGAGACTTGTTGGCAATATAAATACTGTATAAAAAAACTATGTTTTTTTATTTCAGGCAGAGGCTTGTAAATCAGTTGACTATGCTTTCAAGAAGTGCCCTAGTGGAGCAATGTTTTCCGAGATTAAATATGATGGAGAAAGAGTTCAAGTCCATAAGTTGGGCAACGACTTTGCATATTTTTCACGTTCACTGAAACCTGTGATGCCTCATAAGGTAACGATCTATCTATCTAAAGTCTATCTAGCTAGCAGATTTATTTCTAAATAATATGTATACCAGTATTGTTAAAAAATGTGTTATATAATAATTACTGTACAGGTGACTACTTTTTGCCATTTGAGATGTAATGATGTAAATGACTAAGTGTAGCTAATTCAGGCATACCTTCCAGGTGTCTCATTTTAAGGACTACATACCCAAGGCTTTTCCTCATGGTAAAGACCTTATTTTAGATTCTGAAGTGCTGCTGATTAGTACCAAAACAGGAAATCCTCTGCCCTTCGGAACTCTGGGGATCCACAAGGTGGGAATAAAGACCGACATTAGCTCATTGTTTCGTTGTGTTCTTTTACGTTACTGTAAATTGATATCGATTCCCAAGATATTGTTTGTGCATTTATAATTAGCTTAGTGTATAAAATTAAAGAACAGTATAGTGCATTGTAAATTTACACATCATAATAGGAATAATGGAATGTTGATCATTAGAATAATACATTTTAGGACAAAATGTAATGTACTCATAAAGACATAATAATAAACAAATTACAATGAGAATGTTAACAATAATAATGATAATGTTAGTAATGACAACATTTATAGATACATAATAAAAATATATCTTACATGTACTGTATTAGCTTTGAAGAGAAACACCAAGATAATATCAGACTTAACAGGGGGGGGGGGGGGAGAAGCATTATTGCCTAGTTAATGTCTACTAACATCTTGGTGTTTTTTCTACACTGTTGTCACACTTTGCACTCTTCACTATCTAGTATTAACTTACTAATTGTATTTACAGTACAGTACTGTATTGCCATTTTTACTAAATACTGTACCATAATATAACATCAGAGCTTATATATGTATTCTCACTAAAGTGTTCTGCTAGGATTTTGGTTTATTAAGTAAATGTTGTGGCTTATTACCAAGCATACATTGTAGTTATTACTGAACATACATCGTAGTTATTACTGAACATACATTGTAGTTATTACTGAACATACATTGTAGTTATTACTGAACATACATCGTAGTTATTACTGAACATACATTGTAGTTATTACTGAACATACATCGTAGTTATTACTGAACATACATTGTAGTTATTACTAAACATACATTGCAGTTATTACTGAACATACATTTTTTCATAATTTTTTCTTCCAGAAAGCAGCGTTCGAGGATGCAAATGTGTGTCTCTTTGTGTTTGACTGCATTCACTACAATGGTGAAGATCTTATGAACAAGTGGGTTCCTTGTTTGTATTATCCCAGTTGCTTCTGGTTTGGATATACTGTACTGTAGTACATTCTGGTGTTATATTTTCAATTTAGAGTAATTGCAAAACATACAGTATATACATATATATGTGTAAGAACTATCACTGCCCCCCTTTTTCAGCTACCTTGGGTTGTGGATAAGTATAGTGCAACCTCGTAAAATCTGAATTGATTGATTACAGATCTGGTCCAAACTCTGAAAGTACTTTGAATTTATTATTAATTTTTGCAAATGTTTTTCTTACTGAAAACTATGAAATATACATTTTTACATGTTTAGACACATAATATATATAAACAAGAATTTTTCTTGAAGAAAAATATAAAATGCAATACAAAATCAATATTCTGAAGGAAGTTGTCATGGATACTTCTATAGCCAGAGCCAGGGTCCACCCAAGTCACTGCCCACACATCAGGGTCCACCCAGGTCACTGCCCACACACCAGGGTTCACCCAGGTCACTGCCCACACACCAGGGTCCACCCAGGTCACTGCCCACACACCAGGGTCCACCCAGGTCACTGCCCACACACCAGGGTCCACCCAGGTCACTGCCCACACACCAGGGTCCACCCAGGTCACCGCCCACACACCAGGGTCCACCCAGGTCACTGCTCACAAGACAGGACCTTTTCAGATGGATTTGCTGTTGTTTTGGAGGATGGGAAACGGGAGAGATTAGCTCACTCCACTACTGAGAGTAATCACTAGCTATGGTATCAAAGAGCAAAACAGACCTCACAGCAAATCAAGGAAAAATTTCCCTGACCATAGGGAGAAAAGGCCTAACACCCATGTCCAACATTACTCAAATATGACCTCATTATAGACATCTTCTCAGGACACATGAGGACAACTTGATACCTAATTCTAAGAGAAATCACTGTAGACCACTTGAAAGTCCAAGCCCTTGGAAAGATGCACAGATATCATCCGCCCCCCCTTTTTCCCCCTTCCCACTATGACACTCCTAGAAACCACCATTTGTAAGCAAACTTGATCAATGTAATCACGTACATAATGGAGTATACTCATCTTTATATTATATATATTATACATCATAATATAGTATATTATACATCATTATATAGTATATTATACATCATTTTTTGTGATTTTATTAGATATTTGTGCAGTGCAATGCACAGTACAGTACATTATTGTATATTTAAAGTTATTGAATTCATGATGATGAATGTATAAGTAAAGGCATCTTTGTATATTTATACTGTGAGTAATATCCTATTTGTTTCATTTTCAGGCCCTTAACAGAACGTCGTAAAGTCTTGGAGGAGAGCATGGTTGAGATTAAGAACCATATTATGTTCTCCGAGATGAAATTAATACGTAAAAAGGATGACTTGCGGGATATGATTAAACATGTACTCAAGGAAGGTCTTGAAGGTCTTGTTCTCAAAGACATTAATGTAAGTTGGCTCATGAAACCTGTCCTGTTGATTGCTTGAATATACAGTATTTGTTTTCAAAAATATTTCTGTAACATTGTTATGGCTATAAGTTTTTTTAGAACTGTAACACCTGCTCATTCCATGTATCACCATGGTACATTTGTAAGCCTGACAAATCATATAGATATATTAAAACTTTATTTTACAATTCACGTTTACAATGGAATAACTTCACAGAGCATTTATGAACCTGGAAAGCGACACTGGTTAAAGGTGAAGAAGGACTACTTGAATGATGGAGCAATGGCTGACTCTGCTGACTTAGTGGTGCTGGGGGCCTGGTATGGAACTGGAAAAAAAGGTCAGTTCATTAAATTTTTGAAGTTTTAATAAAGTAGAAATCTAGAAAGCTTTAAAATTAAAGGCACACAGTGATTGTGTCATAGTTTATTAAAAAAAAATCAAGTACAGTAAATTGGTTACATTTGGAAGTAGTAGTTTCATTCACTTTAAAGTATTTTTGTCCCTGGGAAACTTGGACTCAGGCCCAAGTAACATGACTGCATTTGCCTTTGCTTGTTTTGCATTGAATCTACCTAACTTAAGAATGGAAATAGTGAAAAGAATGTATTAACAAAATAAAAGTAATTTTGAATGAGTGCTGTAATCATACTTTGTTAGAATAAATGCATTTTCATGTTAATATACGGCTCATAGTTGAAAAGTAAATAAGGCTTATTTTTTATTAAAATATGATACCGTATTGCTTCTTGTTCACAAAATCTATATTAAATGATGCACAAGTTATAGATAAAGAGATTTTGCCACTGGTAAAAGTATCCTATATACAACATGTATCATGTTGTTCATTTGTGTGGTACATTAATTGAATGATACTTTGCCCAAGTGATGTATTATACATGTTTAGATTTATTGATAACTTTCATATTCATAACTGGTTCCTTTGGTTGGTAATTATAATTTTTTATTGTGATGAAAGCTTTGCACATTATTAAATCTTTTCTCTTGTCTAAACCTAGTTGTTACGATTTCTTAGGCAAACATTTTTTATTCCACAGGCGGAATGATGTCTGTTTTCTTGATGGGGTGCTATGATCCCAATATTGATAAATGGTGTACAACCACCAAGGTAATATTAGTAGAGGAGTTTTAATTTTGATAGATTGTATCTATGTTTTATACATTATGAATAATCAATATCTATATATTGTATGAATATCTAGAAATAATAGATAATAAAGTAATTTGAAGGAAGCAGCTTTTATTTCAAGTTTTTTTTATATTGAGAAGAACAGTAACATTTGTCATGTTATTGATCATAAGGACTTTGAAATAAAAGCTAGAAATATATGGAGTTCATGTATTCAAATTTCTTGGTAGCCAGCCATCAAAATTGTTGGTAATTAAAGTGATTATACAAAATTCTTTTTTAACTGTTTTTCAGAAGAAATAAATATATTGTAGAAAAGGCTCTTGTGAGCACAGTGCCTCCCCCCTGACTTAGGTGAGGGAGAGGAGAAATGTGCTGGAGCTGAGAAAGATTTGGTCTCTTAATCTTTGATTTGAGCTATTGGGTCTCTTAAGCCTTTTATCTATTCATATATATACCTCAGTGTATTTGGATAAAAATTGCCCTAAGTCTCTTATAAATGTGGAATATTTCAACTTTGTGAATGATGGGTTAAATTGGAGATTATACAAATCTGAGTAAGTCAGTGATCTAATAATATTTCCTGTTGTATTCACATAACAGGTTCACACAGGTTTTGACGATGCAGCATTGGAGCGACTGCAGACAGAACTGGATATGGTAAAGATCAGTCAGGATGTAGACCGTGTTCCACCGTGGCTTAAGTGTAATAAGCCCATGATTCCCGACTTTGTTGTTGCCGATCCAAAAGTAAGATTTGGTTCTCTTTAAGAAAGTCTGTTGGAATTTAAAAGATGGGAATCTGTAAGGGGGAAGGAGAAAAACAATCAGTATTGTAATGAAAACAAATAATGTATGGTAAATGGAATTTTTTTTTTATCACTTGGTAACTATATACAATGCACGACAGTATATATATATGGAAACTCTTGTCAGAAGTACTGTAAGCCATCTTATTTGTTATTTTTTCTCGCTCAACTTGAACCACAACGGACTCTGATTGAATATGGAAAAGTACTTCTTGAAAATGACAGATGCTTGCTAATTAAGCTTATTGGAGATACCATTAGACATGTGGGTGTAGGGTGATATTCCGTACTACCATACCAGGGATCTTTCCAAAATGTTTCTGCAAGGTTATGTTGATACTAGGGAGGCATACTCTGAGCCTTTCCAAGCCATACTTGGTATCACATGAACTGTCAAGTTGCTTTCTGAAGCAACTGGCCTCACCTCATTACGTGCCTGCTGAGACTGCAACCTTACCTTATGGATCGACTGAGATTGCTCCAAAATCATTGTCCTCCTCATTGTGTTTTGTGTCAAGTAATATGTGGCTCCATGTTCTATAATGAGAAAGAAATTAAAGCATTTTAAATGGGCAGTTAGTTATTTTTTCCATCAAGATCTGCAGTTAGGCAGAGACAAGACATATTGAACTAGGTTTGAAATAATATGAAACAATAAAAATAATACACAGTGGTTGGCCACCGTGAAATTTTTAAGACAGCCCAGAATGTACAGATGGCTTGAATAGTTGCCTTGAGGATATGCAGTCATATCCCTGCCCTGGGTCTTAAGTGTTAATATATATATTCTTTCCCTAATTAAGCTGTTGTCTATCACTGCAGCAGTGTTGATCTTGTAGGCAATTATTGTGACAGCTTTCCTCGTTGGTGTTTCATGCTCTCATCACTATACTGTATGTTTGTATAGGTAACTATTTAATATTATTTTGAAATTCATTACTTAAATAGTTTATGGCAGTATTTTAGGGATTACAATAAATGTTCTAGTGATGAGGATAAGCTAATTTTTGCAAATGGTTTAATTTTTTTACCATCTTCGATATCTCATTAAGTTTTGTCCAATATTCATATGACAGCCATAATTAATCCCTCATAACATTACCCACAGCAGTTCCTAACATGCAGTTTTCCAAAAGTAACTCCCTAAAACTAGAAGTTGGCCAACTTGGTGGCTAAGTAACTCTAGTACAGTTCTGTAGCTCCTAAAAACCAATAGCTCTCGAACTGAACTTGTGCCGATTGGCTCGATGTATGTTTGCTATTATGCTTCAATTTCTGTACAGTATAATCAGTTTTGTATGATGCCACATGATTTATCACCTTTTGAAAATACAAGACAAGATAGAGATTTTGTCACTAAAATATTATCATGGTTTTCAAAAAACTTGGCAATTTAGTAATTTCTGAATAGAGTACTGTCTGATGTACTTGGATGAATGTAATGTATACAGTATATGTACTTAGCTTGTTGTATTAATCTGCAGAAAGCACCAGTTTGGGAAATTACAGGAGCAGAGTTCACTCGCCACCAAATCCATACTGCTGATGGAATTTCTATTAGATTTCCACGTGTCACCAGAGAACGTAAGGATAAGACATGGAAAGAAGCCACAAATCTTGCAGAGCTCCAGGTGAGGAACTAATCTAATAATTACTGTATGTGTAAATCTATCATCTTAAAAGTAAAGCATATTTAAACATTTATTTCCTAAAAAAAATGCTGTATTTTTCTCCTTTAGTTATACATTTTGTTATTGTTCATGTAATTTTGATGGAAGTATTTACTGTACATTAATTGGCATAGCTGACAGAATCTGATATGGATGTGAAGCAAGATATTGACAGAACATGTGAACTTTATAATCTACCATGTATGGTAAGGTTGCTGGTCCTCATAGAGTGGGCCTATACTTTACTAAACACACTTCATGTGTGTGTGTGTTAACTGTTATTGTGTACTTCAAGCTTACAGAATCAGCATGGGCAGAAATTTCTTCTTTCTTTTATGTTGGTGGTGTGATGAGATGGGGCTTCACCTCTTTAAGTTGCCTCTTCCTCTTGCAGGTGTCCAGAGATGTGTTCATGCTGCACACGAATTGTTAAAGCTTTTTGGTCAATGTTAGCCCAACCACTCTGACTGGATGGTAGAGTGACACAATTCCTTCCTTCATTCTTTCCCAAATTCTTATCCTCATATCCCCTCCAAATGCTATATACCTTACCTTGAGTTGGGTACGGGGCTTGGCATCCCCACGGCCCGGTCATTGCCCAGGCATCCTTGTTGCTGGCCTGGTCAATCATATTGTCATAATGGCTTAGCACTATTGTCCATTGCTCTATTGGCTTAGCAATATTGGCCAACCAATATTGTCATTATGGCTTAGCACTTTCTCCTGATAATTACTTTGGTAAGTGTCACTCACTGTGCATTACTGTGTCATTTAACCTCACCGGTTTTGCTTGTTAACTACTGTATGACGGTTTTTAATTTTGTGTATAATGATTTTGCTTTTATTCAGTCACCTTTTCATGTCTGTTGTCTGTTGGTGATGAAGTCATGTAAGGTATTACTGAGCACGAATCTTGTAGACAGGTCCATCTACAGCCGTAGGTATGGGCCATTGCTCTTGGGATACATCTAAGGTTTTGTTTCTTAGTTTGCTCTGTAGAGTGATGCAGAAATAAGTTCTCCACTTCGGTTCGAGAGAGCTTCTGTTTGCTGCAGTTATGTAAGGTGCTAGCTAGTGCTTTTTCATGTTTCAGGTCACTTGTTACTGTCTGGTTTTTGAATTCAGGTCCCATTTTCTGACTTGGTCTTGGTCTGATGCAAGGTTTTTCCCAGGAATTCTTCTAGGATTTTATTTATTTAACTTGCTTTCCTGAGTTTGGCAGGCAGGGACATCTGCTCTGGATTGAGTTTGCTTCTCCTCGGAGCAGTTATGTGCAGTTGGGAGTCTGGGGTATTTCTTAGTTCTATCCTAAGGTTTTCTTCCATAGTATGCTATCCAGTATGTGACAGGTAGAGACCTTTACTCAGGCTTGAGTTTGACTGGTGACATTGTGAAGGGTTCTGTTCTGTTTTTACACACTGCTGGCTGTTGCTGCTGCATGGATCATGTGACCATTTCTTTCTGAGTATTCTCTCTTATGTGTGGCAGGCAGGGGGCGTTGGTCAGGATCAAATTTACATTCTTTGTGCAGAGTCTTATGGTGCTGATTGGTTGTGTTTGGATCTAATGACCAGGTTCCTTCATAGAAATTTGCTCTGGAATAATGTACGGGGATCTAACCGCAACACATTTTAACAAAACAGTGGATTTATATAACTGATGATTCACTAATAATTTTGTTTGAGAGGAAAATGTTTGACTATGCAAGCTTACAGTTGCACAGGAGTGATTAAGTAGCCACTATACTAGCATATAAACATTGTGCCTGAATTGAGATGTGTTTATATAATGTGTGATTATTTTCTGTTTGTTACTCTTGAGAAAGTTGGAGACCTTGACAAAAGATTTCTGAGCCATGAAGTGAATTTTTACTCCATGTTGTCTACAGTCATCTCTGTAATTTTATTATCTATTATAGTTATATGCTTTATTTCTTGTACAAATAACAACCAGAGACAGAGAGAGAGAGCTGCCATTTGTAAATTAAAAAGTGTCATTAAAATATCCTGATATTCAATGCTGTTCAACATGCATCAACAAAGATTGATTTTATATTAATATTTTTCTAATACCTTTACAGATACTGTACAAGAATTCTCGAGAATGTTTAGACTTTGAATCGCTTGTCTCAGACACTAATGACAGAACAGATGATGACGATGACAGTGGTAAGAGGAGTGGAGGATCTGGCTTCTCAACACCTGTTACAACTGTATCATCCAACAGTGTATCGCCAAATAAAGCAATTGGAGAAAAGGCCAAGAATAAGGTATCATATAATACTGTAGTGGGTATAGCCTTTACTGTTAACATTATCTGAGTCTGCAAATATATTTCCAACTTGTCATTTTACTTTCAATATTCTGTAAACTGGCTGTCGAAGAAATTTCTGAGCTATCTCAGCCAGTGTGCCATTAAGTACTTGCTGTCTTGAATGTGTACGTTGTCCTTTTACTATGTCTTCAGATTTCACAAATTTCTTTCTCTATTAAAAGATTTTTCTGTATTTTCTAGCCTGTACAGTTTATCTGATGACAAGATCATTTAGAGCAGAGCTAGTCATAATGTTGTTTGTACTCACTTTTCCCCCTATATATTTTTTCATTTAGGACATCTTTAAGTTGCTTGCATTTTGTCAAAATATATTCTTTCACAACACTTCTGTGACTTACTATTCAGTACTCACTGGAGTGAATGTCCAAGTATGGCCTAGTCTTTGACACGTATTTACTGCTAATTAATAACCACAGTGCTAATACAGTCACTTCTATCATACCTCTTTCTTAAAACAGTTCTCCTGCATGTTCTCTGCAGTTAATGTTCTAAGTGTCTCCTGGGAAGAGAGAGATGTTAGTTATATGTGTAACAGATTTTCAAGAAGCTATAGGCTTCTCTACACATCCAAACCCATGGTTTTCCATGATTACATAAACATTCACAAGCTAAGAGTTTTTGGATCTGGCAAGCATGCCACCTTCTTATCTTTAACTCGCCTAAAAACATAAGGTTTGATTTACTCTGCTGTACACCTGTTCACTCTACCCAGAATTGTAATTATTTGTATAAGTTGTTACAAATTGTTTCTAATTCAAATTTACTGTAAATGAGAATGATAGAAATTTGAATAACATAATTTTATAACTGACAGGTCCAGAAGACACTTGGTGGATCCAATAAAGGTGAGAGAGTACAAGAGGATAAAATACAAGAAAAGGCAAGAAAGGAGGTGAAGCAGGAGAAAAGAAAGTCGGGTGAAACGATGGGGGAGACACCTCCGAAAAAGGTACAGCTTTAAGCAAAATTCGTAGCAAACATTATCAACTAAAATGAATTGTGGATGCTGATTTGGGAAACATATCATGCTGAGATGATTTTTTTTAATTTGTATTAAGGTAAATAGTGAAATACAGAGTGGTACCTATAATTAAGAAGTGAAAAGTTCAAATATACAGTACTGGCATTCCTAAAGCAAAATAAATATGATAATAAAATGCTAATTTCAAATTGTATGACATATACAAGTTGTAAGAGAGATTGTGTGAGCCTATTGTGTGCACATAGAAATACTCTCAAGTACATGTATCACAATAGAGAGAGAGGAGCATTCTTCTAGCTTTATCTATACAAGACAATGTGTGTGTGTGTGTGTGTGTATCTGTGGTTGGGGGACAGTTGCTTGGAGCCGACGACTTCACCCAAGTTTTCAAGATGACGTAATTGATCCTTAGGGCTCCAATCATATACATGTGCAGTTGATAAATACTGTAATTCATTTTCTTTAATATATATTACAGAAATAATGTTGCATGCATTGCATAATAGTTATCATTTGCATAAATGGCTCTAAATGTAATTAAATTACTTATTCTTGGGGGACAACATTCCCTCTCTCACTACATACTTTCTCAGCTGATTTTTCTTAACTTTTAAAGATGTGCAAGTATGGTGCCTCATGCTACAACGACAATGTGGCTCATCAATACCTCTACGATCACCCTGTACCGCTGCTCCATACACCTCCAACAGTAAATGTAAGTTATTCTTTTCTTGTACGATTCTCTTGGCATCAATGCGGAACACTACCACAGTGTGTGGTAGTGTGGTAGGAATTTCTGACCTATTGCATACTCATACCCATACTGGGCATGAGTGGTTTCTTATATTTCTTTGACTCATTTAGTGCTTTCTGCTGATAATTACCTTGCCTATCCCTCCATTTAAAGAGCCTGACCTTGTTCACCTTGTCCGTTACTCTTAGTATCTTGTATGTAGTGATTATATTGTCTCTATTCATTCTTTCCACTAGGGTTGTGAGATTGAATTCTCTTAACCTGTTTGTATAACTTAGTTCTCTTAATTTAGGCAGTAATCTTGTTGTTAAACTTGACACTTTAACAAATTTAGTTTTGTGTTTCACGAGGTGTGAATTTCATGCCACTGCTGAGTTCAGGTATTGACCTTGCATAGGCTGTATATATTATCTTGAAAGTCTCCTTATTTGATTCTTAAAGTTATTCTAATGTTTTCCAATGCTGGCAATGTTATCTTATTTGCATCCTGTGTTCGTGCTGGAATTCTATTCACTCCAGAATGTTTTTTCTTTACTCAATTCCTGCCTTTCTCTTATGGTGCAGAATCATTCTGGTTTCCAATTATATTTTTCCATCTTTGTTGCTTACCTTGAACTTGCTGAGGTTGAACTCTCTTAACAACCATTTTCTGCCCACTGCTGAAATTTGTCAGACTCGCATCAAATACATACACATATATTTACAAGCTCATTCATTCCTTGAGGCTGATTATTCACAGATTAGGAACAGCAATGAGCTTAGGATTAAGCTTAGGTTTAGGAACAGATTAGGAATGGCAATGAGCTCAGTCCCCCCCCCCCCCCTTCCTTGAAGGGTGGGGGCCCCTGCTTGCCACATGTCTCCAGCTTGACATCGTGCTCTGACCCGTAATCCTTTGTATTTTGTCCGTCACAGGACAAAAGTGCCACAGACTTAGATTGACAACACCATAACTGTTGCCTACTTTGTAACTGTTGGTTTACATCTGTCTTCAGTGTCAGAAGATAATACTGTATTTGATGTTAATCTGTTATACTGTTACTTACACAAGGTTTCTTCTTGTTTCAGCCACTGCCAGATATATTTATTGGTGTTCAAGTCAGTATGCCAGATACCATCGACAAGATTGATGTATTGAAAAGATATATTATAGCGTATCCTTTTATATAGCACCAGGGAAAAATTTAGTCGAGTATCAGGTAAGTGATTTGACGCCTTCGGCTTACACTACAGTATTTAAGAACTTTGCGTCTTGTTGATTACAGAGAAAGAAATTGTGAATAAGAAGGATGGAAACAAGAAACTTTGGTGAGTATTAAAATGTTGCCAGTTAGAGAGAGTTAAGATTTTATACCCATCTAAACTTAAGGTATACTAGATAAAACTGCTTTAATAATTGATACAGTTGCGTGATCAAAGAAGAGGCTGTAAAGAGTGAACTCAACAAGGGGGTAAACAATTTAACACGGGGTAGAGGGTGCTTCCCTTGTTTGTGTTTAGGATAGAGGGGAAGATAAGTGAAAGGGGTTATGAAATATTTAAAGTATTTTTAATCCCAAACTAATTATGTAGCTGTTGAAGTGACAATTGAGGCAGCCTATGGCAGTACACTGGATGAAGGGCAGGAGCTGACAACAGTTTATTTCAAGACACACCCAGTAAGAACATATCCTTATTATGGTCATTGTTGTTGTCCACACTACTTACTGTGCATACATTGAGGATGATACATACTGGAGGATGTCATTGATGGGGACATAATGGGGGGTAGCAGTTGGTGAGGATACAATGGGGATAGGAGTTGATTGGGACACAATGGGGGTAGCAGTCGGTGAGGAGACACTGGGGTGGTATGAGTTGGTGGACACAATGGGGGTAGGAATTGGTAGAGACCCAAGGCATTGACATGGGAAGGTGATTTATGGTGTTGACACAAGGGGGATATATGGTGTTGACACAAGGGGGATATATGGTGTTGACACAAGGGGGTATATGGTGTTGACACAAGGGGGGTATATGGTGTTGACACAAGGGGGGTATATGGTGTTGACACAAGGGGGGGTATATGGTGTTGACACAAGGGGGATATATGGTGTTGACACAAGGGGGGGTATATGGTGTTGACACAAGGGGGATATATGGTGTTGACACAAGGGGGGATATATGGTGTTGACACAAGGGGGGATATATGGTGTTGACACAAGGGGGGATATATGGTGTTGACACAAGGGGGGATATATGGTGTTGACACAAGGGGGGATATATGGTGTTGACACAAGGGGGGATATATGGTGTTGACACAAGGGGGATATATGGTGTTGACACAAGGGGGGATATATGGTGTTGACACAAGGGGGGGAGGGGTATATGGTGTTGACACAAGGGAGGAGGGATATATGGTGTTGACATGAGGGGAGGGGTATATGGTGTTGACACAAGGGAGGAGGGATATATGGTGTTGACATGAGGGGAGGGGTATATGGTGTTGACACAAGGGAGGAGGGATATATGGTGTTGACATGAGGAGAGGGGTATATGGTGTTGACACAAGGGAGGAGGGATATATATGGTGTTGACATGAGGGGAGGGGTATATGGTGTTGACACAAGGGAGGAGGGATATATGGTGTTGACATGAGGGGAGGGGTATATGGTGTTGACACAAGGGGGGAGGGGTATATGGTGTTGACATGAGGGGAGGGGTATATGGTGTTGACACAAGGGAGGAGGGATATATGGTGTTGACATGAGGGGAGGGGTATATGGTGTTGACACAAGGGAGGAGGGATATATGGTGTTGACGTGAGGGGAGGGGTATATGGTGTTGACACAAGGGAGGAGGGATATATGGTGTTGACGTGAGGGGAGGGGTATATGGTGTTGATACAATAGGATTAGTGGTCCAATAAGTTTCTAAACTGCTATTTATGTTTAATATTGGTTGATGTACTTACCTAATTGTACTTATCTAATTGTGTTTGTGGGGGTTGAGCTCTGGCTCTTTGGTCCCGCCTCTCAACCGTCAATCAACAGGTGTACAGGTTCCTGAGCCTACTGGGCTCTATCATATCTACACTTGAAGCTGTGTATGGAGTCAGCCTCCACCACATCACTTCCTAATGCATTCCATTTGTCTACTACTCTGACACTGAAAAAATTCTTTCTAATGTCTCTATGGCTCATTTGGGCACTCAATTTCCACCTGTGTCCCCTAGTGCGTGTGCCCCTTGTGTTAAAAAGTCTGTCTTTATCTACTCTATTAATTCCTCTGAGAATCTTGTATGTGGTGATCATGTCCCCTCTAACTCTTCTGTCTCCCAGTGACGTGAAGTTTAATTCCCGTAGTCTCTCCTCGTAGCTCATACCCCTCAGTTCTGGTACTAGTCTGGTGGCAAATCTTTGAACCTTTTCCAGTTTAGTCTTATGCTTGACTAGACATGGACTCCATGCTGGAGCTGCATACTCCAGGATTGGTCTGACATATGTGGTATATAATGTTCTGAAAGATTCCTTACACAAGTTTCTAAAGGCCGTTCTTATGTTAGCCAACCTGGCATATGCCGCTGATGTTATCCTCCTGATATGAGCTTCAGGGGACAGGTCTGGCGTGATGTCAACCCCCAGGTCTTTCTCTCTCTCTGACTCTTGCAGGATTTCATCTCCCAAATGATACCTTGTATCTGGTCTCCTGCTCCCTACACCTATCTTCATTGGTGTGTTGATGTGTTGAGGTGGTGGTGATGCCTACGGGAGGGAGGAACCGTGTGGGGCGGCCAGGTAGGGGAGGGGGGTGATGGTGATGACACTATTGTGTTAGGGGGGTCATAATGGTGATGAGGAAAGTGACCATAATGGGTACAGTAGTGATGAAGAGGGTGGTGGTTGTGATCATTAATAGTGTTGGTTGTGATGACCAATGAAGATAATTTGGATTATGGTGACTGGTAATAATGATGATGATGAAAGCAGTGAGTGATGGTGAAGGTCATGGCTATGCGTGATGGAAGTACTGTATTACCATTAACATCAAGGCTGGATACTTCACCAGGAAACAATGTGAGGCAGGTGAGTACAAGGAGAGACACTTACTGTGCTTACCATCGACCAGGAGGAAGAAATAATCCTCAGACTGCAGCACATAATTATCTTAAGAACATAATTGGATTGGAAACTATGACATTCAACCAGGTGTTAAATACGAAATTGGACATTACACCATGTAACAAATTCCTGGTTGGCATACTGCGTGGCTATTAAATATTTATATTTGTGTGTGTAGGGGCGGTCAGCAGAAAGATAGGCGTGGTAATTGGCTCGTTCCACTCGGTAATGGGCGGCTGTATTGTGTAATTGGCAGTGGTTTAGGACTTGATGAATACCTTTGACACAGTGGGGAGTGGCTAATGTGGATAGATTTTCATGTTGGGTTTGTGAAGTTAGCGAGCCATTATGGGTATCCGAGCAGTGTGTGGAGGATGTGACTCAGGAGAGGGAGAGGGGCATAGAGGTAGACGAACAAGTGAAGTAGGGAGAGCGGGCTGAGAGATGGAGAGACCAGTTTATTGCAAATAAATCTGTATATAGTAACCATCAATAGGAGTAGCGTTGCCTAGATTATTGAGTCTCTTTTTTACCGAGGCTGACCATAGAGTTATATTTGTTACCTTGTGTGAAATAACTAGATAACATGAGCTTTTGTTACACGAAGATTGTGTGTGTGTGTGTGTGTGTGTGTGTGTACACACACGCACACGCGCGTAGACTCCAGCTCAACTAGGTGAGTACACACACTGTTAGAGGGAGGTTTGGGGTGTCTGGGTATCCCTCCAAGGATATCAATAACTGGAAATTCTGTCTATCCGAGGTTGGGGGCCAGCCGCTTGAGGTTAGTTTCATTCAATTCTTCCCAGTAATTGCTGCTGTGTACGTGCCCAACATGGGCGGGTTGGGGTTGTTGTCAAAGAAAGAGAGTCCCAAGTGATGCTGTGTGAATTCCCCACCAAAATCTTGCAATGACATATGAATCAACTCGGAATTATTATAATTTTAATTGTGGCAATATTGGAAACTGCACTGACCATCCCAAAATTGTACATATTCTAATCATAATAGTTACCCCTTAAACCCCCAAACTTTTATATTGTTTTCCCTTATACTTTATGGATTGTGTGTGTGGACCCAAATTTGTTAAGTGTACTTATAATGGTAACGTTTGTGATATTGTAGGGGGGGGGAGGGAGAGAAGAAGGGAAAGAGGGGCGGGAGAGAGACCCGGGCACCGCTGGATGCCTCTTTTAGTTAATTACATGAGAAAGTCAAGTAACAACATTGCACGTAAACATTTAACATTATATACTGTACGATTTAGATACTCATTTACTACTGAGTAAAAAGAAACATTGCCCAAATGCTTCTGTCCTGCCGTGGGAATTGAACTCTGAACAAATCCACAAGGGCCGTGACGAGGATTCGAACCTGCGTCCGGGAGCATCCCAGACGCTGCCTTAATCGTATTGAACTCTGAACTTTTCGGCTGTGGCTCGATGCGCTGACTACCGTATTTATGATACGGTAATAGTCTTAATATTTATTGTAACCAAACATAAACTGTGCATTATGCCAGGACACAGTGGCGGGAGGCGTCCCGTCCACCGGGAGGGTGGCGGGAGGCGTCCCGTCCACCGGGAGAGTGGCGGGAGGCGTCCCGTCCACCGGGAGGGTGGCGGGAGGCGTCCCGTCCACCGGGAGAGTGGCGGGAGGCGTCCCGTCCACCGGGAGAGTGGCGGGAGGCGTCCCGTCCACCGGGAGGGTGGCGGGAGGCGTCCCGTCCACCGGGAGGGTGGCGGGAGGCGTCCCGTCCACCGGGAGGGTGGCGGGAGGCGTCCCGTCCACCGGGAGGGTGGCGGGAGGCGTCCCGTCCACCGGGAGGGTGGCGGGAGGCGTCCCGTCCACCGGGAGGGTGGCGGGAGGCGTCCCGTCCACCGGGAGGGTGGCGGGAGGCGTCCCGTCCACCGGGAGGGTGGCGGGAGGCGTCCCGTCCACCGGGAGGGTGGCGGGAGGCGTCCCGTCCACCGGGAGGGTGTCGGGAGGCGTCCCGTCCACCGGGAGGGTGACGGGAGGAGTGCGGCTACACGGTCACAACGCGCGCTCACCCTCCTCCTCCAAGGTCTTATGACACCTTTTTTGTATTTGTTATTTAAACAAGTTAAGGTGCACACAACAATGTGCTGCTTTCCCGGTCTGTATGAAGGACTTGCAGAGTATAGATGAAATTCTGGGTAGAACACGAGAATCCTCGTCACGGCCCTTGTGGATTTGTTTGGGGAGTAGAAGAACTCCCAGAACCCCATCAACCAGGTATCAACCAGGTATCTTCCACTATTGGTGTGTGTGTATGTAGTAGTTGCATAGGTCAAAATACCTCATACCATTCGGTCGCAAATTATTGATATCAGGACACCCCACAAGTATAGTGTTGGAGTGTGTTCTACCTAATGTTCACATAGTTTAACATTTAGTGTGTTCATTGTTGGGGGAAGTCATTACCTGCAGCCACCTGTTGTATGTATCGATATCCCAGACTAATTATGGCAGTTACAATGTGTCACCGTCGAGTGGATGTGGTGTCCGTACATATAGTACTGTGGTCGCTACACACCTACGGGCTCACCGTAGCCCGTGCTACATGCACATTTCCATCTGAGTAACTAAATCTAAACAACAGCAGGAGCGACACACCGCTCCCGCCACACTGGACAAGACACGCTTCAGTAACAATGTTTTCAACTTTGTTACATTAACGTTATTTGCTGGAGGGGGGGGGGGGGTTATTCCCACTGCCAATATATAGTCACATACACTCTGTGGATAATAATATATTCACAACTCAGTTCCTGGAGCGGCTCTTCAGGCCATCCTCGTCCATGCTGGTGTAACAATTGGTGTTTATCATACATCCCCCCCCCTTCATCCAGTGGGCAGCGGTGGATTGCTTAAAATCACTCTTAGTTACCACCTACAGTCAGCAAACTGGGGATATTTGGCCAAGACTTCTGGCTGCAGATCATTTTAAATGTAATATTTACACATCTCTTGAACACTTGTTTTCACGTATCCTTTCGCACTATGTACTCCATCACATAGTGACGGAGGGTGTGCGAATATTTTTGTTGACACAGTTTACATTTGGTCAGGTCTACATCGGCAGATAATGCGAATTCCCAGAGATACTTGTAACCGAGTCTAAGTCGAGCAGTAGTAACATCTAGAAGTCTGCTGATTTTATTGGATGAACCATAGATGTGTGGCTCCTCTTGCATGATAGTATGATGATAGATGGAATTACTAGTATCGATTTCACTTTGCCTCAGAGCTACAAGATTTTGTTGAAGTTCTTGGTGTATTATTGCTTTCAGACTGCCTATTGACAATACAAGAGTATGCTCAATTTCTCCTTTAAAAGCAGATTCTTTGGCTAACTCGTCAGCTCTTTCATGCACCCGGAGGCCAACATGAGATGGAGTCCACATGAAATGGACTCTGTTACCATCATTAATAATTTTGTTGTATTTGTGTCTAGCTTCAGACAGGAGCATGTTACAGTTATGTCTTAAAGGGTTGAGAGCAATTAAGAATGATAAAGAGTCACTTTCAATTAATGTATCAAGTTTGGGGACTTGTACACATTTCAGTGCAAGAAGCAAGGCAAATAGTTCGGTCTGAAGGGTAGAGGCTCTCTTGGTACAAATTATAAATCTATACTGAGGTCAGTTTCAGTTTGAGTCATCCATTTGGAACAATGTTGACATTCAATAAAGTAATTCTGGAGGGCTTCTGTGCAAGGGTTAAGATGAGTTAGCCTAAGCATTGTATAACAATTTGACAGTTATTTTCAGTAACACGATCAACGACACTCGGTATATAAAGTTCCTTCCTCATGTTAAGTATGTTTGTGGTACGAGTGCACCCAAGCATTATCCTCAAGGCTTCGTTCTGCAATTTTTCACTGAGAGAATGATGGTGCCTGACGTAGTGTATAAAATGGCAAGTTTAGCTTATTTAGTTCATATAACTAGTTACAGAGTTGATTAATATGTGCGTTTATAATCTATTTATTATTGGTTTAGCGTATGAAATGTGGCGAAAGGATCACAGAGTCGACTAATTGTTCAGGAAGGAATTATCAGGGGAAAGCGCCAAGCCATTACGACTATATAGCACTTAGAAGGGGTCAGGATAAGTATTTGGGATGGGACTGGGGGAGGGGGAAGGAATGGTGTCCAACCACCTGGACGGTCGGGGATTGAACGCTGACCTGCATGAAGCGAAACCGTCGAGTCCAAGTGTTTGGACTAACTGTTCAGGAGCTGGAATCCAAATTTTCTTCAGGTTAGCAGTTTACATTTGCGTGGGAAGTAATATCACTTGGTGTGTGACGCAGCCATCCAGGGGGGTTGGGGGGGGCTACAGTCACACTGGGTCGAGCACACGTGTTTAAGCAAGTTTGTGATCAAGTTGTAAGGGTATTAGCTCTCTCTAATTACAGCATTATAGTTAATATTACAAAGGGAACATAGAGGAAATCGAACAAGAGAAGGGAGAGAAGAGATATTGAAACGGGGGAAAGGGAAAAGTTGTGAGAGGAAGAAGGGGAGAAGGAAAAAATAAGACATGAAGGGATGAGGGGCGGCGTTTGGGCTAGATAAGTTGAGCCCAACAAACGAGACTCTGGCCAGTTACAGAACTTAAAATTAAAGTGACCCAAACACGGCAGTGGAGTTTTAGTCCAGTTTTGTCTAGCTAAATGTTTTAGAATTTAATTATATTTAGTAATAGCTAACGTGTGCTCGAGGACACTAGATAGTAATTAATTGCTTAGTGGTGTGTTGCTTGTTCCAACACAAAGTTGCTTCTCGGCAGGCCCCGGGTTTTCTTACTCCTTTCGACATGAATTATTTTGTACAGTTTTGCCTGGAGAGAAGTGTAGAGGGGGAAAATGCTACAAATGTGAACAGTACTAAGGGAGTGACCTTGGCGAGAGTGGGATCACAACTGCTGGTTGCTAACTGTGCTACGCGCGGTGTTGCCACACGCGTGGCCTTGTGTACATTTGTGTACCCTTATTATTCGAGATACAACTCTGGCTAGTGTGATCGGTCATTGTGTTGTGTACGGAGGGGGGGGGGGGGGGGGTTCCCCAATATAAATATAAATTCTAATGGTAATAAAGATGCTGGTGGCGTGTATAAGGTTAGCGGCTGTAGACGACAACAATGTTGTTTACAGTTGGATGATGAGCCTGTATCCGGGAGTCAGTGTGGACTATGTTGGTGCGAGGAGCGGGAGTGGCCTGGGCGGCCGGGCTTGGAGTGGACACCTGCCTCGCTAGTAGTGTCAGGTGTATTACACGTGCGACTCCGGGCGGTTTACTGCCACAGAAACAATGGCGGTTCTCGAGTACTTGGGGCACCACACCATCACACCCACTACACCCGTCTTCCCGAAACACGTGTTTCCGTCCATTACACGCGCTTTTCCGCCCAAAACACGTGCCTTTCCGCCAACTAAACACTTGTGGTCCGAGTGGTACGTACGAGGAGCTGCACTGGCGGTCCATCCATGACCGAGAGGCGTTCTGGGCGGAGGTGGGGGCTGGGGTGGAGTGGCACAAGCCCTTCACGAGGGTACTGGACGACTCGCAGCTGCCCTTCTGTAGGTGGTACGTGGACGGGGAGCTCAACACCTGCCACAACGCCGTCGACCGTCACGTGACCGCTGGTCGGGGTGACCAGGTGGCCATCATCCACGACTCTCCCGTCACGGGCTCCGTCACCAAGACGACCTATTCCCAGCTTCAGGAACAAGTGTCTCTCATGGCCGGCGGCCTGGCCGAACTTGGTGTGGGTTACGGTGACCGCGTCATGATCTACATGCCCATGGTGACGGAAGCGGTAGTGGCCATGCTGGCCACAGTGCGGCTGGGGGCCACACACTCCTTGGTGTTCGGGGGGTTCGCGGCACGAGAGCTGGCAGCCCGCATATCCCACTTGCGGCCCCTAGTGGTGGTGAGCGCCTCCTGCGGCGTCGAGCCCTCGCGCCTAGTGCACTACAAGCCTATCCTGGACGAGGCCATCCAGCTGTCGTGCCACAAGCCGCAGCACTGCGTCCTGCTGCAGCGGGAAGGTCTGCCAGAGGCCCCCCTGACCCCCGGGCGGGACGAGTCTTGGCACCACGTCATGGCCACGGCCTCTCCGGCACCCCCTCTCCCGGTCCACTCAGACCATCCTTGTTACGTCCTGTACACCTCTGGCACCACCGGGCAGCCCAAGGGTATCGTGCGGCCCACGGGTGGCCATGCTGCAGTCTTGCCATGGACCATGAAGGCCGTGTATGGCATGGAGCGTGGCGATGTGTGGTGGGCCGCGTCGGATCTGGGGTGGGTTGTGGGCCACTCATACATCTGCTACGGCCCCTTGTTGAACGGCAACACCACCGTCATCTGCGAGGGCAAGCCCGTGGGCACCCCGGACGCCGGCCAGTTCTTCCGTGTTATTGAGGAACACGGCGTGAAGGGCATGTTCACGGCCCCCACGGCCCTGAGGGCCATCATACACCAAGACCCCGAGGCCACTCACGCTCGCAGGTACGACTTGTCAGCCCTCAAGTACCTGTTTGTGGCCGGGGAGCCGCTGGACCAGGAGACGCGGGCGTGGGCCCTGGAGACCTTCAGGGTGCCGGTGCTGGACAACTGGTGGCAGACGGAGACGGGCTACGCCATCACCGCCCACGCCGTCGGCTTGAACATGCCTCTCCACCCCCCTCGCGGCGCTACCGGTAAGCCCTTCGTCGGTTTCGACCTGTCTGTTGTGACTGAAGGTCGCGAGGCCGCCACGGGGGAGTTAGGACGCATCGTCTGCCGCCTGCCGCTGCCGCCTGGCTGCATGAGCACACTCTACAATGCCTCGGAACGTTTCGTGGAGACATACTTCACGCAGTTCCCCGGTTACTACGACACGATGGACGCCGGTGTTCGTGACGCAAATGGGTACGTAGGGGTCCAGTCGCGGGACGACGACGTCATTAACGTAGCGGGCCACCGCCTGAGCACCCTGTCGCTGGAGGAGGCCATGTTGGAACACCCTCAGGTAGTGGACGCGGCCGTGGTGGGGGTCCCGGACCCCATGAAGGGGGAAGTTCCATTCGGTTTTTTCGTGATGAAGGAGGGAAGCGAGTCGACGGAGGAGGAGACAGCGGAGGAGGTGGTGTCGGTGGTGCGGAGGGTGGTGGGGCCGGTGGCTGCCTTCCGCCTGTGTGCACGCGTCACCGGCCTCCCCAAGACGCGCTCTGGCAAGACTCCCAGGAGGAGCTTCGCCGACCTGGCCCGGGGTAAGGCCGTCCAGATCTCCTCTACCATCGAGGACCCGTCACTCTATCTCGATGTTCTCGATGCCCTCAGACGACGCGGTTATGCTCTCCACACTCCGGACCCCGCCATGCCCTGACCTACCATCGCCTCTCGTCACCCCGTCACCACTGCTCCCAACACCTTCGTCTTGCCATCTGACCTCTAAAGTTGTGTTAAACACTGAACTTGCAGAGTGAACACTATTCCTGTGTTATAAAAAGTATTGAGCGCATCATACAGACCAAGAACAAGAACATTCTTAAGAATGTCATTTGGTGGAGTGTAGACACTTGCAGAGTTATGAGGCCAGCTGGGTCGTCTCTGTTGTTGGTGCCACTAATAGTTCTTGTAGTAGGAGACGTGGGCAAGATGGGGTCGACTGTACCTATCGTGTGTCTGGGTAGCGTTCCTTGTTGCTTTATTTGTATGGCATGTGTATGGATATTTATATAATTTAAATAATTTTAGTAAATTGATGTGACCACCAGTTTATTCGTTGTCTATATATCCTTTATTATAGCTAACCGGATGGAGTACCCGGCTGTGCCCAGGTCTCTCTCCCCCTTCCCCCTCCCTTCTTCCCCTTTGTTTTTTTCTCCCACTTTCATCCTTCTCTCATCTCATCCTCTATCACCCCTCCTTCCCTACAAATTTCTCCCCCCCCTCCCTTTCACATCTTCCCTCTGTCCAACCACTTGGGCTGGACGGTAGATCGACGATCTCGCTTCATACAGGTCGGCGTTCAATCCCCGACCGTCCAAGTGGTTGGGCTACCATTCCTCCCCCCCCCCCCTCCGTCCAAGTGGTTCGATACCATTCCTTTCCCCCCGTCCCATCTCAAATCCTTATCCTCACCCTTTCCAAGTGTTATATAGTCGTAATGGCCTGGCGCTTTCCCCCGATAGTTCTCTTCCCTCCCCCCTCCTTCCCCATCCTATCCCAAGTCCATATCCTGACCCCCCTTTACATTGCTATGTAGTCGTAATGGCCTGGCGCTTTCCCCCTGATCATTCCCGCCCTCCTCTTCCCTCTCCCACCATCTCCCCCCCCCCCCCTCTCTCTCTTTCTGCGCTCAGAAAAAAAGTTTGGCCGCCTACTCTTGACAGATAGACATTGTTTTATAAATAAAGTTAATTTGTTTCGAGTGTCTTTAACAAGAGGGGTGGGTTTAAAAGACTAATCAGCATATTCTCCGCGAGATACCAGGGTTAGTTGTACAGCATTATCAGTAGAATTAGTAAACAGATAACATCTGTTATCATTGTAATCTCTCATTTCTGCTCCATCATTAGTAAGAGGAGAAAAACGAGTCAAATGTTCAGGTTGGTTACTCACACTGCCTCAGCTACCCACTCATACACGCTGCCACAACTACACACGCTACGGGCTCACCATAGCCCGTGCTACTTGGAACTTTTTGTTCCAAGTAGCGAATTTTAAACACCACCACCACCACCACCACTACAACAACATAGTCTGTTAAATTAGTGATCTGACTTTTTATCACAATTATATTTTATTATTTTCATCAAGTTAAATGCTTTTGAGACTAAAGTGTTTTGAAGATAGAAATATTTTTCTGTTACAATATGTAGGGTAATCTACAGGGTGGTGGTGGTTGTGCACCACACATCTTCCTGCAAAGATGGTATACTTATTTCCGGTTATATATATGCACCAAAGATGGGTTGCTGCGCTTCAATCTATCCGTATCGAGCACCATAGAACCAGAAACAAAGTATAACATGCATACAAATAAACACTACCTACATATGTGTGTAGTTGTTTAATATACTGTATGGTTGATATTATGAACATAGCTATTAATGCGTTTATTGGGCGTCCTAAGCCCAGTTTTAAGAATAAAGGTAACTGCAGAAAGCCTATTGGTCCATACGAATAGTTTAATAGCTCATGAGTCATAACTTATACATAGAATAAGGTAGGAGCTAGGGAATACCACTCATTAAGGTGTCCAGCTCTTTCTAGTTACATTCTGATGTCCTTGGAGCACCAAAGAGGTCTTCCTCTTGGATAAATGACTTTATTTCCAATGAAGATGCATTTAGGAAAATATTTGTGTGTGGGGGTTTCACCGCAGATTTAGTACATAGTAACGTATCCAAGCACCAAGGCAGACTTGTCAGGTTACACTCGTCTTGTGGAGTCTGGAATTGTGAGGCGGTGATCATGCTTATGCTGCCAATGAATGCAACGCGCACGTAGTAGCAGACTCCAGTTTTCAATGTGAAGATCATAGTTACCGAGGTTGCAAGCAGAGATTCATTATACCCTTATATTTTCACCTTTTAAAAGTAGCTTTGCGCAAATAATCATTACTCATGCTCACCAAAAAAGAATGAAACATATATTGTTTAAAAATAATGGGTGGTAAAGAGAGGTGTGTGGATGTTGAAGCGTGACACAATAGCCTCAAAGAAGTGAAAAAGAGCCAACTTGCTGGAGAGGTCCGGGTCTTGGCCCTTGACGAGAAGAGCTGCACGCTTGAAGACAGACCGCTGTGCACCTCAGCCTGGTGGATATTGTTAACACACACGGTTATCTTCAATGGACAGGAAACGTTACATTGTTCACATGCACAATAGCCTCCCCCATGGCTAACCCCATCTCATGTACAGTTTATTTTCCATCTGTTTTCTCCCAACCCGACATATTGGGTTGTGGTTGTTTATCTGACTGTTTGGCCTACGCTGTTTGCTTACAGTGTCAGAATTTCAGATATTATATCATTAACAAGAAGTGTGCCATAAAATGTCGGGCTTGGAACGATCGAGACAAATGCTTGGCCATTGTGCAGTCTAGACCAGCAACTCGTCTCCCCGAGCGTTCCCAACGTCACAAAACATAATGTACTAAATTGTCCTAACCTAACCTAACCTAACCAAGGACCCATGAATTGAAAACGTGACATTGTCAATTTATCGAGCTACTATGATTTATAGTACTTCATATTTTAATTATATTTTGAGGTTGGGGATTTATACGTTAAAATGTGATGTACTATTCGAGAGGACGGGTTGAAGTAACAGTATGCCCAAGTGTCCCAAGAGTGGCCACGCAGCTGTCGTTACGCCACATCTCGCATGGTACACACCTTTATAAAGCAGACCAGCCACATGTACTTGTAGCCTAATACGAGTCTTCTCCCGTAAAGGTATTCCTTATTCCGACTTTTACCCAGGTATTCATGCCTCCATCCTTGCCCGCTGGCAGAGTTGTTGGTCTTCTGTTATTGGTAACAAACTGCGTACTCTTAAGAGTCGTGTGTCCCAGTGGCCTTCCTCCTGCCACCGTAACCGGCGGTGGGAAACGGCTCTGGCTAGGTTACGTATTGGACATATCCGTTTAACTCACGGTCACTTAATGGAGCGCCGCCCTGCTCCTTATTATCCAAATTGCATTGTCCCTCTTACGGTCGTGCATATCCTTATTGAATGTCCTGACTTCCAGGACGAGCGTGTGTCTTGTTTTCCGACCGTCCCCCTCGGTCGCTTGTCCCTCGATAGAATTCTTGGTGACTCGGATACTTTTGATATCGTTCGCCTTATGCGTTTCTGTTCTCGTATTGGCATCCTTGGTGATATTTAGCGCCCTCTGATTATCCCGCACATTTGATGGTGCTACATAACCTTCCCGGTTTGGTGCCTTCTATTGATAATTACTTACTTAATACGAGTCTGACAGCGACCACGTCTTCAACCCTTGCTTAAAAGCACTGATTTTAGCAGTGTTACAGATTGAAATTGTTTGATTAGTTCCTTGTGGTATTTGTGTTATTATCCTAGCCTATTAGGCTAGGAACTGTAATATAACAGATTCCCGAGTTTACAGTCAGTAATCCGAATTATATGGGCGCTCTCCCCATTCGAGTTTGGCTAGCCATTTTCCATTTACCGAGACATGTCTAAAATGAAGACGTTCAAATTTTCATTCAGCAGAAATCTCAGTAACCCGAACTGGTATTCGAGTTCAAGGGAAAAATTAAAAAAAAAAAAAATGTTGAACGTGAATTCAATCTGATTATTTGGTAAATCGGATTACTGGGATCCGAATTACTGAGCTCTTATGATGTCAAAGGGTTATCCGCTGGGTGAGGGAGGTGGTGCTGCTGTCCGCTGGGTGAGGGAGGTGCTGCTGCTGCTGTCCGCTGGGTGAGGGAGGTGCTGCTGCTGTCCGCTGGGTGAGGGAGGTGGTGCTGCTGTCCGCTGGGTGAGGGAGGTGGTGCTGCTGTCCGCTGGGTGAGGGAGGTGGTGCTGCTGTCCGCTGGGTGAGGGAGGTGGTGCTGCTGTCCGCTGGGTGAGGGAGGTGCTGCTGTCCGCTGGGTGAGGGAGGTGCTGCTGCTGCTGTCCGCTGGGTGAGGGAGGTGGTGCTGCTGCTGTCCGCTGGGTGAGGGAGGTGCTGCTGCTGCTGTCCGCTGGGTGAGGGAGGTGCTGCTGCTGCTGTCCGCTGGGTGAGGGAGGTGCTGCTGCTGCTGTCCGCTGGGTGAGGGAGGTGCTGCTGCTGCTGTCCGCTGGGTGAGGGAGGTGCTGCTGCTGCTGTCCGCTGGGTGAGGGAGGTGCTGCTGCTGCTGTCAGCTGGGTGAGGGAGGTGCTGCTGCTGCTGTCCGCTGGGTGAGGGAGGTGCTGCTGCTGCTGTCCGCTGGGTGAGGGAGGTGCTGCTGCTGCTGTCCGCTGGGTGAGGGAGGTGCTGCTGCTGCTGTCCGCTGGGTGAGGGAGGTGCTGCTGCTGCTGCTGTCCGCTGGGTGAGGGAGGTGCTGCTGCTGCTGTCCGCTGGGTGAGGGAGGTGCTGCTGCTGCTGTCCGCTGGGTGAGGGAGGTGCTGCTGCTGCTGTCCGCTGGGTGAGGGAGGTGCTGCTGCTGCTGTCCGCTGGGTGAGGGAGGTGCTGCTGCTGCTGTCCGCTGGGTGAGGGAGGTGCTGCTGCTGCTGTCCGCTGGGTGAGGGAGGTGCTGCTGCTGCTGTCCGCTGGGTGAGGGAGGTGCTGCTGCTGCTGTCCGCTGGGTGAGGGATTTGCTGCTGCTGCTGTCCGCTGGGTGATTGAGGTGCTGCTGCTGCTGTCCGCTGGGTGAGGGAGGTGCTGCTGTCCGCTGGGTGAGGGAGGTGCTGCTGTCCGCTGGGTGAGGGAGGTGCTGCTGTCCGCTGGGTGAGGAAGGTGCTGCTGTCCGCTGGGTGAGGGAGGTGCTGCTGCTGCTGTCCGCTGGGTGATTGAGGTGCTGCTGTCCGCTGGGTGAGGGAGGTGCTGCTGCTGCTGTCCGCTGGGTGAGGGAGGTGCTGCTGCTGCTGTCCGCTGGGTGAGGGAGGTGCTGCTGCTGCTGTCCGCTGGGTGAGGGAGGTGCTGCTGCTGCTGTCCGCTGGGTGAGGGAGGTGCTGCTGCTGCTGTCCGCTGGGTGAGGGAGGTGCTGCTGCTGCTGTCCGCTGGGTGAGGGAGGTGCTGCTGTCCGCTGGGTGAGGGAGGTGCTGCTGTCCGCTGGGTGAGGGAGGTGCTGCTGTCCGCTGGGTGAGGGAGGTGCTGCTGTCCGCTGGGTGAGGGAGGTGCTGCTGTCCGCTGGGTGAGGGAGGTGCTGCTGCTGCTGTCCGCTGGGTGAGGGAGGTGCTGCTGCTGCTGTCCGCTGGGTGAGGGAGGTGCTGCTGCTGCTGTCCGCTGGGTGAGGGAGGTGCTGCTGCTGCTGTCCGCTGGGTGAGGGAGGTGCTGCTGCTGCTGTCCGCTGGGTGAGGGAGGTGCTGCTGTCCGCTGGGTGAGGGAGGTGCTGCTGTCCGCTGGGTGAGGGAGGTGCTGCTGTCCGCTGGGTGAGGGAGGTGCTGCTGTCCGCTGGGTGAGGGAGGTGCTGCTGTCCGCTGGGTGAGGGAGGTGCTGCTGTCCGCTGGGTGAGGGAGGTGCTGCTGTCCGCTGGGTGAGGGAGGTGCTGCTGTCCGCTGGGTGAGGGAGGTGCTGCTGTCCGCTGGGTGAGGGAGGTGCTGCTGTCCGCTGGGTGAGGGAGGTGCTGCTGTCCGCTGGGTGAGGGAGGTGCTGCTGTCCGCTGGGTGAGGGAGGTGCTGCTGTCCGCTGGGTGAGGGAGGTGCTGCTGTCCGCTGGGTGAGGGAGGTGCTGCTGTCCGCTGGGTGAGGGAGGTGCTGCTGTCCGCTGGGTGAGGGAGGTGCTGCTGTCCGCTGGGTGAGGGAGGTGCTGCTGTCCGCTGGGTGAGGGAGGTGCTGCTGTCCGCTGGGTGAGGGAGGTGCTGCTGTCCGCTGGGTGAGGGAGGTGCTGCTGCTGCTGCTGTCCGCTGGGTGAGGGAGGTGCTGCTGCTGCTGTCCGCTGGGTGAGGGAGGTGCTGCTGCTGCTGTCCGCTGGGTGAGGGAGGTGCTGCTGCTGCTGTCCGCTGGGTGAGGGAGGTGCTGCTGCTGCTGTCCGCTGGGTGAGGGAGGTGCTGCTGCTGCTGTCCGCTGGGTGAGGGAGGTGCTGCTGCTGCTGTCCGCTGGGTGAGGGAGGTGCTGCTGCTGTTGTCCGCTGGGTGAGGGAGGTGCTGCTGCTGCTGTCCGCTGGGTGAGGGAGGTGCTGCTGCTGCTGTCCGCTGGGTGAGGGAGGTGGTGCTGCTGCTGTCCGCTGGGTGAGGGAGGTGCTGCTGCTGCTGTCCGCTGGGTGAGGGAGGTGCTGCTGCTGTCCGCTGGGTGAGGGAGGTGCTGCTGCTGCTGTCCGCTGGGTGAGGGAGGTGCTGCTGCTGCTGTCCGCTGGGTGAGGGAGGTGCTGCTGCTGTCCGCTGGGTAAGGGAGGTGCTGCTGCTTATTATCTTTCACAGGTCTCTCTTCCCTGCCCTCGTTCGGAATGGGACGATTGGGCACAGCCGTTTGGACGTTGAGAGTTTTGGCACGGCCGCTTGGCCGCCAGCTGATTTGGCGCCAGGCTTTGGATGCCAAGAAAAAAATGTTGAATGATGCATCATCATTCAAAGGTAGAACTTTACAAACTTTTAAAAATGTAACTATTAAAAAATAAAAATCTCAAATCTGTGAATCACTAAAAATTGTGCGTGCGTGCGTGCGTTAGCGTGTTTACTTTCATGTGTGCCCCCTTTTGCCAGCTTGATGAAGGCCAAAGGGGTTGGTGCGGGAATAGAGAGAGTGAGTGGAGTTATAGGGGGGCATGGCTTGTATAGGAAGTCTGGGGCTGATATTTAAGGGCTGGGGCTGACTGGAGTATGTTGCGGGCAGTTTGGGAAATAAAGTTAGTAATGTAGTCTGGAATCCATTAAGTTGTTGACACCGTGGCTGGCATCAATACACCCCTCTACACCAGACTACAATATCTGGTGAAAACACACAGACACATACGCACGCGCACACACGTACATAGGGCTCTGAGTATGGTGTAATTGATTTAAGTGCGTACCTGCTATCTTGATGGCCAGGGTTCAAGTCTCCTGGTGGGTGTGTGTCTAAAGTTCTTCATTAGAAAGCGTTATATAACAAAGAGTGCTGGGTAGACGGGACACCACGAGCGTAGCTCTCATTCTGTAACTACACTTGGGTAATTACACTCGCTCTCTGAAGGAATGTACAGTATACACAAAGGTGTACTTTGCTTCTCACTGTGAAAGTTTACTTCCATCCTGGACTATGTTCAGGACTAATGTATACTTGCTGGCTTGTCAGTAAACTATTTTTGAATGGTTAATTTCTTTATTGCATTTAATTGTTGTCTACCTCAATAATTTGTGTAAGCCACACATCATATGATGCCTTATTGCAGTAGATGGAGATATAAACTTTTTCTTTTAAATTAGACCTCAAACTTTAAATTGATAGTTTAAATATAAAATGTTACCATGCATAAATTGAATGTACTGTATTTTAAAAGCCGATTAGAATACTGGCTCTGTGAGTAAATAGTGTGTGTTGATGTGTACTGATGTACAAGTGATCCTTAACTCTCAGGCAACAGCTACGGAGGAGAAGTCGTCCCAGAGTACAAAGCCACTAAGAGCACACACTTTATTGTTCCTGCTAAGGTGAGTCTTCCTTTGTTGTAAATTAATAAAAAAATTCTTCTTTGACTTTCGAGGATTTTTTGTACTGCGAACTATCATAACAGGCAAGTTGAACAAACTGCTATGTACCAGCATTGTAGTAGGCAGCTGGAATATTAAATAATTATGAAAAGAAAGTGTTAAAATCTATTTATAAAATTTACTCTTAACATGTTTAGTATTTCAGTAATTGAAACAACTATCACAAAGAATCCATGATGATAGGATTGCCTGGAACATTTTCTAGTGTGAAGATCTCCCTCAAAAATGGAGCAACTATGTAGAACAAGGCAGCAGGGCGTGTGAATACCACAACCCGTCCTCGACTCAAGTCAATTACATCCAGCGGTCGACCCCACAGACGTATTCATAAACTTGTACATGCTGTTCATTCAAAACAGGAATTTTTTCATATATAAATTAATATTATAATAGCATATTGTGCATATACGTGTATAGACATTGGTTAGGTTAGGTGTTTAGGTTCTGTTGGCGAGTATTTGTATTTGTAGTAGTTTATGAGGATGGGCTGGTATTCCAGCCCGTCCTCATAAACAAAGGCCAAAAGTGATTCCGTGACCGTTTGAACACTTCTCAAACAGTGCTTCACTGACGACTTGTTCGAACCACAACTCTGTAAATGCTTCACCCACATACTACAAATACAAATAATCATCAACAGAACCTAAACATCTAACCTAACCAATGCCTAAATATGAACAGTATGCAAACATACAATATTATTATTTGATATTTGAGAAAATTCCAATTTTGAATGAACAACTTGTTAAAATTTATGAATGTGTCTTTGGGGTCGATTGCTGGATGGCATGAACATAGAAGGAGGATGGGTGGGTGAATACTGTCCGCATGTTTGGTTGCATTTTATGATTATTATTTTCACAATGGTTGTGAATTTGATTTCTTAATGTCATTTATGTCATTTTGCTCTCATAGAGGCATCATGAATGATATCTAGATGGAGTTTACTACTTTTTTGTGCCACAGATGATGCTGAATAATTCTCCAGGCTGTCTTTTTACTAATTATGTACTTTAAAAAAATTTTAATTTCACAAGAGTATTAGGATCATATACCACGGTATATTTAGCCCATCCTCCTGTTTTGGTAGTACTGTACTGTTCTCATAATAACGATATGGACCATAGTATATGTACTGACATACAACGAAATTAGGAAGTGGAAATCTGAATTATTGAATTGTATTGAGTTGGCATAAAAGCAAACTGGGAAAACAAATTTTTGACTTGTGTTGCTTTGACAAATTAAACTAAACCTATTCTAACCTCCCTAGGCCTAATACACAGTACCTGAGGCCTAATATAGTACATATGTGTGCTATACTAGTCCTAGGAATATTTAAGATTGTGTTTTAGCTTCATTTATTTTAAAAGAATTGCTAACTAGTCAATTTACTACTCTCTAGAAGCTAAGAACGTACGATTTCTGACTATTGACGATCATCATATTAGGTACTATCTAAACAGGAGGAGTGGATGATATAGTATACTTCATATACCAGTACAAAACTTTCAGCTGTAGCTCATTCTCATGTGTACTATGTAAAATTAATATTTTGTTTACAGTATTTACTAGTGATATTTTTAATGAGATGTTTTATCTCCAGGATACATCTCTTCTGTCATCATGTGTAGGGCCAAGAGTGATTGTTGACTGGCTGTGGGACAGTATTAAACTTCAGAAGCTCCAGCCCACCAAAATGTACTACAGTTAGCCCACCACCACAAGATAGTACATGTTCCTGCACATTTACACCTTTCCCTGACATAGCTGCTGCCTTTAAAATGTGTAGTCAGTAGTGGCATAAGTTCTTGTAACACTATATTTGTTTCATATATGCTGTAGTACTGAAGCATCTTCTTCCCAATGACATCATAAATCAAAGATAGGGTTGCTCAGTATACATTTATACTGTACTGTAATAATGTAGTAGCTTTGACCGACCCATATTAATGAAAGCTGCAGCAAGGACTATCTGTTGCTGATAAGCTTTACCATATTGTGATTGTGTTGTGTGCTGCCATTACTAAGGGTTTACAGCCCCCATTACAATTCTTATTTAAAATTGGAATTATTTGGTCTTGCCTAAAAAGTATTTTTTCGCATGAAATAGTAAGTATTGTACCTGAAAAAGGGTTTGAGTAAGTTGGAAAATATATTTCTGTAGAATATCAAGTAAATACTGTGTGAAGAGGCCAGTTGTGGATGTTTACATGCCAGGAGTTTAAATTTATTATTAAATAAATTATATTTATATGAATATTCTGGATTATGTACAGAAGTATGAGGTTTTGCAGTTATACTAACTTTGTTGCAAAAAAATTAAAAAAAAATTAATGCAATGGTTATATTATTCCAATAGTAACTTTTGTGTATACTATGATAAAATAGTTCATCAAATCATTAGACAGAGAGAGTTGTTGTGTAAAATAATCTTTCTTGGACCACATCAAAAATACCAATACAGTATAAGCAAAATAATAATTATAAACCTTATTGTCAGATATCCCATAAGTGTGTATATATATATGTATTACACATCTTTATAATTGCAGGATATAAGCAAGAGATATACCTAGATTCACTTATACAGTTTATAAGATATATATATCTCTTATATATATGATATATAAGTGGATATACAAGGGATATATCTTATATGTATAAGATATTAACTTATATCATGTAACATAATTACCAGATATAAGCAAAAATAATAATTACAAACCTTATTGTCAGGTAACCCATAAGTGTGTATTTATGTATTACACATCTTCATAATTACAGAATATTTCTTTTGTAAGAATAATTATTTTCTAATATCTAGTTATGGCAGTACGGTGGCATTAATTACTTACCTATCATTTCCTTACTCTCAAAATTCCTCCAAGTAAGCAACTATTGCAGACTAACAACTGCATGTGTACAGTACAGGGACATCTCCCTCAAGTGGATCAATTTGGGTTGTATTGCATAGGAATCTCCATTCAGGTACAGTATAGCAAATTTACTATTTTCTCTATTTTTGTGTCACAATTAATGCAGTATTATTAGTATATATTTTAATAACCAAATCCCATGGACAAGTAAATACAGAACTTAATATATGAAATATTTTTGTTTTCTGCACCACAAATCCCAATTATCTGGAAATTGCATCACTAATCCAGTCAGCTGAAGTACAGTATGACCTATCATAATTTTTCATTTATATCTGAACTTTCACTGAACTGTGTTCCATTCAAGTAAGTGTCACTGTAGTTGTTCTGAACATGATGCATAATATCTCATTCTGCTCCATGTAATGCCATTTCTAGACTGACACCAGATATACGCTGTTTCTCTTTCCATGAACTGATGGTTTATACATCATTCGAACCCACTGTCTGTCGGTCTCAGGTCCCTCAATCACATATCTTATTCTACTTTATCACTCTAACGTCTTTGTTCTTTTCCCCATTCCTCTTGTTCCATACACCTTTGTATTATTGTTCAAAGCACTTGAATAATTTTTTTCAACATCTCAAAATTGTTTTCTATTGTTAAGAGAGCACTGATCGGATTTGGTTTGTATTTTTAATAATCAATACTAGTGTGAATATATAAGTATTGTGGCTGCATGCCACCAGCTGGCAAATGAGAGATGTCACATTAATAAGCAGCATTAGAGAAATGAACTCTACTTCCCTGTGTGTTTCATTGAGGTAAAGTATATTTGACATTCATCCTTGAATGCTCAAAGATGCATAATATTATTGATGCTCTTTTTGTTAGACTGATACTGTTTGTATTCATTAGGCAACTAGTACAAGTTATTGAGAGTAAAAGCAATTATTCTCATATTACAGTACTGTTCTTGCCTTATGGTTGTGAAGATATGCACAGATTACTGGTACAGAATATTTAAAAGGTATCTTAATTCTTTGTGATTCATCATATCCAAGTCTTCTTCACTTTTGTGTTACTTGCAGTTCTGAATTTACTGTAATTCAGTAATATATTTGCTCTATGTAGTAAGTAAAAAATGATTTATGGTACATAACTTTTAATACTACTCAGCACAGAAGAGAGAGGGAGAGAAGAGATAATATTCTGGTGTGTGTATGTAATTACCTATGTGTAATTACATACACACACACAATATGTATGTGTGTATCGAGTGTGTGTGTGTGTGTGTGTGTGTGTGTGTGTGTGTGTGTGTGTGTGTGTGTGTGTGTGCGCGTGTGTGTGTGTGCGTGTGTGCGTGCGTGTGTATGTATTCTTTGTACATATTACTGTACTAATTTGATATGTATTCAACTATTTGAGAGTGCACACATGCTGGAATAAAGTGTTTGTAAATTTTACTGTATAAAATTTATGCCACAGTTCAAAGTTGTATTAGCTAGCAGGGACCATATATTAGATAGCAATTTTGACAATTTATAAGGAGTGATAACATAAATATTTGTAAATAAATTCAAACTGTGTCATTAAAAAAATCACCAATTAAGTGATAGAATCTATTTGTTACATAATTCCTGATTGCTATTTATTTTATTTTATGTAAACAAACTTATTATGAAAAGTTCAGTTATCAGTTAATGTTTTCGGTCGAGTATTTTGTTAATATGGGATATGAAAACGAAAACCTCGCCAATGTGACATATCTATGAGAACATTATGTGAAGCAGTGAGGGGATTCCAACCCAGGTCGAGGGTTCGAATCTACTCGTTGCTTCAAATGATTTTCTCAATAATAATACTAATAAGAAAATGAGGCATTGGCCTGATATTCTCCAGTTAATCAATGATCAATACTTTAATCATATTACTCAAATACGGTCGCCTTTCACCGCGCTTCTCTTATCTCTTTCTGCTCCATGGTCAAAATTATGCAAAATATTGCTTCATGAATATGTGCCTAATAATATTAATATGCACACTATATAATAATTCACTGTATCGGGGGACAGGAAGCCAGAGTGTATTCATACACGTTAGGCTTTTATCGAGGTCCCCCAGCCAGGGTCGAATTACTGACCCTTCCTTACATAGCCTTCCCGGTTTGGTGCCTTCTTTTGATAATTACTTACTTACTTACTGACCCTTCCCAGGATGCAACTCAACAACAAGCTGACTAACTCCCGAGCACTTGCTGCTACCTGTACATGTCATCATGTACATTTTCATTAATAGCTTTATCTGGCAACTCATTACTGCCAGAATCATTAACTAGCAACGATTCCCCCCCCCTCGGGTGGGTAATATCTGGATATGTTGTCAGTCACTCGTGGATTGCGATGTAATGCAGTCCCTTCTCTATCTAGCTCCCTTAATTTCTATCATTTTCTAAGTAAAACTCTAGGGCACTGGAAATTCACTGTTCACTATGTTCTGCTCTACCTGCGGTATCATGGAATCCTCTTGATTCTGGTGTGGGTTCCAAAAGTACAGCCTCCCCCCCTCGCTCCTACACAGACATACTCAGTTTCCTTGGGTTTGCTGTCAGAAAAATACACACACTGGGACAATTATGCCCCCCCCCCCCGTTATCCACATGCTAGGTCCTGTGTTGACACTACTGCACACGGGAACACTGACAATGGTTACTTGCTTGCAGTTAGTCATTTTTTCCTGCAATAATTACACCATGCTATCGTATGGAATGTCATTGTTAGGTTAGGGTTCCAGTAGTACACTGATTCGTTCTCGAGTCACAATCAAGAATTCCGGGGTCAAATTCCAGGCGTGACCAAAATGGTTGGGTGTATTTCCTATCACCCAATGCTCTGTTCACCCAGCAGTAAATTTGTACCCAAGAGTTTGCTTGTTTGTAGAGTTGTATCCTGAGGGGGGGGGGGGGGTCAGTAATTCGACTTGATGGGGTGGGGAGAACTTCAAAATAAGCCTAACATGTATATATTCACTGGCTACCTGTCCCTCAACACAGTAAATTATTATATCCAGTAAATGTCCTCTTTGCAACCCGTTCTCGCAAATTTAATAAGTCAATATTGACTTATTAAATATGTGCATAGGTGACATACTTAACATAATAGATACCCTTAAAAGGATTCATAGAAAACACCGACCATACCTAACCTACTTATTATGTTAAGATAAGCATCTCATTGATTCGTAATTACAATTATTACCTAACCTATAATAGGTATAGGTTAAGTAATAATTGTAATTACGAAGCAATAAGATGCTTATCTTAAGATACTAACAAGGTTAGGTAAGATCGGTGTTTTCTATGAATCTTTTTAAGGGTATCTATTATGTTTAGTATATCACCTATGCACGTAGTTAATAAGTCAATATTGACTTTACGAATTTGCGAGAACGGGTTGCCTCTTTCTGCACGATGGCCTTATTGCTGGGTCGCTTCACCACATCTGTGACCAGTTGGTTCTTACTCCTTCTGGTTGGGTCCTAGAGAGACCAATTCCAATTGCATTCCAATGCCATTGTGGCCCTTGCTGCCGGTAAATACTGAAAGTGTGCCGTCTAACAGAGCATTGTTTATTTGACCACAGGTGGGAGTGAACCTGTGGTCACAACCCCTCGCGATGGTAAGCCAAGTACGAGTGGAGCTCTTGTCCAAAGATGAGAGCCCTCGTGGTGTGAAGCCTGCCAGGTCGCTCCTGTTGCTTACTGTGAAGCCTGCCAGGTCGCTCTTGTTGCTTGCCGTGCTTCCTGCCAGGTCGCTCCTGTTGCTTGCCGTGCTTCCTGCCAGGTCGCTCCTGTTGCTTGCCGTGCTTCCTGCCAGGTCGCTCCTGTTGCTTGCCGTGCTTCCTGCCAGGTCGCTCCTGTTGCTTGCCGAGCTTCCTGCCAGGTCGCTCCTGTTGCTTGCCGAGCCTCCTGCCAGGTCGCTCCTGTTGCTTGCCGTGCTTCCTGCCAGGTCGCTTCTGTTGCTTGCTGAGCCTCCTGCCAGGTCGCTCCTGTTGCTTGCCGTGCTTCCTGCCAGGTCGCTCCTGTTGCTTGCCGTGCTTCCTGCCAGGTCGTTCCTGTTGCTTGCCGTGCTTCCTGCCAGGTCGCTCTTGTTGCTTGCCGTGCTTCCTGCCAGGTCGCTCCTGTTGCTTGCCGTGCTTCCTGCCAGGTCGCTCCTGTTGCTTACTGTGAAGCCTGCCAGGTCGCTCCTGTTGCTTGCCGTGCTTCCTGCCAGGTCGCTCCTGTTGCTTGCCGTGCTTCCTGCCAGGTCGCTCCTGTTGCTTGCCGTGCTTCCTGCCAGGTCGCTCCTGTTGCTTGCCGTGCTTCCTGCCAGGTCGCTCCTGTTGCTTGCCGTGCTTCCTGCCAGGTCGCTCCTGTTGCTTGCCGAGCCTCCTGCCAGGTCGCTCCTGTTGCTTATTGTGAAGCCTGCCAGGTCGCTCTTGTTGCTTGCCGTGCTTCCTGCCAGGTCGCTCCTGTTGCTTGCCGAGCTTCCTGCCAGGTCGCTCCTGTTGCTTGCCGTGCTTCCTGCCAGGTCGCTCCTGTTGCTTGCCGTGTGCCAGGTCGCTCCTGCCAGGTCGCTCCTGTTGCTTGCCGTGCTTCCTGCCAGGTCGCTCCTGTTGCTTGCTGAGCCTCCTGCCAGGTCGCTCCTGTTGCTTGCTGAGCCTCCTGCCAGGTCGCTCCTGTTGCTTGCCGTGCTTCCTGCCAGGTCGCTCCTGTTGCTTGCCGTGCTTCCTGCCAGGTCGCTCCTGTTGCTTGCCGTGCTTCCTGCCAGGTCGCTCCTGTTGCTTGCCGTGCTTCCTGCCAGGTCGCTCCTGTTGCTTGCCGTGCTTCCTGCCAGGTCGCTCCTGTTGCTTGCCGTGCTTCCTGCCAGGTCGCTGCCTGTTGCTTGCTTGCCGTGCTTCCTGCCAGGTCGCTCCTGTTGCTTGCTGTGCCTCCTGCCAGGTCGCTCCTGTTGCTTGCCGTGCTTCCTGCCAGGTCGCTCCTGTTGCTTGCCGTGCTTCCTGCCAGGTCGCTCCTGTTGCTTACTGTGCTTCCTGCCAGGTCGCTCCTGTTGCTTGCCGTGCTTCCTGCCAGGTCGCTCCTGTTGCTTGCCGTGCTTCCTGCCAGGTCGCTCCTGTTGCTTGCCGAACTTCCTGCCAGGTCGCTCCTGTTGCTTGCCGTCGCTCCTCCTGCCAGGTCGCTCCTGTTGCTTGCCGTGCTTCCTGCCAGGTCGCTCCTGTTGCTTGCCGTGCTTCCTGCCAGGTCGCTCCTGTTGCTTGCTGTGCTTCCTGCCAGGTCGCTCCTGTTGCTTGCCGTGCTTCCTGCCAGGTCGCTCCTGTTGCTTGCCGTGCTTCCTGCCAGGTCGCTCCTGTTGCTTGCCGTGCTTCCTGCCAGGTCGCTCCTGTTGCTTGCTGCCTCCTGCCAGGTCGCTCCTGTTGCTTGCCGTGCTTCCTGCCAGGTCGCTCCTGTTGCTTGCCGTGCTTCCTGCCAGGTCGCTCCTGTTGCTTGCCGTGCTTCCTGCCAGGTCGCTCCTGTTGCTTGCCGTGCTTCCTGCCAGGTCGCTCCTGTTGCTTGCCGTGCTTCCTGCCAGGTCGCTCCTGTTGCTTGCTGTGCTTCCTGCCAGGTCGCTCCTGTTGCTTGCCGTGCTTCCTGCCAGGTCGCTCCTGTTGCTTGCCGTGCGTCCTGCCAGGTCGCTCCTGTTGCTTGCCGTGCTTCTGCCAGGTCGCTCCTGTTGCTTGCCGTGCTTCCTGCCAGGTCGCTCCTGTTGCTTGCCGAGCCTCCTGCCAGGTCGCTCCTGTTGCTTGCCGTGCTTCCTGCCAGGTCGCTCCTGTTGCTTGCCGTGCTTCCTGCCAGGTCGCTCCTGTTGCTTGCTGAGCCTCCTGCCAGGTCGCTCCTGTTGCTTATTGTGAAGCCTGCCAGGTCGCTCTTGTTGCTTGCCGTGCTTCCTGCCAGGTCGCTCCTGTTGCTTGCCGTGCTTCCTGCCAGGTCGCTCCTGTTGCTTACTGTGAAGCCTGCCAGGTCGCTCCTGTTGCTTGCCGTGCTTCCTGCCAGGTCGCTCCTGTTGCTTGCCGTGCTTCCTGCCAGGTCGCTCCTGTTGCTTGCCGAGCCTCCTGCCAGGTCGCTCCTGTTGCTTGCCGTGCTTCCTGCCAGGTCGCTCCTGTTGCTTGCCGTGCTTCCTGCCAGGTCGCTCCTGTTGCTTGCTGAGCCTCCTGCCAGGTCGCTCCTGTTGCTTGCTGAGCCTCCTGCCAGGTCGCTCCTGTTGCTTGCTGAGCCTCCTGCCAGGTCGCTCCTGTTGCTTGCCGTGCTTCCTGCCAGGTCGCTCCTGTTGCTTGCCGTGCTTCCTGCCAGGTCGTTCCTGTTGCTTGCCGTGCTTCCTGCCAGGTCGCTCCTGTTGCTTGCCGTGCTTCCTGCCAGGTCGCTCCTGTTGCTTGCTGAGCCTCCTGCCAGGTCGCTCCTGTTGCTTGCCGTGCTTCCTGCCAGGTCGCTCCTGTTGCTTGCCGTGCTTCCTGCCAGGTCGTTCCTGTTGCTTGCCGTGCTTCCTGCCAGGTCGCTCCTGTTGCTTGCCGTGCTTCCTGCCAGGTCGCTCCTGTTGCTTGCCGTGCTTCCTGCCAGGTCGCTCCTGTTGCTTGCCGTGCTTCCTGCCAGGTCGCTCCTGTTGCTTGCTGAGCCTCCTGCCAGGTCGCTCCTGTTGCTTGCTGAGCCTCCTACCAGGTCGCTCCTGTTGCTTGCTGAGCCTCCTGCCAGGTCGCTCCTGTTGCTTGCTGAGCCTCCTGCCAGGTCGCTCCTGTTGCTTGCTGAGCCTCCTACCAGGTCGCTCCTGTTGCTTACTGTTTTCATCTTCATGAACTGTCATGTCACAACTACACTTTCTAGAACAATATGGCAAATGAAATAAGATAATGTTCCCCTTACATATTTTCTAACGATTTGCTCAGATTCACATAAGTGTATATGATTCAGAACAGTCCAAGAAGTTGGAATTAATTGGCAATGAGTCTTTATCCTTACAAGGAAATAAACCAAACATTATATATATATATATATATATATATATATATATATATATATATATATATATATATATATATATATATATAGTTTGCTTTCTTCACTAAAGTCCCCAGAACCTAGGGGTTACGACTTTAGGTCACTGGCTCTGTAGTTTATTGGAGCTGAAAGAATAATTTAGTAACTGTTTATAGAAAAAAGTAATGAGATGGAATAAGAAGTGTGGCAGGGAGAAAGTTGCGAGAAATTCCCTAGCATGCCATGCAACACTTTACATTTGGAGGGGGGGGGGGAACAACTCAGTATGAAGCAATAACAGACAGGGTGATGGAAGCTCCCCTCCCAACCCTCTCCTATTTCAACCTCACCCTTCCCCCATTTTCCCCCCTTCTCTCTCCCCCGCCACACCCCTCCTCCCCCCTCCCTCTCACGGCACGCAATATCCGGTGTCGCCACCAGAACATCTCTGGAGTCGGTTCCTCCCAGCTCCCCGCTGGTCGTAAAAGGTCAATAGCAGATCATTACCAGGTCCCCAACACTCGTACAATATATAAATAAAAGCAATAGAACATTAGAACACTGCACTAGGCCTACTGATCAATCCCCCTCTCGCATATTCCTAAACGTTTCCAAAGTATTCACTTGTGTGATGTTGGTTTGTCGACAGGTTGTGCCATTCGGCCACTACTTGGTCCTACCCGTGTCTTTGCTACGAGTTCTCACGTGAAACATTACCATTAAATTCCCTTACCTACGCCTTTCATCAGTGTGTATAGTTGATCTACATCTTCCCTTACTCTACGACTCAACTACCAGGTACCCGACGAAGTATTACTTAAAGATTAAAGTATTACTACTAGACACGTGGCTTCATTCTCAACTCACAATCTGGGATCCCAGGTTGGATTTCCGGTTCGAGCAGAACTAGTTGGACACGTTTCCTTTCACTTAATGCCTCTATTCATCTAGCAGTGAATAAGTACCCGGGAGATGGGTAACTTATGAGGATTCGTGCTGGGAAGGGTCAGTAAGTAATTATCAAAAGAAGGCACCAAACGGAAGGGTCAGTAGTTCAGACTCCATACACAGTTTCAAATGTAGATATGATAGAGCCCAATAGGCTCAGGAACCTGAACACCTGTTGATTGACGGTTGAGAGGCGGGACCAAAGAGCCAGAGCTCAACCCCCGCAAGCACAATTAAGTGAGTACACGCACACTTAATGTATATTCTTATTAAACCCCACAGCGACCATCCACACTCACGGCAATTAAATGGCTAGACTGCAGTTTGAGCCGTAATGAAATGCGTCAATAGAGATCCGGCTGATACGCCCAGGGCCGCAGCCGTCCAGATTATGCCAATGAAAGCTGTAATGAATACATGAAAATGTTTATGTGAATGTTGGCGGTGGTGTTGCTGTGCTCACGTATTGGCGCCTGAACGGTTTTCATCCGCATTCATCACTCATCCTAAAGAGAGTATGTTTAACTCTTCAATATTAATGAAGAGCCACGTGCTTATCCTGGCCCACAAGCCAGCCAGGAAATTTACAGCCCTACAGCGCATCTCATACGTTCTCGACAGCAGAAGTTGCAAAACCTTACATGAAGCACAAGTTCACTCACATCTTGAGTATGCGCCCCTCGCCTGGATTTTCTGCCCTCCATCATTCATGAGAATTTTGGACAAAGTGGAAAACCACGCAAGACGGCTTATCTTTAGTCTTGACCAAGTCGGGTTGAACTCGTCAAAACATCAGATCTCCAACACTGTCGAGATGCTGGTGGACTTACTTTTATGTACAAGTTAACATTCTCAGAGTTCCACACATGGCTCAGCTTCATGGACAACCAGTAGTTGGTCCCCATAACACAAGACTCTCGGCCATCAACAACCTCATCCTGGAATTGCCTTTCTCAAGAACATCACTTCATCAGATATCATTCATTCTTAAGCTGACTCGCTCTGGATATTGTTTGCTCAACAGGTTGATACACGGGAGATCAGGTCAACTGATCACATGAAGGCTCTGGCACACAGTTGGCTACAGGCTAATCTTGTTCATTATATGATTGTTACTTAGATTAAAATAAAGCTTATTCCTAATTCAAATTATAATCTCATGAAATAAACGAGTCTGTATGGACAGGCCTCAGATGACTTAGGTAGGATAACAGCTCTTGCTACCTGTTTTACTATGCACCTCAATTGACAGCCCTAATGAACCCTAGTCTTGGCTATAAAATAAGAAGAGAGCGGAGAGGGGAGGAGCCTGCTAATACTAATGAACTGATGTAGGATAACAGCTCACAGCTTGCATTATTTAGTATTATTATTGTTTTCACTATTAAACAACTGTCGGAGTTTAAAAGAACAAGTGATAACGATAACTGATAACCAACTATTGGAACATTTTCCTCCAATGTCATTTCTAAATATCATAAAAGCAACAATTATCATGGGCTTCATTTTCAAAACAATTTCCGTAGCTGCATATATCGCACCAAGCACGACTACGCTACTGTTACCGCCTCGGCACGACTACGCTACTGTTACCGCCTCGGCACGACTACGCTACTGTTACCGCCTCGGCACGACTACGCTACTGTTACCGCCTCGGCACGACTACGCTACTGTTACCGCCTCCGCTTCCAATTCTACTCAAAAATATACTAACAAGATCGCCTCTCTTGTTTACACAGATATGAAACCAATATTGATGCAATGTATTAATTTAGTGAGACCAAGGATCTCACTTAAGGATATCAATTCATGTTAAAATTAGGAGCCTCTAAGATCACTGGGTTAAGATGTTCACTGGATGTTAATGTTTGTGAACGTTTATTTAACGAGGTGTCACTTGCAACATCAAGTCTGTTTTCAGTAACTATATACAGAGACAACAGGAGAACATTGTCAGACTGCCAGGTGCGCTGATTGGCTACTAGTCAGAGTCATGTATTTTGGCTCCGTTTTTACATCGACTGCAAAAGTTTCCATTGGAAAAAAGTAATTACAAACTTTTCCATTTGATTCTAGCAATATTGTCCGAGAGCTTGGGCGCAATAATCAGGTATTTTATGCAGGTGACCGAACACACTATGATGGCTGCGTGAGTGTTGTCGCCATTGTATGTAATGTGTCTGAAGACAGTGCCCAGCATGAGGGTGGAGGGTAGTGCCCAGCATGAGGGTGGAGGGCAGTGCCCAGCATGAGGGTGGAGGGGTAGTGCCCAGCATGAGGGTGGAGGGCAGTGCCCAGCATGAGGGTGGAGGGCAGTGCCCAGCATGAGGGTGGAGGGCAGTGCCCAGCATGAGGGTGGAGGGCAGTGCCCAGCATGAGGGTGGAGGGCAGTGCCCAGCATGAGGGTGGAGGGCAGTGCCCAGCATGAGGGTGGAGGGTAGTGCCTGTTACGTACTCCTATAAGATACGTAAGTAAATATATTAATATGTACATTTATAATTGTATGTAAATTACAAGCATGTATATTGATATACTTATATGTTCTATGCAAACGTACATTCATGTTACAGTGTTGGCGTTAGGCCCAACGTATCGTGGGAATGATTGTTTATTTCTTTGTGTGATCAGTTTTCCCACGGGAACTAATGATTTATATGTGATCATATGTGGGTAACAGAGGTGAATAATAATTGAGTGAACTGTATCTGGCAAATTGTCGTGGGATCGTCCGTTGCTGGGTGTGCATGCCATTATTCCTTTCTGTATGCATATTTTAATTACTATGTAAAGTTATTACCTTATGTTGTATATCAATATGTATTAATTATTCATTAAGTTAGTTTAAGATTACTCTTGTCACAAATGTATTGCTCCATTGTTGAAATAATAAATATTGTAACTTTGGCAATTTATTCGCGGGGCAAGGCAATCTGTTTTGACTCCCGCGTTATGTTATTCAGTAGCTGATCGGGAACCAGGGAGATAACATCTAGTTGGAGTTAAGTTATACATTTTTGTTCTGTCATAGCCATACATATTATAATTTTAATTTAATGTCTGGAAGATACAGTGATATTTTTAATGTGAGATATTGTGACCATATAATCATCTGTTTGCTATTGAGATTTATTTAATATATATAGATAAGATATTGTCTCTATTCTTCAGTCCTAAGGAAGATTTTATTTTTGTGCTCATTACTTATCAAGGGGTTATACTGGTGATTCGCTATTGAGAACAGCAGTTGTGTCGTATCCCTAGACGTAATTAAAGTTGGCTGCTGTAGGATCACGAGCCGTAACGTACGATAGGTAACAGTGCCCAGCATGAGGGTGGAGGGCAGTGCCCAGCATGAGGGTGGAGGGCAGTGCCCAGCATGATGGTGGAGGGTAGTGCCCAGCATGAGGGTGGAGGGTAGTGCCCAGCATGAGGGTGGAGGGTAGTGCCCAGCATGAGGGTGGAGGGTAGTGCCCAGCATGATGGTGGAGGGTAGTGCCCAGCATGAGGGTGGAGGGTAGTGCCCAGCATGAGGGTGGAGGGCAGTGCCCAGCATGAGGGTGGAGGGCAGTGCCCAGCATGAGGGTGGAGGGCAGTGCCCAGCATGAGGGTGGAGGGTAGTGCCCAGCATGAGGGTGGAGGGCAGTGCCCAGCATGAGGGTGGAGGGTAGTGCCCAGCATGATGGTGGAGGGTAGTGCCCAGCATGAGGGTGGAGGGTAGTGCCCAGCATGAGGGTGGAGGGTAGTGCCCAGCATGAGGGTGGAGGGTAGTGCCCAGCATGATGGTGGAGGGTAGTGCCCAGCATGAGGGTGGAGGGTAGTGCCCAGCATGAGGGTGGAGGGTAGTGCCCAGCATGAGGGTGGAGGGTAGTGCCCAGCAT